GTGCGTGTGATTTTTACACAGCAAAACGTATTTATCAACCAAAAAGTCTCTAAAAGCATATTTCCACTAATGCCATATATGGAAAAATCATGCACATGATGCATATATAATGCTGCTTCACAGTTTAGACAAAAATGGTTAGATCATGCATTTACATTCCTTGCATTCATCAACGCAAGCAACACAATGTAGAGCTAATTTGCACAACATCACCTTGCTATTCATGCAGGGCTTTGCACAACACACCTATTGGGGGTGTACACACTACAAAGTTGTCTAGATTCCACCAATAGATCATGCTGGGAGGGAACACACTACAGAGGTGTATACTTGTTCGTGGCGTGTTTATAAGGTTAGTAAATCAACCCCTTTATGTTAGATAGCTTGAGTACACAACATATGAGTTGGGACCCCCCATAAAAAAGTTTTTGGTGCTCACAGACTATAAAAATCATATGTATTCATTGAGACGCTACTGAGGAGCGTACTTTTTGAAATGCTAAAAGAGAAAAAAAAATCTAACATTTGAAGTCCCCAAAAGAAATAATACCCTGATGCCTTAAAGGAGAACTATGGGGTCAGGGCTTTTCCCCATAGTTCTCCTTAGGATAACGGGAACTGTTATCACCTCCAATATACCATTTGATCTGTACTTGGTGTTGTGGGTTTCTAAGATTATACCGTACAATCTTTTGATCAATAATGTTGTTTTTGTTGCCAGGATGGATACATAGACTTCATGGAGTATGTTGCAGCACTCAGTCTTGTACTTCGAGGGAAGATTGAGCAAAAGTTGCGCTGGTATTTCAAGCTCTATGATGTGGATGGGAATGGTTGCATTGACAGACATGAGTTGCTAAATATAATCAAGGTTAGAGTTTGCTAGATAAACATTAATGAGAATAATATGTATTGAATGCAGATGTTTTAAGATATATGTACACATTTTGGGGTCTCCATCAAATCCAACCACCTAACTTCCCCAAAAAAATGATTAAACCTTAAAGTGACCCTAAACACAGGAGTTATATCTTTAAAATGCATTCAAGTACCTTATCTATTACCAAAAGTGTAGCTTATACAGGTGAAACTCGAATAATTAGAATATCGTGCATTTCACTAATGCAACTTAAAAGGTGAAACTAATATATGAGATAGACTCATTACATGCAAAGCAAGATAATTCAAGCCGTGATTTGTCATAATTGTGATGATTATGGCTTACAGCTCATGAAAACCCCAAGAACCCCAAATCCACAACCTCAAAAAAGTAGATTATTACATGCAATCAATAAAACAAGGATTGTACATAGAACAATATCAGATCAGACCTCTGAAAAGTACAAGCATGCATATGTACTCAGTACTTGGTTTGGGCCCCTTTTGCAGCACTTACTGCAATTACTTTTGCACGATATTCTAATTATTCGAGTTTCACCTGTATGTGTATCACTCAGTTGGAGATCATCAAATCATCTCTGAATTGAATATTTTTCAAAGATATTCTGAAATGGTTTGGACGGATGTGGTAGTACCCCTGGAAAAGATTATTCATAATAAAATTATAGTGATAGTTCAAACAAACTATTTTCTATAATTAGTATCACACATGTCTTAAATCTTGTCAGTCAACCAGCCTAATTACATGAACAAAAGTAGCCTCTCTGCTGTTTGGTATCATCATGTGCACCACACTAACCGTGGACCAGAGAAAGCAAGGGAGAGTTGTCCAAGGAGTTTAGAAAGGAAAAATGAATAGACCAGCATGTCAAAAGTAAAGGGTATAATACTATCTCTTTCCACCTTGATGTTCCTGTGACTACAGTCTGTGGGAGTGTAGCAAACCTTTCTGGACATTGCCACAAGAGGAAAATAAACCCCATATTGAACAGTACAGTGTGAATGGTAGACCTAGAGGCAAGGAAAAATCAAAGAGATCAAAGCTGAACTCCAAGGTCTAAGTACATCAATTACTGATAGCACCCTCTGTCACTTTTTGTGTGACTGTGGACTCAAAGAAAGAAGACCCAGGAGGACTCCACTGTTGAAAGAAAAATATTAAAAGGCCAGAGCAGAATTTGATAAAATGCACATTAAAAAGCCACAATGCTTCTGTGGAAATGTCCTTTGACAGATGAGAAAACATTGGAGTTTATTGGCTAGTCACATCAGCTCTATGTTCACAGACAAAGAATAAAGAAAATAACCCCAGACCTACTGTGAAACATGGAGGAGGCCTGGTTATTTTTTGAGGCTGCTTGTGGCATGGTCATGGCCTTGAATTTTTGCAGGGCACAACGACAAGCCAAGACAATGTCAATGAATTCTGGAGCGAAACCTACCGCCCAGTGTCAGAAAGCTCTGTCTCTGGTCTTAAAGGCTTGTTATAAGCTTATGCGGTTACCATCTTTTTCTAAAGCTCTGTCTCAGATGCAGGTCGCGGGTCCTCCAACAAAATAGTGACCCACAACATACAGCTAAAAGAATGGTTAGGAAAACATTGTACTATTCTGAAGTGGCTATGAGCCCTGATCTAGGGAACATGCAGTTTGGAGAAGGCACCCGTCACATCTGAGACAGCTGAGCAAAACTATCTGCTTGCAGGTGCAGAAGTCTTATTGAGAGCTACAGAAATCACTTGTTTGCAGTGATTGCCTCTAAAGGTTGCTTGCTGTTTGCAGTGATTGTCTCTAAATATTTAAGGGTCCCATCAATTTTGTCCGTGACATTTTCATTTGTTTTATTATTTAAAGGGTTAGTTCACCTTTTTTTTAAAAATGGCATACAGTCCATTAGCCTCACTGTATACCCATTAACTAATAAGCTTCTAAAAATATGAATTCATGTAGGCTCAATACCTGTAGGCCATTTGCCCCACCAGTGAAACTCCCCCCATTAACTCTTAATATTGTGCACAGCTCCATCTTGTGTTGTTTCTAGGACAAGCCAGCCATTGGATGATCGCCCCTAAGCAGACCAATTGCCATCCTAGAAACAGCACAGGTATGGAACCTACATAAATTAATATTTTTAAAAGTTGATTAGTTTATGGTTATATAATAGGGCTTATGTACTGGGTATGCTATTTCTAAAAAGGTGAACTAACCCTTTAAAATATTCTGTTGAATCAAAAATCAAAATCAAAGTCTGATTTTTATAAAATATAGAATAAATAGTGATGGATGCCAATTGCTTTTTCATTTTCAAGTTATTTCTGAGAAAACAGTGGGTTCTACAAAAAAGATGAAGGGCCCAAATTATTGATTATTGCAAACATTTTAGAAAACGTTATTGCGGATCCTGAAGTGCTTCTGTCCTGAAGATATTGATGTATTCCTTGCCAACAATTTTAAGAAACTGGAGGATCTGCTTTCATTATAACACCTGGATCAGTCTTAGGGTTGGTGTACACTGGCTTTAAGCTGCATTTGCCATGTGTTTTACATTGCATTTACAAGTGCTTCCTGGGGGATACAAACGTCTGAGTTTTAGATTCACAGCCCATTATGGCTACTAGATGGAGCCGAGAAACATAGGAATTTCACACCACTGTGCACCACCATGGACAGTACTGCAGCACTACACAACACTCACAGGTAATTTACGTGAGAACCCTTCAGTGCTGCAGTACGGTCTGACCGATATCAGAGAAGAGGAAGGCAGGAATATCATCACACTGGCCAAGGCAGTTGGAAATTAAGATATTAAATGTTTAAATAAAAGTGTAAATATTTTTTTAAATTGTTGCGGTGGTGTGGCTTCATATTGGGTGTCTAGGGGGTGAAGACTGAATATCGGCTTTAAAGAACTCCAAGGGAAAATTGTATTAACCCTTGCAGTGGGGCTACCCCCACACTGCAAGGGTTAACTGCTCATTTTGGTTAAGGGAGGAAAATAATAAATAATTATACTCTGATCCTCCAAGCTGGCTGGCTGTGACATTGCTCTCTTCAGCTCTCTCCTTCTCTGTTCCAGTGATGTCCCTCTGTGTCCTCACATCCTGTGCACTATGTATAGAACATGATGACTCAGGGAACTTAGACCACTGCAGAGGATGGGAAGCAAGGCTCTAGGGACCAGTCTAAGAACAAGCCGGCTCGAAGAATCGGGTGAGTATAACCTTTTATTTCCTTCCTGGACCAAAAATGTTGCATGAAATTCTTCTATAAGGTAAATGATACAATAAATATTACACATGTGTGCTGAAAATACACTGCAGTCCCTCTTAAGCTAACTAAGGATATTTTCAGAACCCTTTGTGCTAAAAAATGCATGCTATGTACCAAGTATTAAAGTGGTGACATCTCATTCTGTGTTTGCATATTATATGAACAATGGAAAACATGACTTTTTCTTCCTCCTTTAATTACACGACCACTATTGAGTTTACTTGAAACATAGGCAGAGGTCATTGAAAACATTCAGGTTAACAAAATATCTCTAAACCAGTTTGCTCCAAAGAACAGAGGTTAATCCAAACTTATTTAACAAGCAGCTATACCGGAGTTAAATTATGATTTGTTATCAGTTATTTTATTTATTTTTTACAATAGGAAACAGATGTACCCTTGGAATTCATTGGGAGGAATATAATAAAATTGGGGCAAACAGAATCTGAAGCAGTTGCCCATAGTAACCAATCAGCTTCTCTCTTCAGTTTGTTCAGTGAAGCATTGAAAATGGAAGAGAAAAGCTGATTGGTTGCCATGCACAGCTGCTCCATATTCTGTGTGCTCCAGTTTTGATCAATTCCTCTCATCATATCTTACATTGCAGTGGTTCTAAAGTAGTACATTGCTTCACTTTCCACCTTATCATTGCTCTGGCTGTATGCCCACCCGTCATTGAACTTTGCTGCAGGAAAAAATAGGTAATGTATTAATGTTTAGTTTGAAGGCATTGTATTTTACTTTCTTGTTCATAATCCAAATACCTGCATGAATGCACCTAAACTATTTAAACATTTTGAGAGAATAATCTATTCCACCTTTTCTCTTAGTTTGACATTTACAATGTTACATTAAAATGATAGCACACAAACTAGAGTCAGATCTATATACTGTGACTCAAGAACCACAGAAGGGGAAGTCGAATTTTAAAGCCACGGAATAAAGGAGAGGAACTGTGACAACAGGAAGTCAGCAGAGACGAAATAGCCAGCCAACCGCATATTATAGGAAACAGAACAACTTAAATAGATTGTTGAATGCACCATATCGAAGAGAGATAAAGACGACTCTGAAAGGTAAGGCAAACCTTTATTTATGGTAAAATGTCGGTAGAGAAAAAATGGTAGTCATATGCATGCATAGTTGCCAGTCTTTTTCAAGTAGATGCATTGATTAAACATAGCTGCTTTTGGGAAACCTAAACTGAGAGAAATACAGAAGCTGCCATTGGTCACCTCCTTTTAAAAGGTTAGTTGTTTGACTGTCTCTAGTGTTAATATTTTCTGGAACAAGCATGCAGATTAGAAGGCCAGGGTGGAATCTGGATTCCTAATCTGCGTACATGTTCCAGATCAGTGCCTCAGGACGGTGAGTGGAAACCACTGCATCAGGAAGGTTACAATTTCAGAAGGAGAAGCCAACAATGGCAGCCTCCACATTCTCTCAGTAGAGGATTTAAATCCCCCAATGGCAGCCTTTCCTGAACGCCAGTGATCAGCTGGGGAAATTCAATGCAGCCAATCAGTGAATCCTCACCAAGGAAGATCCACTGGGCCAGTTTGCTCTGGCCTACTAACAGTTGTGGAGAGAACAATAAAATAAGCTTGATCAACTGATGATCCTCTTGTATGTACATATATCTGTTGGCTAGAACTTGATATTAAAAGATAATTAAAGCCTCGGGTGTTTTTGCATATATCTACTGCTAACAAGCAGTAGATATATGCAAAAAGTGTAAAAAAAACAAAAACCCTGCTTTGAAAAGGGATAATACTTACCTGTGTCTTCCCCGCACGCTCCCGTCCGAAAATGTGAAAAATATCGGGCGGTCGCAAAGCATCTTGGGGCGGGCGAATGCGCAGATCACATTTTTGGCCCGGTTCGTGAGGAGAGACACAAGGTAAGTCTATGGACGCGTGCACCTGCTTGCAGACACCGTGGGACAGGAAGTGCCAGCAAGGACAGAGGAGTCAGCACTGGATCGGAGACCCGCAGCAGCGCTGGAGGGACAGATGAAAAGCACAAGAAAGAAGAAGAAGATCGGATTAAGAAACATAATTTAAGGTAAGTGCTGACGTTAACATTGGGGGGTGGGGAAATTTTTTTTTACTTTAATGTCACTTTAATAGCTGCCATGATTTGAATATGATTATGTAAGACATTGATCTGCACAATACACTACATATAAAATATGTTGTATTTTCCCAGAGTGTACACTACATTGTAGTACAAAAGGCAACATAGCAACCCTCCAATTTCATGGTACTTAAGTCCCCGTTGTGACAACCATGTCCATCCAGGTTTTTCTCTCCAACATGCGATGGAGGAAAAAAATGAAATTACTGGACCCATGTTGATCTATGGGGAGTCAAATGTCAGTGGACACGTGTATGTTTACATCAAATTACCCCCGATTTGCCACAATCAGGTCCGCCAAAACGGAACTCTGCTCTGTTTGGTTTTGCGGGTCTGGCCGGAGTTGGGGGTAACTGGATGTAAATGGATGCACATGGATATAGATCTGGCTGCCCATAGACTAATGGTGCCCGTGCACCTTACGATTATCATTCAATTTCCAAACGAGATTGGGCTTTCGTACGATAATCGAGCAGTTAATAGGAAGTGAACGAACACAATTGCTGTACAACTGGGTGAATTTCCTCGATCGGTCAGGCTGTAAAACTTTTTTCGAATCTTACGAAATTCGATGGATTAGTGGCGTTTTCGTATAAAAAAAAAACTGCATCATGAACACTGCACATGCGCAAACCAAAATCTGTTCTGCCGATCGATGAAAATTCGATGACAGGATGAAAGAAATCGAACGATAATTATAAAATATAATTATACTAAGTATTTAAAACAAGGCTGGAGACATACGGGGGTTGTTTTATTAAAGGAAAATTAGCTGTTCACTTTGCAAGTGAAAATTGACAGGGTTATTCACTCAGCTGCCAAAGGCAGCCAAGTGAATAACCGAGCCGAAGTGAACAGAGCCGAACGACGTTCAGCTATTCACTCCGGCTCAGTATGGCTGATTTCAGCCGTACATCGGCTGAAATCACCTGTCGATCGGCTGCCTTTGGTCAGTCGAATATGCTCTGCATGTTCGGCCGAGCCGAAGTGCAGAGGGACTTCGACTCAGCCGATCCAACATCTGGATCGGCTGAGCCAAAGCACCGGCAGCTCACTCGCTGCCGTTCTCCCCTATTCACATAGGGGCCGAACAGCAGTGAGTGAATTGCCGAACGCCGCAGAGTGGGGCATTCGGCTCGGCTATTCTGCTCGGTACCTCCGTGGTACATAGCAAATGGAATAGCAAATAAGTGAGAAGACTTTAAAAAAAAAAGTAAAAAAAATTGTTTTTAAATGTAAATACATTGGAAAATGAAAAAAATAATAATAATAAACAATTGGGCAGAGCTAGCAGTGACCGCTAGCTCTGCCTAACTGTTTCCTATTGGCCGGCACCTGCTACAGTCTTCTAGCAGGTCCCGACCAATGAATAACAACTGGGCGAAGACGGCCGTGACGTCACAGCCGGCTCTGCCCAGTTGTTATTGTTTAATGACAGATCAGCGTCCCTAGGTCATTTGGGGACGCTGATCTGCCGTACATCAGCCATGAGGCGCCGCCCAGCTGTCGCTTGCGGGACAAATGGCCAGCCTTCGGCAGGCTGTTTGCCCCACTCTGGCTATCACTTCGGCTCAGTCGTGCCGAAGCATATGCCTTTTGCTCGGCTGAGCCGCTCGGCCGCCTTTGGCTGATGTACGGGCTATAGTGAATAGCCCGTACAGCAGCCCTTCGGTTCGACTGAAGCGTAGGACTCCGGCGGCCAAAGAGAGCTGAAGGACCAGCCAAATTTACGGCTGGATTCTTCGGCTCTTTCGTGAATAACCCCCATAGTGAACAAGGTGAAGCTCTGCTGACTCCCATCATCCAATCACGTGTAAGTAAAAATACTGTTTTTTTTTAATTTTCCTTGCCTGTGATTGGGTATTCTTTGCAATGTGTATTTTCTCCACATTCCCTTAAAAAATGAACAGCCTATTTGCTATGGTATATAGTTCCAGTATAAGAAATGCTTGGGGCAGTTGATATGACTCCTCTTTAAACTAATCCGCAGACAAACTGTAACAACGCAACACAGAAATACAGGATTGTTACACATAGCTGATGAACTCACAGTAGTTCCACTTTTGTGCATTGTATACTTCATATAATTATACCACTATACGATACAGGACACAATTCATTAACAGGGCAGGCTATCAATGCCTTATATGCAGCATGTGCACTTATTATATATTTTCCAGTAACATTTTAGGTCACATTCTACGTTCCTCCATTTGTAGTTTACAGAAGTGTCAGCTCAGTAGCATTATGACTGTGCAGTTTTTAAAAAGGAAATGGCTGGCAACTAACAAACCTACAACTCTTTTCTGTAAAAGAAATTAACATTTTCAAGGGTTAGTGTATAGTGTATGAATCAGCGTACAGCTGGCCAAGGGGCTGAAAGGCCTAACTTGCTTGACTCCGCCCACTGTTCTAAAATGAGGAGCAAACCTCTTGTTTTTGGGGATTTGTGGTAAAAGTGAAAACTATAGATACCTTCCGCTTTAGAAAGACTCTGCTGGGCTTTGTACTAGTTTAGTTGGCTCCCCTGACAATAACCAGTCAGGTTATGCCAAAGTAAATAGATAAAAGTAATAATTTATTGTATATAGTGATTTTTGATTAGACAAAGGAATCCTTATTTCCTAAAAAATGTAATTATCCTTAGCCAAATCCACAGACGAGCTCAGCCTCCTCTCTCCAGCGCTGGCAGAAGTAATACAGCGCACGCCTGTTACTATTTATTTCCTGATTTTTGATTAGACAAAAGAACCAATTATAAACTGAAATATAACAATATTTTTGTGTTAAAATTAGCACCATTGTAATGCTGAAAATAATTGTGACTCAAAGGGTTGTTGATAAAGAGTTAATCTGATGTGATGATTTGATTTAACCTTTGATTTTATTTAATTTAAATAATGATTTTATATTATTTCATTTATCCTGATATGATGCTTGATGACTATATCTTCCTGATAAATGGCTGACAGCAGTGGTCCCCAGGACAAGACTAATGCAGTGACAAGAGAGGCTACCACTTTGGGGCGAAGTGGAGGTGATGGGAGGCATAGCTGGGCTGGAACATCTATTAATATCAGTTCTTCTGAAGACCCTGCTGTCAAACTGCAGATTGCACTGGCAGAGTGGGTTTCCATCTGTAATTCAATAGGCTTCATTGTTAGTATGACAACCAGTTTGCACTGTGTATCAGGAATGGTCACAGCATTTCCTAATACACAGAGTGTGACCGTTTGTTGAACTGATGGCTCATCCCCACAGATTACATCAGGTGAGTTGATATGGCAGTGTAATCTAAAGGGCTGGGGTGTCAGTTTGACAAAGGGTCCTACTCTGTGTATCAGGAGTTCTGATATCAGTTCCTGTATGAATGAAGGCTGCAAACAGTTTGCAGACTTCTTTCCTAAATTAGAGCATGAGTGCAAATTAACATTGAGTATCTTTTCAAATACAATTTAATCCTACTTCTTTTTGTTTTTACCTGAGATCTTCTTACACCTTACCTAGGTGCTTACGTATCTCCTCCGGCTGCAGCGCCCTCCCACATTGTTTACATCCCATTTGACATAAGGTGCATCCCACACCTGGGCAATTACATCCCATAGGCTTGAATGGAATGCACCATTACCACTGGAACAACAGTACAATTGAAGTGATTCAAGTCTATGGAATGCTACTGCGCAGGTGTGGGCAGCACTGCACTAGATTTTGCTTGGATGTGAACAGCGTAAGTAAACACCTGGGTGTGGGGAGGGCAACTTATGATATTTAGGGGGCTACGGAGTTGGGGCTGGGTGGTTTTTAGTTAACAATAAACGTAAAAGTGTAAATATCTTCATTCCTATGAGCTCAACAAAGTTGCACATACAATACATAGTATACAGTATCTTCAAATGTTACTAAGGGTAACCCGTGACAATCAGCAAGACAGTAGTTTAAGCACTTATCACTGCTTGTGTGCTAGTAGGCTATAGGCTGTTGTGCCCTTTTTCCACTTCAGTCAAATGACTTACTATTTGTTGCCTGTGTATTACAATGACTGCATGTCTACCACTGAAATATTGGTTTTGGGTAATCAGAAGCATTCTTATAAGGCAAGCTAAAATTTAGGTTTACTGGCTCTAATAAATGCACAATTAACTTTTTTTATACATCACTATACAGTACTTATATTGCTACATCAGGAGTAGAGGTAAGAATTGTCATATAAACCCTATTTTTTGCTTATAATTAAAGGAGAAGTATTGGAAGAGTAAAATGTACTTTTCCCAATACTTAGAGCCGGTGTGTGACACTGCAGCTGTCACACACCAGCTTTATAGCCCAAGAGCTGAGTGATCACAAACCGCTGATCGCTTAGCTCATAGTCTTACCAGCAGAGAGGGGTAACTGTCAGTCACTGATCCCCACAGGGATTCCCCTCCTCCCCTCTGTGTTCCTCCAGGGCTCATTGGAGGGACAGACAGGGGAGGGGGGCGGGCACAGCTGGCTATGGCTCTAGAGAGGCAGAGACAGCTGTCAATCAGGCAGCAGGGTGGATAACGACAATATTGTCAGGATCTTTACGGGCTGCAGTGCGACTCTGCGTTGTCAGCAAACAGCAGGCAGTAGCCCGCTATATGCTGAGTTTGGGCCACAGGAGTACATTTGTCAATGTCCTCCTGTGACTCACAGAAGAACTAAAGCCAAAAAATGATTTAGCTATAGTTCTTTTTAAAAAAAGGAAACAACATCTCTCCACTTCCTCCTGCAGCATAAATAGTAGCATTTAAATATGTTAAAAACTTTATTAGGACAAAAATAAATCATGGTACCACAGCAGAATAATGTGGCATGGTGATATTATAAGATGCATCCAATCATACCATACAATCTGCTCTATACTGACAAAGAATTCTGTAGCAGGAGGAATACCTTCAAATTACTGCTTAGACGCTATCATTAAAGGGTAATTCGGGAACCTACTATCTATATCCCCCTTTGAGAGTGTCTGTAAGCGTGATCCTCACTCGCCTGGCATTATCTCACTAATTTATACGTCATCCTTACAACCTACCCATACGCCACACCACCCATATATGGACTGCTGGCAGAAAGACGTAGACCTCGTGTTTTCTGAAGACACCTGGTCCCAGATATGGACCTCCACCAACTCCTGTTCCATGAGCGCCAGAGTACTTGAGACAAATTACAAAGTATTCCTGCGTTGGTACACAACCCCCTCACAAGCCCAACATTTTGTGCTAGGCTGCGAGGGCACATGCTTCCGCGGCTGCCCTGACAGCGGCACATATATTCACATATGGTGGTCGTACCCCATTGTACAGACATTCGGGTTTAAAGTATTTAAAATGATTTCCACTCTCATGGGTACACCTGTTCCCCCCCACTCCCCAAACAGCATTACTCAATGTCAGACCCACAAACATCCCGCACCCTAAATTTAAGCTGATACTCCATGTCCTCTCTGCCGCTAAACATACCATAGCCAGTTCTTGAATTACTAATAAGATCTCTTTCCAAGCCACCAAAAATAGAATTCATTGGATTTTCTCCCACGAAAAACTCCCCGCACGTCTCACTGACCAAATGCTGAAGTTTGAAAAGCAATGGGAACCTTGGGTGAAACATTTCCTCCCACCAACCTTTGACACTCGCCTATTGATCCTTTAAATAATTGTACACTCTACCTCACTGCCGACTTGACCATGAGCTGGATCGGGCATCACACCACCCTCTGTTTCCCTCCCTCTTTCTACCCATTCTTCCCTTTGTCTTGTTTTAGTTTTTTCCTCTTTTTTGTTTGTTCCTGACTGCTTTAACGGGACACCCTGCCAGAGTTGGTCCCCACCCCTTTTTAGTAAAGATTAGGCGATTGCTTACTGTACGCCATATTTGATAAGCATTTACCTGCTATATAGCAATGCCAATGTCTATACCACTATATATGCACACTCACGATGTTCGTGTACGTGCACTACTTACTCTGTATTTTATTGAAAATAAAAACCTTTTGAAACTATAAAAAAAAGGTAATTCCTCTTTCCCAAGTAAATTTGGGAAAATTGAATTATCCCCAAGAAGCGCTGCTTATCGGTCAGCGCAGTCAAGTGAGTAGTCCACCTGGGAAAATGTAATTGCCCTTTAAATATAACTTTTTTTTAAAAGGACCAAAGCATATGCAACAACACAGCTTACCTTTTCAATGGCAACTATTAGTAAATCGCCAATTAGTTACATCGCCAACATATCTACCTGGAACAATTATGTAACATGTGATGCCTGGAGAGAATTTAGTTATTAGTTGTTTTAATTAACCAATATTTTTTTTGTTATTAAACATAACCCTAAACAACATAGGTTGGACTTGATGGACTAATGTCTTTATTCAACCTCAAATACTATGTAACTATGTAACATGAACCTATGTACAGGTATATAATAAATGAATCTTTTTCCTACCAATCACATCATGTACATATATTTTTTAAACACACTATACAATGAGTGTTTCCAAATCTGTTTCTGTCCCCAAGACAGGAAGTAGGGGGAGGGTAAACCTCACCACTGGGAATATGGACAGAGGTTCTAAGTCTTCCTCATTTCATCTAACAATAAAAAGAAAGTATGCAAAATATATTTTTTGTGCTTTTTTTGAGATTCATTTATCTGATAAGAGTTAATACAGTCTCCATCTTCTACATGCTTATACAACAGATGTGGAAGGCTGCTGCGGGACACAAAGTTTCAGTAAATCAGTCTGAAGGTGGGGATGACTGGGAAACTGATCCAGACTTTGTGGTAAGTCAAAAGGCTATGAATATGTTGTTTCAGCCAATATATCTTTCCTCCTTAAAGAGTTAAACCTTTATTTAAAAACTATATCATTACTGTCATGGAGCCACGTCATGAATGTCTTGGTGGCCCTGATCACTGTAGCAATCTTTTTGATCTTTTTTTAACACTTCTGCAACCACACTGACTCCTTATCCTATTGTAACAATTGCAGCTACCACGCTTATACAGTAACCATTCTATTGGTGCGCTTGACCTACCTCAGACACTTTTGAGGAGATTAGACATTTCTACCATACCAGAATCCCCCAGGATTAATGCATTGTAATATTCTGGAGGAGATAGAACCAACTATACAAAAACATGGCAAAAGTACCATGACAGAACCAAAGCCAAACATCAAACCAGAGACTGAATCCACAAACATTAGAGTCAAAGTTCGAGTCGTGCAGGTCTGAGATTGGTGCATAAAAAGCATGATTAGCACATCCTTTAAGCAGTAAAATCTCACTTTATTTGCTTATTATTAAAAACAGCAATATCGGGAGAGGCTGGTGCAGGCTTCAGCGGTCAAAGGTCACAATCAAGTAAGTTTGGCAACAGATATTAAAAAGAGAACTATGGGGTAAGTGTTTTCCCCCATAGTTGTCTTTAGGGTTATGGGAGGACATATACTAACCTCGTCCCGTGACCCAAAGCTTAGTATATCGCGGGCAATAGCCAGCGATATACTGAGAGTGCCGCACCTGGGACGGATCCCGACAATACTGTCTGGATCCACCCAGCTGCGTGAGTGACTGCTGGCTCTGCCTATCTAGAAGCAGAGCCAGCTGTGCCCGCCCCCTCCCCCATTTGTTCCTCCACTCAGCGCTGGAGGATCAAAGAAGGGAGGGTGGAATCTTTGTGGGGAGCAGTGACTGACAGTCACGCCTCACTTGCAGAGAGACGATCGGGAAGTGAGCAGATCGGTGCATGTTTCTGCTCACTTCCCTTCGATAGAGCCGACCTGTGATAGCTTCTTTGTCATAGGTCGGCTCTAACTATGAGGATGAGTGGAAATCACTCATCTCAGAGTTCTCATTTAGCATACTAGAAAACAGTCAGAATAAACCTTGAATAGGGAAACCAGTAAACCTGGCTAAGGCCCAAGGGCCATTCAATTAGTGTGACACAAAGCAGAAATATTCCATGCCAGCAGTTTGGAATTTTATTTGAGCTAAACCAAAGTGAGCTAAATGCAGGGACGGATTTATCAATAGGCAGAGTAGGCACACCCTAGAAGGGTGCCTTGCAGGTATCTAGCAATAGCAAGGAGGGTGCAGTCTACACAAAGTACACCCTCCTGCTCCAAGACCAGCATCTCTTGCAGGAACCACCGCCTTCCGCAACCGCAGGGGAAGGAACCTACTGTGTAAGGCTTCCCTGTAAAACGCTTGTCTGATGCGGACCCTAACCATATGCAAAAGCTGGCAGGTCCGCAGCAGGCAAGGGCTCCGGCTCAAGTTAAACAGATTTCAATTCAAGCCTACAGGCGGCCAAAATGGAAATCCGGCCCTGGGTAAATGTTCTTATTTTGCTTTCATATGTGTATTCTTTTGTATTTTGAAAGTCAGCTATTTTTAAACACAGTATTGCCAGAACAAAATAGCATTGTATAGGAGATTGATGATGTCATCACAGCCGTGGAAAAGTCCCTTCTCTGGAGCTCAAGGATTGTTTGCTAATGATAAAAAGTATAGATGTATGCTTAAAAATGCTGTTGCTGTATATTGTGACGTCGGGAATTTATTCATGCAGACTTGTAAAGTTGCTGAAAATGTCCATTTTAAAAAGTCTCTAGGCACCATTAGTTCCACACACCTTTGAGCATTTACATCAATAACAATTGAGCTCACACACTTCCTATAAACAAGAGTATTCTTTCTTTTTCAGCTATGGACCTGTAGATTCAACAGTATCTTTGTCATTGCATATTGTCCCAAAGTTATATGTATATCTTTTTTGTTATTATTACATAGTAGTATTTATATAGCGCCAACAGTTTGCGCAGCGCTTTACAATATAAGGAAGACATTACAGTTACAATACAATTCAAGACAAGATGGTAAGGAGGGCCCTGCCCCCGAGGGCTTACAATCTAAAAGAGGAGGGGGAAATGATACATGAGGTAGCTGTGGTAGCTGTGGGAATGAATTATGTGAGAATGTGAAGGTTCAGTGGTTAGGTTGAGGTGGGATAGGCTTCCCTGAAGAGATGAGTCTTTAGGGAACGCCTAAAAGCAGTCAAGGTGGGAGAGAGATGGACAGGTTGGGGTAAGGAGTTCCAGAGGATGGGAGAGACTCTAGAGAAGTCCTGGAGGCGAGTATGGGAGGAGTGGACAAGGGAGCTGGAAAGCAGGAGGTCAATGGATGAGCGGAGGGGACGTTTAGGTTGATAATTTGAGACAAGGTCTGAGATATATCCGGGGGGCAGAGTTGTGGATGGCTTTATAGGTGGACTGTTATAAAATCTGTTATAAAGCATAATAAAAGAAAAATTTAAATAAAGGCATCTATGAGGCTGTTGGAGCTTACAATATGTGAGTTAAGCGTTACATAATATAAGCTCCAACAGCCTCATAAACATCTTTATTTAATTTTTTTATTTCAAGCCTTTGATCTGCACATAGGCAATGTAATAATTCTTTTTATGACGTATTACTGAATAAAGCAGGCTTCATTTACATAGGAGATGTCAATGCTCCTGAAACTGACAGCTAGCTTCTGCCAATTACAGTGTCAACATTTTTGGGCACACTTCGTATGCCCAGAATCTTTAACTGATTACTTTTCCAATAAACTTTGACATGCTATTTTGTTGTGCCGATTAATATATTGAATGGATGCTTACTTTTTCAGTGCTATGTGTTGTAATAAAAATGTACCTTTCTTAGAATGACATCACTGAAGAGGAACAAAGATGGGGGGCTAAAACCATTGAAGGATCTGGCCGTCCTCAGCATATAAAGTAAGCTTTCTTCTTTAAATGCAAAATTGAACAGGATGTCTACTTGTATTGAGAATACTATTATTATTATACAGGATTTATATAGCACCAAACAATTTGCTCAGCGCTTTACAAAATAGTGGAGACAGTACAGTTACAATACAATTTACAGTACAATACAGTTTCAGAACAATAGGGTTGGGAGGGCCCTGCTCGTGAGAGCTTACAATCTAGTAGGAGGGGCAAGTGATATAAAAGGTAATAATTGTTTGGATTGAGTTATCGGAGGAAGTAAAAGGCAGTTATGCTGAGATGAGGTATGCTTCCCTGAAGAGATGGGTTTTTAAGGATCGCCTAAGGGTGGCAGCATAGGAGATAGGCGGACAGATTGGGGTAAGGAGTTCCAGAGGATGGGGGACACTCTGGAGAAGTCCCGGAGGCGAGCATGGGAGTAATGAGAGAGCTAGAAAGCAGGAGGTCTTGAGAGGAATGGAGAGAACGGTTTGGGTGATATTTTGAAATGAGGTCAGTGATGTAGGTTGGGACGGAGTTGTAGATGGCTTTGTATGCTGTTGTTAGTATTTTTAGTATCTTGCTAGTCAGCCCCGCTGGCTCTCAAAACACCTGAACAATGCCTGCATCCAATCAGATTGTTCAGGTGTTTTAAGAGCCAGCGGGGCCGACTAGTAAGATCCTGAAGCTTGGCCCAGTGGGAGATTCCTCCATCCACACAGTTTAGCGTAGCTGGAGGAATCTGTTGCACTTTTCCATCTGACCATAGAAAATCTGCAGATAATCTATAGGTGTATGGCCAGCTTTAGTTTCCTGGCTGTCACGCCGACCGTCTCTTTGTTTCACTGACTCAGACTCAGGCACATAAGGACTTCTGAATTTCCTCTAACTTGTTCAAGTTTGGTAACTCAAAAAGCACTGAAGTTAAAGGATCAGCGTGCCAGCAAGGCAACTAGCATTTTCAGAAAGGGGTCAGCAATGTCATCGATTCATCACATCTCTCATGACTAATATTTTTAAAGGAGATGTAACATTTGAGTGTTTAATGCTCTGGCACTGTACATTTGTTTGAACTGCCAATCCCATAAAAGGACCCTGTAAGGATAGAAAAATGAAACATGCAATTGTTGACTTTTTCTGAAAGGCGTATGCTCCTGGGCAGCCATCTTTATTCTTTCCTTACTCAGCATCAAGATGTCTGAGAAACTGGAGAACATGTCTACTTCCCAGTACTCCATAGCCTGGGCCATTTTTATTGCACTGCTTGCTTCTTTGAATTCTTCCTCCCAGGTGTCTTTTATCTGTTAGCGGAGTTGAGGGAGGGTGGGCTCACTGACACAGTAACATTACACCAGCAGTGCCAATATAAATAGAACCTTGTGAAGGCTTGTTGAATGTCTTTCTGCCTCAGCAGTCAGGGCAGTGGTGCAGGTGATACAGGCTCACAGACACAGTACACTCCTTCAAGGAGGACACACCAGGTCACATCTGCAGCAGCAGAGGTGATTCCAATACTAACTCAGCCAAGACATTTAGTAATTTGAGGCAATTGCCTATTTATGAGGGAGGGACAGTGTTTAGTTATTTGTGATGGTGGTGGCTGGCCTGGCTATGTTTGCCAAAGTGAGGGGGGAAGACTATTTGGCAGTGTTTGCTGGCCAATTCTGATGTTAGATCACAGTTTAGGTTGGTGGCTGTTTTCTTCATATTTGTTCCCAGCCAAGAAAGTATTAAAGAATGGGATCAGCATGGCCAGGATACTAGCATTTTTAGAAGAAGAGGTCAGCAGCCTCCATACTTCCCTCAGTAGTTGCCTTGTATGCTGGGAATGTGTTTGGATCCTACAGCAGGGGAATAGGAAAGCGTAGACTGAGCTGCTCCAGTACAAAATTACTTGGGACAGCAGACTAAAGCTGTTTATGGTCATGACTTTGAATGACTTAAAAGATATGAAAATGTAAAGACTGTAACCTTTCTTGATTACTATTTTCTCTTAAAGTATAAGTCAGTTAAGAAGCAATGTTTCTAAAGAGCACGAACAACTGAAGAAAAAGGAGCTGCAGGAAGGTCCAAGAGCCTCATATGGATATGGAGGACAGTTTGGAACAGAGAGAGACAGGATGGACAAGGTGAGTTGGCATTCACAATGTGGAACTTTAGCATTATTTTTTTTCAGCTTTGGATATAGTGTATGGGAAGGGTTACATCCTTTGTTAGGTTCTTATTTCTGTTTGTGAGGTTGAGAAGATTTCCTTCTTGTCCCAATAACAGCTATCACTGAGACTGGAACAATTTCAGTTTGGAGAAATCTCCAAATAGAAACTCGTCCTAGTGATGACGGTCAAACCTGAGATTTCCTGCCACTTCTTGGCTGGCAACAGGAAATGAGAAATCGCTCAAGGGGAACACAGACAACAAACATGGAGATAGTATGGATATGAATTGTACACTCCAATGTATTCAGATGTCTGTGTAAATAAATATGCAATAGAATATATATTTATGGATGGTTTGTCAGTCTCTCCACTAGGTACCGTAGATCCAGCTTCTTTATTTGTCCTGGTGACCAATTTTACTGAGACAGAAAGTGATAAGAATCCAATAATTTACAGTTGTCACCAGAAAAAGACAACTGGGGACATGTGTTCTGGGGGACAACTATCCAAGTAGGGAATTTTCCTTTTACTTTGTAGGAATTTCCTTTCACTTCCTGTTGTGTCTCTGGGTTTGGTAGTGAAGGAAAATCTCCCCAATAGGACAGAGACAGCAAAAAAATAGACTGACAGTGGGTTTAAACATTTTATAATCTATCCAAAAACTTTTTTAAAAATTGGCAATACAAATACTTTAGGCCCATGTTTGCTCATATTCACCACATTTGTTCTCTGAACATACTAGAAGCCCAGTGCTAAGCATGTAAACAGATCTTTGCTGCACTAATTCTTAATTGTTCTTCGATAAACCAGAGTACATGGAGGCTGATGTCTGCTGCAGCTCACATATGCCCATATATACCTTCATATACCAGCCCTTTTAGTATATGTCAGAGTTGGCAGGTTATACACCTAGACCTGATTTTGTTAAAGCTTTTAACCACAACTCACTCATTATATTTCATGACTTGTATTGACCCCTGGCTACAGAGACTGGGAATGGTTGAGATTTAGTGGGTATAAGGAACTAGATCAGGGTTCTCAAAGTACTATGTGGCCCGCAGCCAGCTGACAAGTCAGGTACGCGGTCACAGACCTCATACCTGACTTGCAGGAGCAGCTACATGGTCTGCATCTCTGTCGGATGCAGACCGCATAGCTGCTGCTCTGTGCCAGTGTTCACCGGCATTTGGATCCTTTTGGCCAGCGCTCTGAAATTCTTCAGTGAATGCTGGCCGAAATTATATATTAGTAAGGTCTGCACCAGATCTTATTAATCAACCACTGAATCACCAGGGATTGTGCCTCCTCCCTGCAAAAAGGTAAGCAGGAGAGGAGGCTCTTTGTTTTTTTTTCATATATGGTGTGCGGGGGGGCTACGAGGTTGTATAATGTGCAGGGGTAGTATTTTTTTTATATGTGTGGGGGTGGGGGTAGTGTAATTTTTTTTATGTGTATGGGGGGAAATGTATTAGGCTCCATTTTCATCTGTAAGTTTAGGTGCGATTAGGGATTCCTGTGTCCAGCAGCTGTCACCCATTCAAGGTATTGATCAGGTGACAGCCGTTGCATGTAAATGCCTGCACACAGCATGTAATGATATGTGATATGAGTAGGAATCAATTACTATCCCTGGACTCATCGATTGTGCATCCAGGGAGAATGTTTCTAACCGCATGTAATCATATTATATACCATTACATGCGATGTGCAGATGTTTACATGCAGCTGCTGTCATCTGATCATTAACTCTAATGGGTGACAGCTGCCACTTGTAAATGCCAGATTAGGGATTCCTGTTGCAGGAAAACGCAAGTTCCTGATGCAGAAATCCCTAATCGCACCTAAACCTACATATATGAATGGGGCCTTATTGTGAGTATATTTGTGTCCGTAGTACCATACTGGATATAGTTACATTTTATTTAGAAGTAGGAAATTTGGCAAGCAGCCGCAATGGGAGAAAAAATATTGTCGAGTGGCCCCCGACTGAATTGAGTTTGAGACTCCTGAACTAGATGTGTGAAACTAATGCATGCACAAATAATTACATTTAAAGTGTATTGATATCTCCTTCCATCTCTTTACAAGAATGCTCTGGGTCATGACTACAGGGCAGACGTGGAAAAACACTCCTCGCAGACTGATGCAGCTAAAGGCTTTGGGGGCAAATATGGAGTGCAAAAGGAGAGATGTGATAAGGTGAGTGTACCTTCTGGGTAGCTAACAGCAGATATAATCTAGCAGCCTTCCATGGTTCCCTAAAGCTGACCACCCACAGCTTCGAAATTGAGCTATGGATAGCCCTGCTGGCTTCACCCAGTTCAACTTTTGCCAAAGGAGCTGGGTATAAAATTATTGTCTTTACAGTGCCTACATCAAAGCAGATGTTGGCACTGGTCAGATATTCAGCAGCTACAGGAGCAGTGCACAATAGCCAGCAGTGGGATTCCACAAGAGAAATCTAACAGTGTATGGCCAGCTTAATGGCCAGCCGAGAGGTCTCTATATCTGAGCGGGCGTCTTTAGACGTCCGCTCAGCCACGCCTAACTGCACGCGCCGCAGGGCGCGCGAGCGAGAAATACACGCGATTTAAAAACAGGCAGCGATGCCTGTTAACATACAAGCGATCCGCCGGCTATAGAGCCGGCGGATCGCTTGTATGAGCTGCCAGCCCGTGCCCCCCCTCCTCCCTACGCGCCCCCCCTCCCGTTGTCACGCCGGTCCTGGGCTTCACTGTGCCCGGTGCGAGCCCGGGACCAGCATACGGCCTCTGTCACAGGGGATCAGAGGGAGCTCGGTACACGACCTCCCTCTGGTCCCCTCTCCGCTGCCAGAATGCGGAAGTGATGTGTATTACATTACTTCCACATTCTTGTGTCACTCTCCAGCTTCAGACACTGGAGAGAAGCTGATGAAACAGATCTCTGCTTCATCAGCTTCTTCAGGGGGGTCCTAGGTGACATTAGGGGCCTTGGAGACCCCTGATGTCTCCATAAAGAGGACCTGCCACATTTTTTGCTCTCACATAGAGGGGTTTCTTAGCCCCCTATGTGATGGCAATAAAGTTAAGTGGAAAAAAAAAACCAAATAGGAATAAAAATTAAAGTTTCCAAAATAAAATTAAAGTCACACATAAAAAAGAATTTAAAACAACACAATTTTTTTAAAAAGCCCCCACCCATACATACATGCATGCAAACATGCGTCAGGTGCGCATACCTGCGAAAACAATGATTGCGCCCATTACGCCGCACATGTTACATATCGCAGTGCGAGCGATAATTTTAGGGCCATCAATCACTGATAACACTAAACTGATGAACGGTAAAAGCTTTTAAAGCGTCGCCTATGGTCAATCTTGGCTATTGTCGTTTTTTGCGATTTCGCAGGTGCACGCAATTTTTAAGCTTGACATGTTTGGTGCCTATTTACCCGACGTGACCACGTCTTTTATATTTTACCAAAAAATTGGGTAATAATATTTGTTTCCTAACATAATGTAAAAAACACTTTTTCCCCAAAAAAATTTCAGTAAATTTTCTGAAATATAGAAAAAAATAAATACCACCAAAAGAAAGCTCTATGTGTCCCCAAAAAATGGTATAAAATTAATTTCAGTACAGCGTTGCAAATAAATGTCAGTCAAAGTACTGCAGCGCTGAACAATGAAAAATGGCCTGGCCAGGAAGGGGGTCTAAACACCTGGTCTTCAAGTGGTTAAAGCGTAACTACACCCTCCTATCCTTTACAGCCAAGGAAGGTGCCATCTTAGCCTCTATTTAGATTGCAGTTTTCATGGTGCTGCACATGTGATCTGCTATGACACCAGCCATTTGAGGGCTGGAAAGGTAGTTTGAGAGTTGAAATAGACACACTGGCAACCTTGACAGTTGGCACACCTTAGAAGTAACTGTTTTGAGAGACCATTCAATTGGTGGGTCAAGTTCCACTTTAAGACTAAGAGAGTTTTGAATAACACAGCCTTAGGAGTTTATGAGCACAGCTGGTCCTTACTGTCCTGGTTCTTGTACAATTACTCAAAGCCACCAGCCAGAAATCTTCTCTTCTCTAGTGTCTACCATAACCTGAAATCTAATTGGTTACTGTACTTTGACAATCATCATTGCTCTTAACACGGCTTTATTGCATAATTCAAAAAAATCATTACTTTAAAAATATTCAGCATACATATTGAAGAAATCAAAATCTCTACACCATTTATATTATAAATTCTTATTTTTTTTTCTTTTAGTCTGCAGTAGGATTTGATTATAAAAGTCAGACTGAGCAACATTCTTCACAGCAAGGTGAGTTAATTACTATAACTTTATATATGGCATACACCATTCAGCAGAAAGGCTATGTATAGACAGGCAGCATGCAAGAACTTAACACCACCACCAAGGACAGACTGGGGGCTTGGTTTACTAAAGTGTAAAGTAAGAGAAGTAATCCCAGGCCTTTTCTTAAGGGTGAACTGAAGTGATCCTGAACCTGATTTACTAAAGTCTGAAGTAAGATAAAGTGATGTGCATTTGTTGGTACATCAATCACCCATTTATGTGAAGAGGAAGGTTCAAATTCCCGTAAACATGATTAGATGTTTGATGTGCAGGAAGGTGACCTCATTTCATGCCTTGTTTCATTCTCAGAGTCATGTCTCTTCACATTACACTTTAGTAAATCAGGCCCGGGTTCAATACCCTTAATTTCACTTCCCTTCACAGACCTCACTTCAAATCCCGGAATGGTGACCGTTTTCATTAGAGCATTATTGTACTGACCTCCAAAAGCTCATGTGGCAGCTATCAGATTGGTCTGCAAGAATGTAGCATACTCCCCTTTTATTCTTTTTTATTATTATTTGTTTTCGGAACAGGCAAGTATTCAGAAAACCAATATGATAATGTGTTATATCAGCCTTTCTCAACCAGGGTGTCTTGACCTCCTGGAGTGCCTTCTTGCTTTCTCAGGGAAGCCTTGAAATTTTGTGATGGTTGCTGAATTAAAGATTACACACCAATCTTTAATTGACCACGTTTCCTTATAGTTACAGTATATTTCGTGAAAAAATAAAAAAAGGAAGTTGGATGGAATCTGCACAAAGGAAGTTGAGCAGAGTCTGCATTTAATCTATGCTTTCATATCCTGATTTGTGTATACAAATGTTATCTGTACACACCATATACTGTATATACCTTTTGAGCTACTTGAGTTATTTTACTAGGCTTGTAAATTTTATTTCCTGGTAATTTTCTGATGAAAAATGTATATAACCACTGCTTGCCATTTTTTATGGTACCTTATATCAACCTAGAATGACTCCTATTACATCCTACAGCCCTTCCCCGTTAGGCCCAAAGCTGACAGTATCTGCTGTCAGTGTGACTGCCAAAATATCCATCTGTGTAGCAGCTTTTTCAGCACTGATCAGGTGAAACGGTGTTTCCGTGTCAGTGTTTGTTACAATGGAAACATAAAACTGATATTGTATCTTTTTTTTTTTACACAGGGAAACCTAAAAGTAGAGAAAACTATTTTTCTCTTTTCTTGTTGTTGTTTTGTGTTTTTAAACTAAAGTCCTCGCTAGTAAACCCTAGATTTACCTTTTGTTATCCGTAAAGTGACACTAAACTCAGGTGTCTAAATCTTAAAAATGCATTCAAGTTCCCTAACTATTAACAATAATTATCTTATTTGCGTATCACTCAGCTGTAGATCCTCAAATCATCTCTGAATTCATGCCGACACTGTCCTTCCTTCTGGATGGTGGCTACTTATGTTGCCCATGATCCATGCGTGTGTGTTGTAAAGTAGCCACCGCTCCAAGCTCACTCCTGTGATAGACTACAATCTCATGTTTAGTTTATTGATTTATATTGAGATTGCAGTCCATCACGGGAGTGAGCTTGATGAGATGATTTGAGCATTTACAGCCGAGTGATACACAATTAAAATACATTTTTGTTAGTAGTTAAAGGAGAACTATGAGGTGAGTGCTTTTCACTCACCTCATAGTTCTAGCCGACCTGTGACAATGAGACTGTCACAGGTGGGCTCAGTAGATCGGGAAGTGAGCGAACACATACCGGCGTTTGCTCACTTCTCGATCCTGTCACGGCTCTCTGCCGTGACAGGGGAGGGGCTGGATTCCCCCTCCCCGCTCCGTTCCTCCAGCGCTGACTGGCGGAATGGACGGGGGAGGGGGTGGGACACAGCTGGCTCTGCTTCTAGATAGGCAGAGCCAGCTGTCACTCACGCAGCTAGGCGGATCCAGACATAATTGTCGGGACCCGCTTCAGCTGCGGCGTCTCAGTATTATACTGCGGCGTCTCAGTATACCGCGAGTATATGTAGCTCGCGGTATACTGAGCTTAGGGTGACGGGAGGACGCTAGTTTGTGTCCTCCCGTTACCTTAAGGAGAACTATGGGGAAAATCCCTAACCCCATGGTTCTCCTTTAAGGTACTTAAATGTATTTTTAAGTTTTAACTCCTGAGTTTATGGTCACTATAACGAGCCCTTACTACTAATACTAGCTTTTTTTTTTTTTTACTTCGGCCTTTTAAAATAAATATAATCAAATAACATTTGGAAGACAAATCTACTTAAAACAATCCTTATTTTTCCCCTAAAACAATATTTATCACTTTTGGGCCCATAAGTAAACTGTGAAAATGGCTCTGGAGCTTAACTGGTTATAGAAACATCATATAACTACACAATTAATGTCAGACAGAAGCTAGTGGTATTTTAAGAACTGAAAACCCGTGCAATAATCTTTATGAATTGACTTACATACAAATTAACTTAAACATTTTATTATAATGCTTTAAAGTAATCAGATCTGTTCAATAACAGTGAGTTGGAAAAAAAAAATGTTTAAATAAAAAAAAATTGTAAATAATTCACAATATTGAAAATTTGGCGTGATTGGGCCTTACTGAATTGACCCTATACCTGATCAAAATACCATCTTAAAAATATTCAGTGAAAGTTTGAGAGACAGTTACACATTTCATTGTACCGTATGTATTATTATATTTATTAATCTCATTTCTCTGTACAGACCATTCCAAAGGTTTTGGAGGGCGTTATGGAGTTCAGAAAGACCGTGTGGACAAGGTAATATGTGTAGGCAGTACAGCAATGTTTACTGATAGGGAGGGTTATTGATTAGTATTAGAGGAAGGACAGCTGTGTGGTATGAGGTTCTTACATGTCAAAATAAATGACATGTATAGAGCAATCTTAAGATAAGAAAAATAAATATAATCTAACAGAGAGCATGATAAATTTGAAAACACAATTTTGTTAAAGTAATCCCATGTAGGCTTATGTTATGCATAGGTTATCCAGAATTGGCAATATTGGCCATAACTGGCAATACACACAAGTATTAATGCATCTTTACTTGTAAACAATAGTCTGGAGACCATGAAATGAACAATTTCATGAATGAATTTTATACAGAGAATGTGCAAAACATATGGCCAGCATCTACAGCTTGTTAAAAGCTTGCTTAGGCCTCATTCACAAGTAAAAAGTTATCAATTGTCAACACAGTCAACTACTGCAGAAAATACATCATTGTTTGACAAGTCAATCAGTCCTGTTCTTATCTCTGTCTTGGCATTTTTGCTAGCACTGACGGCAACCTAAAGCAGCCTTATATCCAGGAAAGTTAAAGTATATTTCCACTTTGGCAGCCAAATTTGAGAACCCACCCCTATAGGTGTTTCCATCAGGGTTGCCCTACCCTGTATGCTGCCTGAGGGCTGGTTTACACCACAAACAGTGCGTTCCCGAGCGGTCAGGCTCTGGAACGCACTATATCACACTCTGGCTGGCTCCCTGCGTTCAAAGCGGGAGCGGGCATGGCGGTGCATTGAAGTCAATGCACCGCCAACAGTGCAAACACCCGCACCCAAATAAAATTTAAATTATGCAGCGCCCACAACAATCAATAAACGTGTCAATGTCACAATAAACTGTGAGCTGATCGTGAACCAAATAAATATACAAATTTGAATCAATATATCATCAATGAATATAAAATACAATCATAAAAAATATATATATATATTAAACAAATCAAAAACATCCAACAATTAATGAATTTTGTGGCATTTAAGTTCTTTCTTAAAAAACACCGTTACCCTGGGTCATTAATCCCACAGGGTCTGTGAAGCAGTTGAGTGTTGGTGATAAACCACCGTGAAAAAATAATGTTAATTAGTGGGATGTGTCGATAAAAAATATAGTGAAGAGAGTTCCGTGAACTTATGTTTGGGATAAGGGTCGATGCCGCACGTATCCCCTCAAAGGGTACACTCACCGTGAGGTAGTGGCTGTGGTAAGCAGCCGGAAGCGCTCAAACGAAAGCTCTCAAAGCCGCAGCATTCATCCAACGTCTCGCTACGGTCTGTGGTCAGCGGGTGATGTGTCTCCACGTTCATGGAAGAAAGGCTCCTTTCTTCCATGAACGCACGTATCCCCTCAAAGGGACAGAGAGGCGCTGATAGGCGCCCATCCCACGGCATCTGCGGCCACCCCAATTCCTCCACATACCCTCTACTGACATAGGGCCAGTTCAAGCACTATTGCAAGCACTATTTTTGCAGATTGCACTGGACCGGAATGAAGGCACTAATGTGTCATGCATTTGGGTGCCGCAGCATCCATCCAACGTCTCGCTACGGTCTGTGGTCGGCGGATTCACTTATCCAGCGCAGAATCACTAAAACACATACCCGCACCCAAATGCATGACACATTAGTGCCTTCATTCCGGTCCAGTGCAATCTGCAAAAATAGTGCTTGCAATAGTGCTTGAACTGGCCTTAAGGCAGTAGAGGGTATGTGGAGGAATTGGGGTGGCCGCAGATGCCGTGGGATGGGCGCCTATCAGCGTCTCTCTGTCCATCCCACCCAGCTCACTGACCTCACTGGTTGTTAGGAGCTCGGTAGGATGCCAGCCAGAGCTGGCCGATGACGTCAGTGAGCTGGGCAGGAAGCCAGAGAGAGCATGACAAGTTGCTATGAGCTCTTAGCAACCCAGAACACTGTGACCACCCTCATAGTGTGGCAGCATTTCATGATTGGGCCAGCATTCATAAATGGAGTAAATCACATACTCCCCCATACCGTATTTGGAGATATTTTTTTAAATATTTTTTGTTTACCTTCTGCTGTAGGTACTTGTAAATGCATGTGCTCCTTTGTATATAAAGTATTGGTGGTCCAATTTAATGGAAGAGTGTAAATGTTTGTGGCATGTATTTTTTATTCTAAAACATGTCCCCCTTGCTAGTCTCAGAAAGTTGGAAATTATCCCCAACATTAGAAAAACAGACACGAGGTACAAGGCAGATGCCAAACATCTAATCTCATGATGGGGAGCATATTTCCTAGACTTTCCTAGATAAAAATGTCCTACTATGTAAATGTGAAAAATTTATGTTACTGTATGTTGCCTTAGAATTTGGTCCATTTACAGTGCGGTATTTTTTAGTCTGCAGTAGGATTTGACTACAAGGCTCAGGTGGAGCAACACGCATCTCAGCAAGGTGAGCAGGTGACATTATTAAAATTTACAGTATACAACCTTCATAGTAATAGTCAATGCAGATTGAATTTAAAACCAAGAACAAAAATCCTATATATCGCTGTTACCAGTCTTTAGATCCGGTGGCTGCAGTTAATTTTTGTTCAGACTTCCAGTTCCTTTATTTTCACCTGGTGATCTTGGCAGTAGCACACTTCTTGTCCTAAGGTGCCAATGCTTGCTTACTGTACTGTATCTATTAGGGACGCCCCAAAATTTTGGCCACCAAAACATATCGGCTGAAAATGGTACTTTCTGCAAAATGCCGAAAGTACAATTTTGTGGGAAGAAATTGTGGTGCATCCATAGTTTCTCTACTCCTCACTGGGCGCTGCTCTGTGTCCCCTCTGACACAGAGCAGCATTCAGTAGGGCGGGAAGGAGATCCGAGCAGGGCGGGAAGGAGAGTGCAGTCAGCAGCGATGTCACAGGAGGTCGATCTCTCTTCCCATACCACCCCGCTCAGCCTCCCGTGACAGCCGAAGGGACTGGGATGGAGATTGGCTACAAGCACTCAACAATCAGCTGATCGCTGAGCATTTGTAAATAATTTGAGGACATAGTATGGTTGCTGTGTCCCCAATTATGAATGAACCGGAAGTGATCTACATTGCTTCCTGTTCATTCAAGATTGTGGACATAGTAACTCATGCTATATCCACAGTTTATATATGGACAGGAACACTCAGCATAGAGGCTTCCTGCTGATTCATAACAGGGGCTGCAGAACAAAAAAAGATTTAGAACTCTGTGTCCTAAATCTATTTTTCTATTTCAAAAGGGAAATATCAGGTGTCTGTTTAGACCCCTGATATCTCCCAAGAGCCCCCAACAGTAAATAAAAATATAAATTTAATATTAAAAAAAACTTTAAAAGGTTAGAAAAAAAAGAATTTGGTTGTGGCCTGACAAATTTTTTTTTTTTTCGGTTTCGGTCTGAAAATTAAATTTCTGTACACCTCTAGTATCTATGAAGGTGCAGGATTGTCAGCCTAAAATTATGACTCCTGATGTTCATTTCGTCATTATTCTAATCACTTTATTTCACTTGTCATCTTTTACTTGGCCTTCAGATTATTCAAAAGGATTTGGAGGTAAATTTGGTGTACAAAAAGACAGGCAAGATAAAGCAGCTCACAGCTGGAGCCACAAAGAGGAGGTACAGCCACATCAGTCTCAGACAGGTATGTGGAACCCATGATAGTCACAAAGTTGTGAATCTATGATATTAGAGGTAATGAGGCTGATTTATTAAAGAAACTGAGAATCTTCACTAAATTGTTTGACTATACACTTTATTTATCTGATCATATGAAAAGCATCTGCACATGAATGGATATCCAAAGACTCACTCTTGCAAATGGGGCTGATTGCTTGAGTGCCACAAGTTTATCTTTGAACAGCTGTGGATGGGAAGCGCTGTTCAAGGCAATGACAGCTGCCAGCCGTGTTCACATGTAATCGCACATGCTGGGTTTACCTGCGCATGTTCGCACCTGCATGGGCACAAAGAGTTCATAGCTGTTTGCATGAGTCTCACAGAGTAGTTTGTGAGATTCATGCAGTTGGCTCCATTCACAAGTGTGAATTGGGCAGAAGTGATGAGAGATTTGTTTTTCATGAGTGGATAAATTATGTTAACCTCCCTGGCAGTATGATTATTCAGGATTTTGGCATCCCAAAGCGGTACATTGTTTTTCATGGAAATTTGTTGTTTTATATTGTAGGCCTATGGGAATACCGCCAGGGAGGTTAATGAAGTTAAATAAAGGTAATCCCCTAGCTATCATCCCCTATCAGGGCTTCAAGTGCTGATTTACGTGATGTAAAGGTTAATGGAGCATGATTTAAAATTAGTAGTAACTAGCTGATTTGCTTCTTTTACCCAATTGGCTGTTGAAGCACACCTTTGTAAAAGATGGGGGCCATGATGAAGGGGGAATTTTAGGGCCCCTAAAATGCATTAGATTGTTATTTTTATTTATTACAGATATTTATATAAAGTACCATCAATTTACACAGTGCTTTATATATTGTACATTCACATATATACACATACAAGGGCCACTTTAGACAGGAGCCAGTTAAACCTACCAGCATGTCTTTGGAGTGCGGGAGGAAATCAGAGTACCCGGTACAAGCAAGCAGAGTACCAACAAGCACAGGGAGAGATTACAGACAGTGTCCTGTCTGAACCTTTGTCTATCTTTTCTACCATTTCTATCTATCCTACCCTTCCAACCCTTTCTATCTTTATCTCTCATTTTATCAGTTCTTCCCTTTCTCTCTCCCCCCCCAAGTTCTGAGCTCTCTTTACCTAAACTTTTTACTCTTTTGCTCCCTCCCTCCCTCTTCTTTTTAATCTCCATTACATTTCTTCCTTCAATTTAAGCCTTATTCGTTCCATTGTGATTTAGCCCTAGGGTATACTCGCATCCCATGTACCCCCTTCTCCCTCTGAGACCTTGCCACTTGTATCCACCTGGTTGAGCTTCAATTAACCCGCGTTACTGTTAGATTACTTATTCGTTTGCTCTACAAAGACATGGTCTCTTCCCCTGGTGTTAAATACATCAATTTACTATGTTCTTCTGTGTGGCATGTCAGTTGCTGTGAGATGTACCATAACATATGCTGTGTGCCCTTTACCAACATTGTGTGTTATTTTGTTACACCTACATGATTCTGTAATTTTTTTATACTCTTGTTTGCAGTTTTTGTATTGTTCCTAATGAATAAAAAAATATTTTGGAAAAAATAAATAAATTGCAGAAGGCAAATAATTTACATATTGTATCTAAAATGTGTATATGTCCAGATTAATGTTGTATTGCAAAAGCAATGGATGCCCCCGGCAAAATAATACTAAATTCAGTGTGATCAGTGCCATTTTGTATGAGTATTATGTATGTATAGTGCCCATGCACAGGGCAGGGCCAAGACCTTGTGGCTCTGCACAGATTACTGCTAAAATGTCAGAGATTTGAAACTATAGATTTCCTATTGCTGATAACTTGAAGTTAACAATATAAATTTAAAAAGCACTTCTGTTTCGTTTCATGTTGCTCACTGTTTTTATACTGTATATATGAAAGATGCACATTTGTAAATAATATAATCTGTTGTTCAATTTTAAATGTAGCTTTTCCATTTATAATGATATATTTATCTTGGCCTCAATAGATCATTCTCAAGGATTTGGAGGGAAATTTGGTGTACAGAAAGACAGACAAGATAAATCTGCTCACAGCTGGAGCCATAAGGAACAACTACAGCCCCATGAATCTCAGACAGGTAACATGTAGAGCCAAGGGCAGCACAGTGGCATAGTGGTTATCATTAAGGCCCATTCACACTGAGCAATTTATTGCGTGGTAATTCCCGCAATATCACGGCTATTTACCGCGCGATATCGCTCTCCAATGCATGGCAATGGGGCCTGGTCCGTCGCTGTCGCGGGTGGTGCATCGCTACAGAAGGACCCTTTTTGGAGCGGATTATGCCGCGATTCTAGCTTGCTCAATGCAAGCATTTGCGCGATATCATGCAAATCGCGCGACAAACGCGCGATTTGCGAATCGCTCAATGTGAATGGTGCCTAAGGGTCCCTGATTCAAATCAGGACACTCTCTGCAAAGAGTTTGCATGTTCTCCCTGTACTTGCGTGGGTTTCCTCGAGGGTCCTCCGGTTTCCTTCCACACTCCAAAGACATGCTGGTAGGTTAATTGGCTCCTGTCTAAATCAGCCCTCATATGTATGCATGTGAGATAGAGACCTTAGATAGTAAGCTCCTTGAGGGCAGGGACTGATGTGAATATGCCCAACTAATCAGATGTTAGCACGGTACTCATATCCAGTAGTCACCCAGGCTAGCACACCCCTCTCTGCTTGTGATGGGTATAAAAGTCCCATAAAAATGCAGTATAATAAAAGAAAAATCCAAATATGTGTTTTTTATGTTTCATGTTGCCAAGAAGCAGATAAATATTAAATCAGGCTCCCATTCCCAATTCTGGTTGTCATAGAGATCCTATGTTTTTACATAAATCTGCAAACTTCCAAATTAAATACATACAGCAGGGCAATAGTTTACTTAGCAGGGAAAACAGATCATCAGCATACGAGCCAAGCAACTTACACTTATTTTATGAAAGATTAAGTTTTTAGTTAACGAGCAAATAGAGTCCGAATGATTTACACTTTAGTCAAAGCGGTGTAACCAATTTTCCCATTAGAAGCAACAATATATACAGTTTACAAATGTTTTGAACTTGTAAAGCAGGGGTGCCTATTAGGTAGATCGTGATCTACCAGTAGCTCTCACAGTTGATGCTGGTAGATCAGGAAGGGTGTGAATGGTGGCCCCTTTATTCTTACATAGTTACATAGTATTTGAGGTTGAATAAAGACATTAGTCTAATTAGTCTATTTTGGTATATTTATTTAGCTGCACACATGATTACCTATTAGCCTGAGTCTGCTGAGCCAAGCTCCCTGACACCTTTCTGGTGGATTCTGGTGGTTGAAGTGCTGCTATGTATTACATCAAAGAATATTAGTTTACACAGCCTGTTGCACTACACCGTCTGCAAAATACAGGAAGGTGAGCCAGGAGAGAGAGCGGGGAGAGACAGACAGGAAAGAGAGAGAGAGGAGAGACAGCCAGGGGAGAGCAAGGACAGCCAGGAGGATGAGCAAGGAGAGACAGCCAGGAGAGAGAGCAAGGAGAGACAGCCAGGAGAGAGAGCAAGGAGAGACAGCCAGGAAAGAAAACGAGGAATGACAGCCAGGAGAGAGAGAGCGAGCGAGGAAAGACAGCCAGGAGAGAGAGGAAGGACAGCCAGGAGGATGAGCAAGGAGAGACAGCCAGGAGAGAGAGAGAGAGCAAGGAGAGACAGGCAGGAGAGCGAGGAGAGACAGCCAGGAGAGAGAGCGAGGGAAGTTTATTTTTTTTGGTAGATCTCATGTAGCTCGCCATTTGAAAAGTACATCTTAACACAAAAATTGTGTGCACCCCTGTTGTAGAGAGATCAGACCAGAAAGGAGAGAAGCATTGGAATTTCCTAGATCTGGAACATACCATAGGCCATTTCTTTGCCCAACTCTCATAATGTGCATGAACGTGTATTCACTGAAACCATTGTTATTTTAGTTATTTTTACTGTTTACAAAAACACAGAGCCTATAGTTGTCTCCTCTCAGTCTACTCTGTACTGTATTTGCCACATGTTTGGTTCCTATTTGTATAAGGCACACCCATAATAATGAAGCCATGCTTTTGCTTCTAGTTCATGACCAACGTGACAGTATTGTATGATGATTACACCTCCAATGTACAGCAAAGATCTAGCAGAAAATATATCAGGATTACTTCACATAATCCTTAGGCTGGGTTCACACCTAGGCCGTTTTCGATGTGTGAACAGCTTGCAGTTATATGCGCATTTATGCGCATTGTGCACATTTGTATGCACGTTTTAACACGCGTAGATGAAGGCGTGTGTTCTTATTGGCAGCTCATAAACCATTGTGGCCAAAGGAAGAACGCGCGTATAAACGTGCAAAAAACGCTCACGAAAATGTTAAACATGCTTCTGTTGCACGTTTTTGGGCATTACCAAAGAAGTCTATGGGGCAAAAAAGCACTTTTAACTCTCCAAAGAAGCTTCTATACCTTTTCGGGAATTTGGCGTTTTTCTGCTTAGGTGTGAACCAGGGCCATTGAAAACAATGGGATTTCTTGTGTTGGGCAGTTAAAAGCGCTTTTCGAACTGCTCAAAAACTCCTAGGTGTGAACCAGGCATAAACATTTCTTAGAAATGTGTATATACTGTATATTGTGCAGTAGGCATGCACCAATACCATTTTTTTCAGACTGAGTACGAGTACTGATACTTTTCCTCAAGTACCAAGCGATACCAATTACCGATACCTTTTTTTTGTGCTTTTTTTTGTTTCATAAACAAAACAATACAGACAAATGATTTTATGTCAGTGGGGGAGCACCAGATCCCAGACGCAGCTGCAAACATTGTGACTTTGGTAGTTCTGCCACTGACTCCAAGCTGCAGAGGGACTATACATCCCAGGAATATATTTTAAAGCAATGCAGAATAATATGAAGCTACATGCTCTGTTTTGCTCACCGGGACTGCGGGCATGGTCTCATGCGGGCTGGTACGGGACTCACCAGGGCTGTGCGGGCATGTGCGGGACTCCCCAGTGCTGTTCCTGATCTCACCATGGCTGTGCAGGCGATAGGGTCTCACCATGGCTGTGCGGGTGGTGGGAAGGAGGAGATGCACGAGGTCCCCACAAGGCTCCTAAGAGGTCCCCAGCAAGCAGCCAAATCTATTTAAAGCATTATCGGCACTAACTTACTAGAATCGGCGGGACCTTACAGCAGCCAAATCTATTTAGTGCAGTATCGGCGCTCACTATCAGGGGCATTTCCACGAGTACTCATGAAAATGCCCAATATCAGTATCGATACCGATACTGGTATCAGTGCATACTGACTTTATAGTAAGTAATATATCACAGGTTAGGTGTTCATTGAAGTGTCATTACCACATTTTGCTTGACATTTTAAATCCTAAAAGATAATGCTTTATTCACTAATAAAAAATACTAAACTAATTAAAATTATAATTATTTTTATTATTTAGATTACACAAAGGCATTCGGAGGGCGCTTTGGAGTACAGACTGATCGTGTGGACAAGGTGAGAAGCTCATATTGCACAGCTAACTATCAAGTAGTGGCTGGGTACATAGGAAGCGAATGTACATAGCGGAAGATTCATTCACCATGCTGTTAACGTGGATGGAGGAATCTATCATCATTTTTTCCTTCAGCCTCACCGTGTGTATGATGTAACCAGAGAAGTTTGCTTTGTTTATCTAATTGTAAAGTTTTCAATCATTCATTGTATTGAAACTTGTGAGTCAGAGCAATTATAATCAGTAGTTGTGCTGTTAACTCAGTGTGTTAATTGCATTTACAAAACCTTGCTTACTTTATATGTAAATATAAAAAGGATAGCATGGCCAAGTGATATTATTTAGATGTGATGATAATACATTTACCAGCACTTCATACCCTAGCTAGTTGACTGTTAGGAACTAGACATGTGCGATTCGTTTCGTTCCGAATCGAAATTCGGACGAATTTTCGTAAATTCGGACATTCGGATGTATCCGAATTCCGAATTACAGACATAACGAATGCAAACGAATCCGAATTTCCATTTCCGAAATTCGGTAGCGTTCGCACGAACGTTCGTTTCGTTTTCTGTTCTTATTCGTTTCTTATTCGTTTCGTTCGTTGGAGCAAAGTGACATTAGAGAAGGAAAAAAAATATTTTTTCCCCCTCAAATGTCACTTTTGCTGCAAACGAACGAAACGAATAAGAAACGAATAAGAAACGAATAAGAACAGAAAACGAAACGAACGTTCGTACTAACGCTACCGAATTTCGTCCGAATCCGAATTCCGAATCCGAATTCCGAATCCGAATTGACTTTCACACCCGAATCCCGAAAAACGAAATAACACAAATCCGAATTTAAAACGAAACGAAACGAATTTTTTGGCAGTGCACATGTCTATTAGGAACATAGAGTATTTGGGAATCCATTCTTTTCCAAACTGCATAAATCAAGAGAACAACAAGAACAGCACCGTTGTTTGTTGTTCTAGCATACTAACGTATTCAGTGTGGGGAGCTTGCTGTTCATTTATCTATTGACTCCATATGAATACGGTGACAGTCCCCATGCTGTTTGTTTGCATTGTATTTAGAATACCTGAACGGAGCTCCATTCGTCCATTGGCATTTTCCAACAGACTCCTTCAATCAATTGATTGAGGGATGCCGGGCGGAAGGGTGCCGACAGCGGCATCTACTGTTCGAATTATGGCCGGTTGCTTTAAGAAATCGGCAGAAATTCATCCCGTGTATACCCTACTGTAGCCATAACCCTACAACAAATATGCTTTCCTAGTCTGCATACCTGTTCCAAGTCAAACTGAAAATTAAAACCAATGTCCCTGGCAGAAAAAGGTCAGCAATTAAACCACAAAGCTACTCATGCACTCACTTATTATCTCTCCTCTCAACTATTGCAACTCCCTCCTCATTTGCCTACCACTACACAGGCTATCCCCCCTTCAGTCTATCATGAAATGCTGCTGCTAGACTCATCCACCTAACCAACCACTGAGTGTTTGCAACCCCCCTCTGCCAATCCTTCCACTGGATTCCAATCGCCCAAAGGATAACATTCAAAGTATTAACAACCACTTACAAAGCCATCCACAACTCTGGCCCAGCTACATCTCCAACCGCATCTCAAAGTATCACCCTAATGGTCCCCACTGCTCCTCCCAAGACCTCTTGCTCTCTCTCCCTTGTCAACTCCTCCCATGATTGCCTACGGTACTTCTCTAGAGTCTCTCCCATCCTTTAGAACTCCCTACCCCAACCTGTCTATCTTTTACTCTGTCTGCCTTTAGGAGATCTCTAAAGACTCATCTCTTCAGGGAAGCCTATCTCACCTCAACCTAACCACTAAGCTATCACTTTCACAAACAATTCATCCCCACACAGCCACCACCTCTTGTATCGCTTGCCCCTCCCTTTTATATTGTACGCTTTCAAGGGCAGGGCCCTCCTTACCATCTTGTCTTGGGTTGTATTGTGCTTGTAATGTCTTCCTTATATTGTAAAGTGCTGTGCAAACTGTTGGCGCTATATAAATCCTGTATAATAATAATAATGGCAGCCTCCATGTTTCTCTCTTATCGGGTTTACTTACTCATTTACATACAGGTTTACTTATTTACTTACTCTTCTACATCTAACAGTCTGGGATCATCTGATGAAATAGAAACATTACCATAACATATTAAAGGGATCCATACATGTGGTCATACTTTTGTAACATATGAATGATTATCTCTAAGCATGCCATAATAATGGTTGCAGATCACAACCATTCATCAGATCCTCAAGTTGTGTCTAGTCCTCAGTTATTTCCAAATGCGTCTTAAATAACCTGGTTCTCATTGTAACTGCCTAGGAAGTATTTGACATAGATAGCATAAAGAATTTGCAATTTACATTAAGGCTAGGTTCACACCTGGGCGACTCCTGACCGCAGCTGATCACGCTGTGGGTGCCATTATTTTGTTAAGGCACCCCAGTCGCGCCCAGTGGATTGCGTGGTTTCCTGCCGCGATTCTGCCCGTGCAAGTGAACACGGCTAAAAAAGCTGTGCGTCGCAAAAAAAGGTACTTGTACCTTTTTTTAGCGATTGCCTTGTGGATGTCACCCCATTGAAATGGGGCAGCGCGGCAACGTGTGTCCTGGGTGTCGTTGAGGTGTGAACCTAGCCTAAAGAAGGACCCATTGTGTATAGGTAACTCACCCTTTTTACGCATTTTGTCTCTAAAGTCTGCCTCTGGATTTGCTGACATTGAATCACCAAGTTCTGTATACCAGAAAACACAGCCTCTGGAAGCCAGTAAGTTTCATGAATTTGACTATGTTTATGGAAATAATCTAGGAGCTATGGGTGTAAATATGAGCAATCACAATAAAGCCTACGTATATGCTTGTGCATATTATATTTCTGATAACACAGTACAAGAAAGGGAAAATAATATTCTATAAGTATCTGTAGCTTAGATTTTTTTTTTTTTGTAATTTATTATATAATTTTTTTCTTCTGTAATTATAATTTTTAGCCAATACTTGTTTCCTCGCTGTCAATTCTACTCATGTTTGTATTTTTATTCTATATTTTTATATTTTATATTACATGTATGATTTTATATTACTTTATTTACTATAGTTAGGACTAAAAAAATAAAACCTTTAGTATATCCTTCAAAGCACACAGTCACTGCTAGATTGTCTCTTAGCTAAGCTATGGTGCTGTGGAAATCCTTTGTCATATGTTAAAGGTTTTTTGAAAAACAAAGTTAAAATATTGAATAACAATTTCAAATGTATAAATACAAAATAAACATAGACCATTATCGTTCTCCTATAGTTCACTTACATAAGTAAAAATTAGACTCATGATACAAGAAATAACAATAGTGGTGGCAAGAGATGTCTGATTGTTTCCTCTTCTTCTCTTGGACTCCCTGACACGGGAATAGAAAGTGGGGCAATATTCTTAAGACAGACAAAGTCAACAATTAAAACCTGAAAGAGGTTAAAACTGTACCCAGCACATTTGACATTGAGTACTCAGACAATTAATTAAACACCCCTCCCGCTATACAACAAAACGATTTTCAATAATAAGCATGCAATGCAATACAGGGACCCTGCCTCAAAATGTTTTTTCCACTTTTGCATTCAAATTTGAGACACTCCCACCATATGTTTGTTATGTTTTCCCATTTGCACAGCATACCTAAAAATATATATTGTTTAGACACTGCAGACACTGTTAAGAGGGAGGTCAGTTCCTCCAAAACCGTCTACATTGATGCATACCTGTACCTGGGGCAGATCGATTCAACCACCCTGCCCTTGGTACGCCACTGGCTACAACCCCTATCCGCTTTTGGTGGGACGTTAAGCAAATTTATTAGCATGTATATGATTAAAGACATATTTTAGGATGTTGATGAGCCTAATTATAATTTTTGCAGATGAGATTTGTTTTGATGATAATTAAATACATTTGACCATTTTCAGAGTGTCTGTGTTGTGCCTGGATCACATGTATGGTTCTGTTCTTCGGAAAAAGACAATGTCTTTTTTTTCAATGTAGTATTTTTTTACAGTTAAAATCCTAATAACACCATATCATTTTTTTTAAGTGACAAGTGGTGCTCAGAATCTAAGATCACGTTTTGAAAACATGGCTAAAACAGCAGAGGAAGAAAACCAAAAGAAAGCAGAAGAAGAGAGAGGGAGGAGACAGAAGAGAGAGAAGATGGAGAAAGAGGGACAAGCAAAAAAAGAGGTATCACATAAATAAAATGACTGCTTATTAAAACAGTCAAAATAAAAAAACGGATATGTACACTAGAAATTTCCCTTTTGTAATAGCTGGCTAACTACTGAGCAGAAGGTTTCTAATCTCAGTTCCCAGTAGGTGTACCTGGTTACCTATTGTTTTGATGAGAAAAACAATGGGATAAACAATGAATACAGAAAACAGAGAAACAAAATAGATGAGGAATAGTAAGAAGACCATAGTTTATGTAACTAAAAGATTACCGTAAACCTACCCATGCAAGGCAAAGTAAAAGTTTCACTTATCTACCCCCTCCCCAGCAGCAGATACTCATTGTTCCTCATTCCTCCAATGCTCTATTTGACCATAAGGTCACATACTGTAAGTACCATAAGGTCCTTAAGTAAAGTATTGGGCAGTTTTAAGTATGAATACGTATATGACAACACTACATGCTGCATAATTGGCATAGTGCTGTCACATGGGGCCAGGAAAGAAGTCCATAGCCTTAACTGAGCTCCAACAAGTTGATCCTTGACCTACACAGGGCCTTCTTTCACCTTCTCTGCATGGGCATGAAAAGGTTCACTTTCCCAAACATTCCTTTCAAAGTAACTATAGCATTATGTCTGCATATATCTGCTTGTACCTACATCTATGAAGATTGTTAAACGGTTCATTTTGTTGTAGGTTCAAGAAAATTCAGAAACTAATGTTCCTCAGAGGCTATCTGTTCCAGTTCCAGTTCCAGTACCAGTACCAGTTCCAACTCCACGTGTTTCGACGGTGACAGCACAACCTGCTGAAGAAGAAGAAGAAGTAAATACATTTCCATAGACTATAATATTAAACATAGGGTTTTCCACATGCTATTGTTATATACTTCACATCTGTTTAAATATTACAGGATCCCAACTATGAAGCATGTCCAATGGTCCCTCCAAGATTGCCAATGATTGCTCCTGTGCCTCCTGCAGATGAAACATCCTTTAATGAGGAGACATATGAAGACATCATAGTTCCCCCTCCTGACACAGATGATTATGAAGCTATTCCAGATCCTCTTCCAAGGGAGCAGGAAGAAGAGGATGGTGAGGAATATGAATGTATCCTGGAACAACAAGATGATAAACAGGAAGGCCTATATGAAGAATTACCAAAAGAGGGTGAGTAGAAGTTAGACATGTGCACCAACAAAAAAATTGTTTAGTTTAGTTTCGTTTTGATTCGGATTTTGCATTATTTCGTTTTTCGGATTCGGGTCCGAAATTTAATTTGTTTCGGAATTCGGCCGAAATTCGTTAGCGGTAGCCCGTTCGAAATTTCGTTTTTGGACCCTTTAGGTCTGGTAGGAATGTTAGGAGGGACCCCCTCCCCCCCACGTTAAAACACAAAAGAAAGTGCGTGGGGTTCCCCTTAAAATTCCTACCAGACCTAAAGGGTCTGTGAGCCAATGTGTCATCTGAAAAGCATTATCACACCTTGGCTTACAGACCCGAATAGCATTTGGAAACTCATGAATAGTATTCGGGAGTTCCCAAATGCTATGTAGCATTTGACAGCTGAGAGTGTCAAATGGGCGGAGCGAGCCGTGACGTCACGCTCGCTCCGCCCATCTGTTTATTTTTGGACTGAATGTCATTTTGCGGCAAATTTTCTTCGGGATCGGACGGGGGTCGTGCAGCGGGACTTTTTTTTATTTTGGCGGGTCGGCGGGGGTCCTGCACCGTGATTGACTCTGGATTACATTGATGGAGCCATTTTTTTATTTTTTATTAAAGGAATAGTCAAAAATTAACTGTTTGTTTTTATTTCAATGAAAGGATTTTATCAAAAGTCTGGACTTTTTACTAACTATTTGATTTAACCCTTTAGTGAATGGGTAGGGGTACAAGTACCCCTTACTCATTCACAGGGGGGGTGGCATCTGGGTGCCCCCTTATTTAAAGGGGTACCCCGATGCAAATAAGCCCCCTTGCCCGCAGACCCCCACGACCACCGGGCACATGGAGGGGGGGCGCTTGATCGTTCATCCCCCCTTTCCTGCCCTGCCGGGCCAGTGCTCGGAACAAGGGTCTGGTAGGACTGTTAGGGGGAACCCCACGTTTTTTCCCCATTTTTGGGGGCTGGGGTCCCTCCTAACATTCCTACCAGACCTAAAGGGTCTGGTATGAATTGGGGGGGAACCTCAGTCTTTTCTTTTTACTTCTGCAAACTAAAAAAAAACAATTAAAAATCGATTTTTGTTTTTCCTAATGTCAGTTTGCTGCAACGAAATTTCGTCCACAAACTAAATTTTGACCGGACTACCGCTACAAAACGAAAATTTGTCCAAAAACGAAATTTCGACCGGACTACCGCTAACGAATTTTGGGAAATCGGGAATTCGGATTTGTTTGCTTTCGTTTTAGCTCTAATTTGGAATTCGGATGCATGCGAATCTTCGAATTTCTGAAATTTCGTCCGAATTTTGTTTCGGTACGAAATGAATCGCAAATGTCTAGTAGAAGTAGAACATTCAAAGAGAATAAATACAAAGGTAACACGCTAAAAGTTACCCCAACCAAGTTACTTCAATGCTATCTCTTACTATGTTTTTTTCACTAATATTGTGTACATGTGACATCATGTCATAGTACATAATCAAGAACTGTCCAAAATGTCTACAATGTACTGTATGGCCAGATTAAGGACAGACTTAGATCCCTCTCAGACTCATTCACATACAATAAAAGATGCCAAGCTTCTAATTATTTAGCCCTTTTTTTTAGGACAGGCAGTGTTGCAACTGATAATAAGATCTGGCAGCACAGTACGAACAGGGTTAATTATCATAAACATTACCCCCCAACCACCACCACCTTGCATTGCAGAGGAAAACTTAGAACAGAGAAGCTTTTTTTAAAAAAAATTGAGCATGTTTCATGCAAGCAAGAAATTTTTTTTTTTTAAAGTTACGTTATGTGAATGAGAAACATGAAACAAATATTAAAATTGGTGTTATCCCGATTTTGCTGCAAAAGTGGAAATGCACCTTAAAGCGTACTTTACTTCTACTTTTGCAGTCAATTTTGAGGAAACCCCTATATATGTTTGTTGTGTGTTCCCATTCACACAGCATAGCTTAAAATAATGATTTATATGGTTTTTTTCACAAATAATTTTATTTGACCAGAGAGTTTTTGACTTGCTTAAAAGAAGGTGTTTGGTCTCTGCGTGGTGAAGCGGGGTTTGTGCTGGCAACACAGAACCTTGTGTGGCAGAGTAAACTTGCTCCTTGAGCAGTGGAACTGCTTGATGGCAGGTCTGCGACACTTGTTGACAGGAATCACCTCAGCCTCACGGTGTAAATGGCATGGGCACGAGCACGATGATGCGCACCCATGTCGTGGTAGCACTATGTCACAACACTAGCTGTAGTCAAGTCTCTGTACTCTCTGTACATATTGTGTGTTCCACTACGTGAGTCATAGTTTAGCCAGATGGAAAAGTTCTTCACCTTCAGTGAAGACTTCTCAAAAACATGTACACAAAACACAATCTCTCAAGATGCTTTCTTCATCTTCTTCAGTTGAGAGACAAAGTACCAAAAACTAGACTTTGCAGCAACATGGTTAGGCATGAAAATTTGAATACAATATGGTGGTGGAGTAGGTGCCTTAGCAGTAAGCAGACTGCACCCAGTGACTTTGTATTCCCTTACAGTCCCGGACACCTTCATGCTGTCTCGATCCCTGCCGCCGAGCGAAATCTTAAAATAATTTTTAAAAAGCCATTTCTTACATTTTAGATTTTTTTGCTGCAGCAGGCAACATGGCTGATTCCAGGTTTCTCTGAGAACCTACACAGTGATCTGTCGTTATAGAAAGACTTAGAACTGAAATTTGAGGATCGTTTTCCACTCATTAACCTCATTAACATACAATGGAGAAGCCAGGCATTTAGTCCTTTAACCCCTCACCGGTCACAGCCCCTTCCAACTTTACAAAGGAAAAGCGAGTAGAAATTGTAACCCTTAAGAATCCAAGGAACCCTAACCCATGTGAAAGCAATTTAAAGTGCACATTTTTTTTTAATTTTTTAGCTAATGCTATATGAATGTGAACATGTAACAACTATAAAACAAATATTATTCCAATTTGGCTGCAAAGGGGAAATACACATTAAGTCAGCCATACCTCCAGCCAGAGCTCAGTGCTGATGGCAAGCATTGAAAATTGCCATATAACAAAGCTGTTGTCAGGATCACTTGAAAGAAAAAAAAAGTTTGTTAATTGACCGTTTTAACCTCCTCTATCCACAGGTAACACAATGTGCTGATATATTGGTTTTAATGTAAAAGCAAGCGGACAATCAATAGATCCTACAAGCAAGAGCTAAGTGAGATTTCATAAGACAGCCTTTCTTAACCTTTCACCTCGAAGAAGCCCTAAAAATAATTTTAAAAGGCTCTGGCAGTCACTGCTAAAAATGATTATACCTACAGCTCGTGGTACATTAGCATGATCAATAAGTAACCATGGCTGAGAAAGGCTTTATATGCAGTAACGAAGCAAAACATTACTCATTTGAGTCTTGCTAGAAGTTCAAATTTCAAGAAGTTGCTTGAAGTTCATTCCCCTTAGGCCCCTTCCACTTGGGCTTTTCAATTAGGTCAGTTTTTCAGGTGGATCTGATCAGACGCTCAATGTTAGTCTATGGGCAACCTGATCTAAATGGACGGGCGCCCATTTACTTCCCAATACCCCCGGCTCCGGGCCAGGTCCGGAAAAACAAATGGATCAAAGATTCCTTTTGAAGGACCTGAGCGTGCCAGATTGGAGGTAACTGGATGTAAATGTATTTCCATCTGTTTAGCTCCGGCTGCCAATTTACTAATATGGGTGTGATTATGTCAGCCTTACAGTTTTCTTCAGAGACATATGTAGGCCTACAGCACTCTAAAATCATCTTATAACCCACAGTTATATTTTAGAAGCTTCAATACTTTAATGAACACAGCCTTCTTTTTTTGTCTTTAAACAGGCACCAACGGGATCTCTGCCATTGCTCTGTATGATTACGAAGCAGGTAGGCTGAAAATGTGTCTATTTTATTTGCCATTTTAATATTAATGATAAGAATAATTTGAAACTGGTTCAAAGAACCTAAGAACCAAAGTGTAGTTGTTGCCAACATCAAATAATCAGGTTTATCTTTCATTTTGTAAAAACAAATATACAATAATTCTTATTTAGGCACTGTGGTTTGTTCTCATTTTCTATTATCCAGAGTACATGAATCAATCTTATTTGTGTGCAGTCTCAGTGTTAATTTATTGCAGATACCTTTCCACTGCAAAATAGGGGTTGATGTATGCAGTCTACAAAATTCTAGGGAATTCTCTTTGCTTAACGCAGCAGAGCGAACTTCATAATTGGAGGTCGGCTGGTCATGTGACTTTTGACAGGTCACATGACTGGGCTCTCCTCCTAGATTTTGTTACTATTTTTATTCATTTAATAGTGATGTGCTGGCTTCAGAGTCCTGAAGATTGTGGAGCGCTAAGCAAATCTACAAAGTATATAGTTGTGCTTTTGGAAATGTATCAGGTTTTTTTTAGTTTTGTTTTTAGGCAGCAGTATGGCCACGGTGGTAGCGTATATATTATATATTATATATTTTTATAATGCATAAAGAAATCCAAAGAAAAAACATTTAAAAGGGCTACTGACTATGGCTGACATGGTCACAAGTATGTATGTCACAGAATATTTTTACAAAGATATACCTTCAATATAGACTTTTTATTTATTATGTTCAAGGCTAAAAAGTACACTTCTTTTTTAATGTTTCTATTCTTAAAAATATTGAATATTGCATATAAATATTGGTTATTTGCTGTTTTGATCAACAGTTAGAGAATTTAGCCAAGTTTAACAGGTTAGCTGTTTTGCTTAAAAAAAAGTGTGTTTACAGAGCCCAATACAGTAGTTGAAGCTCAGAATATTTGCACAGCTGAATGAACCAGAGAAGCGATCTTGCCCTCTTTCCTCTCCTCTCTCCTCCCCTTGCTGTATAGGGCTCCATAAGGAGTTTAGTTACAAAGAGACAGTCAAAAAGAAAGTCACTACTTTTGTGCTCTCTCATGGGTTAGAAAACCCTAGATCAGGGGTGGCAAACTCAAATTCATCGGGGGCCGCATCAGCAGTATGGTTACCCTCAAAGGGCCGGTACAGCAAGGCAAGGACAGCCTCCCACGTGTCTTTCCGGCAGAATCCGCCTGTGGCTTGCCAGGCTGCCAGTACATTGTCAAGATTTAAAGATGCTCTGTTGCTGAGCGCCGGCCATCTTAATGAGTAACCAACAGACTGCCAGTGACATGTCACTGCAGCCTGTGCTGCCTGGCTGAGCCCACAGCTGATCCATCCAGCGCCTGCACGGAGGGGCGCTGCGTCCGCGGGCGCACAGTAAAGATGATCTTCGACCCCTGATTCCGCCTGTGGACTGGCCTGCCAGAGTGCCAGTACTTTGTCCAGTTTTAAAGATGGCCGCCGCGCTGTCGCGGTGGCCATCTTAATGAGTCATTCATAGACTGCCAGTGACACTGTCACTGCTGTGCTGCCTGGCTGAGCTGACAGGTAAACTGTCAAGCGCCCGCACGGAGGGGCGCTGCGCCCGCGGGCGATTATTAAAGAGTTTTTTTTTACTGAATCTGTGCCGGTCGCCAGGCGCCCATGTTGCTATGGCGCCCTGTGCGACCGCACAGCCCGCACAACCCTAAGGCCGGCCCTGGCTGTGCGGGCCACAGTACAAGGTCCGGCGGGCCGGATTCGGCCCGCGGGCCTTGTGTTTGCCACCCCTGCCCTAGATACTTTGCAAAAACTATGTCATGGTGACATAAAATAATTTAAAGACTTATTTGTGAAATATAGGGGTCTATTCACTAAGCTGTCGTAGGCAGCCGAGTGAATGACCGACCTGAAGTGAAGTGAGATTTTTATGTTTTTTTCTCTATTCTGACATCGCTCGTGTCAGAATAAAGAAAAAAAGAAACAGCATTGTTTCTCTCCTTGGCGGCCGGGAGCAGGAGACTCCCGGGGCGCCAGAGAGAGTTAGCTGTTTGGAGATCAGTGTCCCTGGTTAGCAGGTAACCAGGGACGCTGATCTCTCTGCAAGTGGCTCCGCCCAGCTGTTAGAAGCAGGCTGTTCTTGTCTGCAGCATGCTGGCAGGGACAGGCTTTTCTATTTAGGCTGTAGCTGTAAAGGTAGCTGTACACCTTACAACCTTTGGTCGATTATTTTCGCACGACTGCCCCATCATGCACAGACCAATGTGGATTTCAATTATCGTTCGTTAGCAATACTAACTGAATTTCGTCGATCGACAGAACAAATTTTTATTTGCGCATGTGCAGTGTTCATGTTGCGATTTTTTTGTGTGTACAAAAACGCCACTTATCCAGCGATTTTCGTACAATTTGAAAGAAGTTTTCTAGCCTGACCGATAGACGAAATTCGTCCAGTTGTACAGTAATTGTGATCGTTCAATACCCATCAACTGGCCGATTATCATACGGAACACCCGATTTAGTTTGCAAATCGAATGATAATTGCAAGGTGCATGGGCACCTTTAGACGTCCGTTTGATGGCTCTGGAATGTTAAGAAACTGCTGATTTAAACTGAAAGTTGAGTTGGGCTTTACATATAGTTACAGTATGTTCAACATGTTTCACCCAAGCTGCAGCTTATATTCAGGTGTAAAGTGTACTGGAAATGACATTTTGGGACATGCTATAACATGTGACATTTTCATTTAAATCTTCTTGTTTTGTAATTCTCAGGTGGTGATGATGAGATTTCATTTGAACCTCAGGATATCATCACAGAAATTGACATGCTGGATAAGGGTTGGTGGAATGGATGCTGCAAAGGTCGGCGAGGGCTCTTCCCTGCTACCTATGTGGAGCTTATGCAGTGATAACCTGACTTTGCTATTTTGATACTGTATGTCATGCTTCTTGAAAATGTCTTTTTCCAGTTGTGTATTGCAACTCAAAGTATTTTTGGACAGTACTAAATATTGTAAGATAAAACATTTGTAACCTTGGTTTAAAGCCCTACAACTAGAAGTTGTTTCTGTTTAGTTTTGGACACAGTGAGGAAGGGATAGAATTTACTTGTGGTCTATGTCCCTATTGGGCAGATTTTTTTATCTGATAGGAAACAGGGACTGGAAGTCAGTTAGAATGTTCCCAATATGATCAAGAGCAATAATAAAAACTTTACCCAATTCTACACAAAACTAAAAACAGCAAGTTTTTGGCTAGATTTAAGCTTAAAGAAAACTATGGCCCAGATAGCAAGGATAACTTGCCACAAACTTGTGTCAGGGTGAAATTGTAATTTTGTTAACTTGCTGCACACATTCCTGGCAAGCTGTAGACTTGCAGAACACTTGCAGCACAAGTTCTAGTTGATACTTTTTGAATTTGTAGCAAAATTTGTAGCAAAAAGTCTGGAGACTTGCAATGCAAACTTGCTGTAATCGTGCAACAAAATTGTGAAGCTTGGCAAGTCTGCAAGAGTTTAGCAAGTCATTTTCAAACTCGCAGCACAATTGCTTGCTATCTGGGGGGTGAGTGAATTACACTCATCCCCATAGTTAGAGCCGACGTGTGACATTGAAACTGTCACAAGTCGGCTCTATTGTACGGGAAGTGAGCAAAAACATACCACCGCTCGCTCCTTCCTTGATCATCTCCCTGCAGAGAGCAGTGACTGTCAGTCACCGCTCCCCACAGGGATTCCCCCTTCTCCCCTCTCCGATCTTCCAGAGCTGACTGCTGGGATGGACGGAGGGGGCGGCTGCAGCTGGCTCTGCCTCTAGATAGGCAGAGCCCAGTGTCAATCAGCCAGCAGGGTGGATCACGACAGTATTGTAGAGATCTGTCCCGGCTGCGAAACTCTCAAGATAAAGCAGGAAATAGCCCGCTATATACTCCTGTGACCTTAAAGAGAACTATGGGAAAAAAAGGTTACCCCATAGTTCTCTTTTAACGAACTGTGATCACTGTACTATAAAAGGCCATAGTGAGACAGCAACTAGTAAAGGTTAACTCCATGAGCATCTTACTTTTTTTATATATATACATCTATAAATATATATACATATATATAATTATGTACTTTTGTTGATGTTTAATCTGTGGCCACATAACCTCACAGCCTCCCTGCATCCTTCTTACTCATTTCAGGAAGTGGGGGTGTCAGCATAGCAAGTGGGCAGGCAGGTGATGATGTAACACACAGCAGTTAGCAATCAGCACAGCAAATGCCTTTTGTTATATCATCACCTGCCCGTCCGCTCACTTCCTATGCTGAAAACCCCCCCTCCCCTCCATTCAGCCCTGCTAGGATCCTCTGTCAATCATAACAGAAGCTACCATGTTGATACTGAGTGGTGGGTGTGACAGCATACCAAGTGGGTGGGCAGATGATGATGTCACACACAACAGGGAAGTATGTTCCCTGTCTGTGTGAGCTGCGTTCCACCTGCGGCCATATTAATACCTTGTGCCCTGCTAGGAGCCTCTGTCAATCAACACAGCAGAGCTGGGCGGAGGCCGGAGGGCATGGCAGCCAGAATGACTACAGGAGATACAGACATGCCGTGTGTGATCACGGGGTCCTGTATCTCCAAGCAGGGAAAAGCTGTACGCAAAATGAGCACGCCAGAACAGATCTGCTTCTGTGCTTGGTGTGGTCAGAATGAAATCGCAAAAACAGTGAACTGGCAGGATCAACAGGTATAGCTAGGCAAATAAAGATTGTCATAAAGTATAGGCTACATTCATTCACAACAGTATATTAAAACAGATACATACATATGTGATATCATTTTTTGTGGTAACATACGCTTTAACCATTCAATTTTCAAAACTTGCAATCAAATCACTATGATTACTTTTCCAGTTTTCGATGCAATCTTCAATAATCTTTCTGCATTAAACTTACTAAGAACTTAGAAAGACTGTGCATTTTATTTTGTGAGTGATGGATATTTAGCAAACAACCTGATAAATGGTCATATCACAACCTGACAAGCACACCATGTGATATAATACATTTTATTAAATCATTTTATGGATCACAAGTCAATTTGAATGAAAATTGCAGCATATTTGAAAACGAGGGCAAAGATTACCAAATCCCCCTAACCAGAATAAAGCCTAATTCTCAACCTTATTTAAAAAGAAACTCATTTACACAGTTGATCTGCCACTATTACTATTAGCTGTATGCAATTCTGTTGCAAAAATTAACAGGTAGCTTATAAATAAACAGTGATAAAACTTTCCTCTCCCACTGGCCATGCCTCGGATCTTCACTCTCTTGTAGAGCTACATCTGCCAGTAGAATCTTCAGCATCTGACACTTCAAGGTGTGTCAAATGCCTGCACCCCCTTTGTGCACTGTGCTTGCTTTAATACATGTAGTGATATCACTACATAATTTCTATGATTTTAGTTATATTTGTATCCACTTTTACAGGCAGAGGAGCATACCTCACAGTGATAGTGGTTGGGACAAAAACATTGCTGCATGCAAATAAGAAGTGCCCATTGTAGTAAGCACCACTGACAGTGCTATGGTTTGCCTCAATCCCTATCAAATTTTACAGGACTACTTGATATGCATGTCGCTAACAAGAGTTTGGGCATTAAATTGTTTACATATTCCTAACAAGCAGTAAAAGAGCATTAAAGTAGTATTAAACTATTTTTCAATAATGACTCCAGATCAAACAAATATACATTGCCCAGCAAAGCATTGCTTTACATTTTTGCACAAACACAATCATCGTGTTTCTGACCAGCTGCTTCCAACTCTCTCAGTTCAGCTTCCCTGAACTTCCTATACAGTAAAAGATCACAAAAGACAGCGCAGACTCCAGCAACTGTTCATCTACTAGCTAGGAGAAGGGAGAAAGAAGGAAGGAAGTAGTTTGATTTGTGTGTGTGTTTGTGGAGACACACACAGCTTACTAGCACACACAAAGGTGACTGCATAGCACTCTGCTTGAGAAAGGAGTCACTCTAAAACAGGAAGTCAGTATCAGTGCTCAGGGGACCAGCTGATTCTACAGGAAACTAACATTTTTAAACATCAAGACAGAATTCATTGTAAGTAATTGCACCAACATTTGAAATAGCTTAAAATGATTTTGACTTTAATATCACTTTAAAACCAGCCATCCCTGATATCTCTAGTTGTTTGTACTGTGAATTAATTCATTCTCAAAGACTCTTCAGTCAAGTTTCAGATGGTTTCTAACAACTTAGAAATATATTCTGTGTGTTTACATTAGAGAGCTGCCAGGCTACCAAGATTCTGCTTCCCATAGAAATATGTTCAGATTTTAGTACCTCTGTTGTGAACTTTGAATACACATTTCTCCATGATGCTTAGCGAAACAGGGGTAAATCAGGGATTTTTTTACAGAACTTTTACTGTTTGTTCAGGATAATGTAAATCCTTTAGTGTAGAGAGTTTGGGCACAGGTTTTACAAAATAAAAAATGAATTCATAAACTGGACGCATCATTTCATGACTTAAATACAGAATACAATATTACTCATGATAGTGGTTCATTGTTTGGAAATACCTGGCGGGCATTTTGACACGGAAATTAAAAATTGTCTGCAACCCAGATTCAATGAGCTAATACCAAAATGTTTCCTGATAATAGAGGTAAATTGCTTCGGCCAACTCCTGCATTGTTGAAATAATTAAAAAGGTATCCTTATAAACCCTAATAGAATCTGTGAGCTTAAAGAACAACTCTCCATATATAAAGTGCTTCAAGAACAATGAAGAATTATTGGAGTTCCACCCTTTGCCAACACTTGATGTAGCACATGGATAAAGACATGAAAGCACGAGTAAATGTGCCATGTTTCCACTAGCCAGTAGGTACAGCAGCAATGTACATAATTTGGGATCTTGTAAACTTACTTAAGCTGGCCACATACTGATTGTCCTGCTGCCTATTGCTAGTCTTGCTGGCTTGTCCAAAATTCGAGTAATTTTTCAATTGAACTTTTTTGAAGGAGCTGGTCTGAATATTCTCGGCTGAACAGAGACTGCAGCCAATTCAGCTGTTCATGTATTCTGACAGTGGCACCCCACCACTATCAGAATACAATAGTCTGGTGAGGATCCCTCTATCTGTGCTGTTTAGTGTGGAATAGCCAACCAAGCATTTTTTCCCTCTGCAGTCATTGTGCACTCTACTGGGGCTGAAACCAATGTAAAATGGTTTTACGTAAAAACTCTCAAGAATATGAACCATATTAATAATCAGCAAAAAATACTCTTTGGAAAATGGTTTCTTGTTATCTTTATTCTGGCTTGATGTTTTTATTTAACTTGGGAATTTCAAAAATATATGCGCATTTCAAAGGTTACTTTTCTTTCTCAACAGTGTCACTTCACATTGTTATAAATAGCATTAGCTACCAGATGTTCTGTGCTTAGTGCTTATCAAGGTGTGGCTGTAGAGGCAAGAATGTGCGTTCTTGAACCCAGAAGACATGTCAATGTGTCATTACTGCCCACCACCCAGGTCAATGTTTGTTGATGTCCAATATCTTACTCACCCTGAAGACCACTCCCTGAGTAAATGACCACCCATTCCGTTCTATAAAGGTTAGTTTGAAGAAAAATCCAAAAGCCAGTAGTAGAAAAGACATTGTAGTCACTTTCATCACCTGGTTGTTTCTGCATCAGGAAAGGACAATGACAAGTACACTGTGTTTCTTTCTACCTGTCCTGGGATTTTGCATCATCATGGTGAAATTTACAGAGGGTGAGTCACTCTGAGCTAAATGAATATGCATATTAAAATTTATATCACCTGGCTGCCCATCTAGCCATCGTCTCTAGACAAATGTTTAAAATCTGTTCCTTTACCTGTTATTTATAAACAAATGTTATTTAAACTTGCTATGGCATGCACCTTCGTATCATATTATATGATTATTATAAGACTTGTACTGTCTTATACAATTTTCTGGCATACAGTATATGGTAATGTCTTCATGGGTATAGCCATGACTGGAATTCTGTACAATTTAGGTTGCCAGCTTTAATAAAATAAAATAAAACAATGACCATGTCTTGTTAAAGGTGTGGCTTGTTGTGGGCATGGCCTGAGCCCAGCACTGTAAAAAGGCAGTAATATATTACAGGTTGCTCACAAGATACATATTTATGTATCTTAATTTACAAGTAGTGTCACTGCTGACTTCCCTGCTTCCCATTGCTGCTTTTTAAAATCCACTAGGGAGCTTTGGGGTGAATGGTATGGGAAGCATGTACTTGCCTTTCCAGAATGAAATGCTCAGTGTCTGATCCAACCAGTAGGTGGACTTGGGTGCTCTTACGTGGGGTGGGTTTGAGGGGGTATGTCTGCAGTAAAAGCTAATGTTTGCACAGATTCTTTGTGGGAGCAGCATGGGAACAATTATTGGGGCTATTGATGAATGGCAGGGATTCATATATAGTTACGTGGTCCTCAAAACAATCAGCACTGATACAGGCGGCAACATATAACTGAACTGTGCTAATACAGGAGCAAATATAGCCATACACAAGCAACTGTGGTAGTTTCCTGGCAGCACACTGGCAATCATTACAATGCATAGATACTTCTTAAACTACACTACCATATCAGAAGGTGATTTGGTCATGCTAGACAACAGACTGTAAATTACTAGAATTAGCTATAATGGCACTAACAGCAGTGTTATACTTATGGTCAAGGAGGAATGGAGAAGAGAGGCTTATTCTACGCAAACTATAATGCTATTTTCAGGGACATGCCTATGGATTCATCCACCCAAAAAGAAAACGTCCTCTTTTGGGATATACCATCCTGCCCAAGCTTAATAATGTGACGTATGACTTTGGTTATAATGCCCCCTTTAACTTTGCCCTAGGTTTCAATATGTGACTGACAAATACATATGCTAAAGTAGATATTACCATAGTTATAAATGGTATTTATGACCTGATATAGGTGAGATTTTTTTGACAATGTGAATGCACTCCCACTGGCTACATATGAACAGACATATGTTTCTTTTTCAAGCTGCATCTGTCCGCATATCATGTCCACCTGGCTGGTTCTTCTACAGATCACATTGCTATGCCATAGGTAAGAACCCAGCAACATGGGCTGATTCAGAGGTAAGTCATTGCATTATCATTGCAGGTTATATAAACAGGCGTGTTTAATAAAGCCCTGAAAGGAATACAGTGTTAAGTGGTGGTGGTTCAGACACTATCTACTTTATGTCTGATTATGCGCTTTGCTTCCAGCATGGTTTACTGAATAAGCACAGACTTCAATAGACAAAAGCAGTATGCTTTTGACACTTCTGAGATCACTCAGAATTCATTGACATCTGACCTGCATTAAAACTCCTTCTGACCTGCGTCTGACCTGCTTCAGCTTCTTTTACATTCCTATAGACTTGTATGGAGAGAGCAGATCTGATGTGAACAAAAGCCATCATGCTCTTCCCCATGGGCATGCATAGCCTCTTGCATTAGGGTGTGCACACAAAAGTACAAACACATACGAGCGTGTATGTGAATATATATATATATATATATTGTGAGATTTAGTTTCCAATGGTAGCGCATTAAGGACGCATCCACTCGCTTATGACTTCTTTTAAGGGCTTCCTTGCCCACTTTTATTGAATCCAACTCAAAAGTCCACACAGGTTTACCCTCGCAGGGGTTTCAAACACAAGGTACAGTTTTCTTTCTTCAGCAAAATAGCACTTTCAAAGTCCCCCGACTTTAGGTTGCGTGTTTACCAAACACTCTGCACCACACAGGTGACACACTCCTCAGTCCGCCAGCCACAGACTGGTCCCAGGGTGGAGCCCTCCTGACTCCTGCAGAGACCTCCTCTGTCACCCAGGTAGAGCCTTTAAACTGACCCAGCATCCTCCTCATAAGCGCTGTGCACAGGTGCACCATCATTTGGTGCTGGTCACCACTAAAGCCTGGGCCCAGGAATGGAGATTTCTTCCCTCCCTGTTCGCTTAGAAATCTCCCGGCTCCAGGATCCAAACTATAATCCAGAAAACCCGGAATGAGTTGTAAAACCAGCTCTTTCCTAGTAACAGTACTTTCCTGGAGCCGCTCAGAGTCCTGGGTGACCCTTTTCCCATTCTACATAGTGGCATTGCCACACACTGCCACAATATATATATATATATATATACAGGTGAAACTCGAATAATTAGAATATCGTGCAAAAGTCATTGCAGTAAGTGCTGCAAAAGGGGCCCAAACCAAGTACTGACTACATATGCATGCTTATACTTTTCAGAGGTCCGATATTGTTCTATGTACAATCCTTGTTTTATTAATTGCATGTAATAATCTATTTTTTTGAGATTGTGGATTTGGGGTTCTCATGAGCTGTGAGCCATAATCAGCACAATTATGACAAATCACGTCTTGAATTATCTTGCTTTGCATGTAATGAGTCTATCTCATATATTAGTTTCACCTTTTAAGTTGCATTAGCGAAATAAATGAACTTTGCACGATATTCTAATTATTCGAGTTTCACCTGTATATATATACACACTGCACACATACATTCACAGACCTGAGGCATCCCAGATTCCCATCTTTTCAACTTTCCTTTACCTCTTCCAGCAGGGGTACAGTAATAAAGCAGGAAGAGTGGTAGGTGGTCATCTCAACACCCCACGGCTTCCTGATTGGATGGGAAGCCTAGAATGCCACAGCCACGCTATCTCGCAGCTCCCCAGGCACCGAGGACTGCCTGCGGTTATGTGAGGAAATTGGCTAGTGCTGCTGTGCTCTGTATCGCTGAGCTGGTCACAGAGAGATCTTTGTGATCTCTCCACTGGCTCGGTGACTAAAAACATGGTGCCCGCTGTTGTGGTTTCGGTGTTGCGCTTGGGGTGATTAAGGTGTGCCCAGGCACACCTAGCACACCCCCAGTTCACGTCTATGCTCTTCCCATGTAAAATAGCTATCCTACATATAGTAACAGATGTTTCTATTTTTCTATTACAGTTATAGGTTACCGTATTTTTCCGTCTATAAGACGCCCCCATGTATAGGATGCCCCCCAATTTTCTTACCCAAAATTCAGAAATCAATATTTTTCATGCTCTTTTGCATAACTGATTACATGCAGTTTAAATTTTGCAGAGTAAGACAGCCGCTTACTGGTACCGGTATTTTTTTTGGTTTTCTGACATTTTTATGGGCTCAGAATGCTCCGACATTACTGCTCCCTGTTGCATCTGGGCACTGGCTACACGCTCTCCGCAGCATCAGCTGAAGTCGGGTACACAAGGCTCATGATTGGAGGAAACCTGTTAGCTTGTCACTGCAATTGGAAGTTTCACTTGTGAGGCTAGTTTGCAGTGGTATCGGCAGTTTCGGAACCGCGGTTCTCCTCTCGGCCCCCCGTGTATAAGATGCCCCTCCATTTTTAGGTAAATATTTTAAGACAAAGTATAGTCTACAGTATATACGAAAAATACAGTACAGGTATTCCTCACTTAACGACCGAGTTCCGTTCCTACGACCAGGTCGTTAAACGAATTGGTCGTTAAGTGAGGAACTCTATACAGTACTGCATTAGTACAGTACTGTATAGCGTTGCCGATGTACAGTACTGAACAGTGTACTGTACATCAGGCAATGAAAATACTCACGGGGACGCGCTGTGAAGAACGGAGGACGTCACTTCCCCCGGCGACACGTCGCACTGGCGCTGACGAGCGAGGTCGGAGGGCGCTCGGAGGAGCGTCGTCAGTGCGAGTGGTCGCAAAACAGGTAAGTCGTTAAGCGAGGAGTATCTGTATATACGAACATAAAAAATTATACTTGTATCATATATGAGTAAGGCATTGTGATTTTTGTATTTCATTATAAACCTATTTTTGTTACACTGCAGATTTACAGATGTAAATTTGATAAAGTGGAACAAACAATAAAAATTAAAACAATATATAGGTACATATAAACAATATTGGATCCTGAAAGCTAAACTGCAGACCTCTCTTGTAGCAAATCCTCTCCTGTGCTGAAACATTTTGCTCTCAATTCCCTGGAAACTTGCATCTCTACAATAAAGTTATTTGAAGATGCAGCAGCTTTTTTTTTGTTTTGTTTAGCCCATCTTTATTTCCTGTCTGTATAACTTCAGTCAACATCAATCACAACTCCTCCTGGTTCGTTCTATAGTTGGCCTGCCTTACAACTATTAGCTTTCTCTTCCATTAATCATTTTTGCTCTTTGTTATGTTTGGACATGAACTATAGAGCTAGTGTCAGTCACTATACTGCTGTTTCCAAGCATTTTATGAAAGAACTAGGGATGCACTGAAATTTCATCCGCTGAAAAAATCATCTGAAAATGGCACTTTTGGAAAAATGGCGAAAGTGCCACCTTTCAGACAAAATTGCAGTGCATCTGTAGTTTCTCTCCTCACCGCTGTGTGCTGCTCTGTGTCCCCTCTGACACAGCACAGCGTCCATAAGGGAGGAGATAAACTGTCAGAGGAGGCTGAGCGTTGCGGGGGAGGAGAGCACTGTGAGCCGCGATATCACAGAAGGCCGGGCTCTCCTCCCGCACTGCCCCCCTCCGCCTCCTCTAAACGATCAGGATGGTGAGCGGTGTGGGGGCGGAGACAGCTGTGCGCTGTCACAGGAGCATGAGCAGGTGGTGAGGGGGAAGAGTCAGCTGTCAAAATAGACGGAGCTCTCCTCCCTGCCGGCTCACCCTCCTGTGACAGCGAGTCAGGATGGAGAGCAGTACAAGCAGTCAGTGATTAGTGATTGCTGACTGTTTGTAAATAACTGGATATAGTATGAGTTACCAAGTAGCAGTTATGAATGAATACGAAGTGATATACATCACTTCCTGTTCATTCCTGATTGCGGACATGGTAAACATACTATCTCCACAAGTTATGAATGATCAGGAACACTCAGTATAGAGGCTTCCTGTTCATTGATAACAGGGGCTGCAGAAAAAGAGATTGAGGACTTTAAAAGGGAAATATCAGGGGTCTGTTTAGACCCCTGATATTTCCACAAAGCCCCCAGCAGTGAAGTTAAAAAAATTTAAATATTTAATACAAATAAATAAATAATAAATTAAATATAAAAAATGAAAAAAAAGGTTAGGAAAAAAAATATTTTTGGTTTCGGCCTTAGATTTTGTTTATTTTTGGTTTCGGTTTTAAATGTTCATTTCGGTGCACCTCTAGAAAGAACACATCCACAGCATCTGTATTCAAGCAATTGATCAGCAGATTGTACAGCTAAAGTCTCCATTGGCCATTATGGAGGAGCATGCATTTCTAAAGAGATGCCAGGGATGCTTTTTAGTGCTCTGGACAGGGTGCTTTAATGTTTACAGCGGCTCTTTCTACCAAACTCAATCATACTACAAGCAAAGACCAGCAGAAAGACCCAGTGATGAAACACTGAGTCTCAAAGAAGGTATTTCTTTAGAACTAAATTATTTGATTTTCAAATATAACAAAGAACTAGAGCTGCAGCTAACGATTATTTTCAAAATCGATTAGTTAGCTGATTATTAAGTTTGATTAATCGGTTAATCGGATAAAAAATAAAATACATTTTTTTAAATGGCTCCAGTGATGGGACTACTAGTTTGTATTGAGATTGTAGTCCATCACAGAAGCAAGCTTGGAGCGTTGGAAGTAAAAAAGAAAAAAAACAAAACAAAGTGTGGTGTGCAATATAGTGAAATGAAAAGTGTAAAATTATACAACAATGATGAAGAATGCAATAGTACATTATACAGCACAATGCAGAATACCACCAGCTATAGTGGAATACAACAATTCCCAGCAATAGTACATTATAGCTGGCGGTATTCTGCATTGCGCTGTATAATGTACTTTTGCTGGGTTTAGTAGTCCTCTAAAGCTGGTGGTATTCGGCATTGCACCACTGTATAATGTATTATTGCTGGGATTTGTGGTACTCCTCTATAGCTGGTGGTATTCCGCATTGCGTTGTACAATGTATTATTCCTTGATTTGTAGTCCTCTATACAGCGCAATGCAGAATACCACCAGCTATATAGGAATACAACAAATCACAGGAATACATTATACATACAGTGTATAATGTAACTGTGATTTGTATACACTGTACCATCAGCTATAGAGGAATACAAATCCCAGCAATACATTATAGAGCACCATGTGTGGGAAAGTGCAGGCTTACATGAGCAGTCTTCCAGCAACTTGTTTCTGAGATCGGGACTGTATCGGCGTCTGTCATCCGCCCACACCTGCTCCTCCTTACTTCTACCCGCGTCCCTGTGCCGATCGTGGATGTGGGCGGGCGGCGAGCGTGAGGTGGGGAGGAAGTGTGGCGCGCAGCGTGCGTGGAGCCGTGAACAGGGCCAACCAATCGGAAGCCGATTAATCGATGATTGAAAAAGTTGACAACTTTTTCAATAATCGATTATGTCGATAAGTTGTTGCAGCCCTACAAAAAACCCTCCTCCTACCAGCTTCTGACCCAATGACTGAACTGCAGGTGCATGTCCAGATTTATATGTGCAGTTACCCACACTGAAAGGCTTCCAGTTCCAACATTTTAATCCAAATATATTGTAATAAACCTAAAGGACAACTCGCTGCAGTTATATCCATTTGTATCATCAGCACATAAGACTTTGGTTTCTGTCAGTGCACATTGTTCTACGTCCATAGTAAACAGCTTTTTTTTTTTGTGTCAACTTACTGGTTGCTGTGTTTTCACTTGCTTGAAGCATATTTCTCTTTTGTAGTATGACTGTACAAGTTATGGACATGGTGCTCACCTTGCCTCCATCATGGATGAGTCAGAGGCGTCCATTATTGCTAGCCATGTGTCTGCAAGCCAGGATTCAGATGGAGTGTGGATAGGACTGCATGACCCTGACAAGGTGTGTGGTATCCATTGTTAAAAATCAAAGCCAAGGGTCCACAAAAGTATATAAAGTGATCTATAAAGCCCAATGTTTCACTTTCAGAACGGCCGCTGGAAATGGACGGATGGATCCATGTATAATTTTCGAGCCTGGAAAACAGGTGTTCCAGATAATGCCAAAGGAAAAGAATTTTGTGTTGTACTAATCAGTGGCTCCAGTAAGTAAATAGTAAACTGGCAATGTTATCCATTTTAAATTAAAGTGACACCAAATTTAGGAGTTAAATCTTAAAAATATATTCAAGTAGATTACCTATTAATAAAAATGTATCTTATTTGTGTATCACTCGGCTGTAGACCCTTAGGCCTGGTTCACACCTGAACGTTTTGTAGTGCGTTCAACGCTCGACGAACGCTCTACAAAACGCTCAAACATCTAAATCCCATTGTATTTAATGGGTCTGGTTCACACCTTGCCGTATTTCCGCCCCCGTCCCTAACGCGCTACAAAACGGCCTACGCCCAAAGAAGTACATGTCCTTCTTTGGGGCGTTTTGGTCTCGCGTTTCCATTGGGATACAGCCAAGTAGCCCACGCGACAAACGCGCATATTCAATACGCCTAGGTGTGAACCCAGCCTAAAATCATCACTGAATTGGTACTGGCACTGTCCTTCCTTTTGGAGGTTGGCTACTTTTGTTCCCCATGGTCCCTGTGTGTGTTGTAAAGTAGCCACCCCTCCAAGCTCGCTCCCATGATGAACTACAATCTCATGTTTAGTTTACTAATTTGTAGGGATGCATCGATACCGGTTTTCCGTTATCAAGTACAAGTATCAATATTTGTTTTCGGTACTCGCCGATAACGAATACTGATACAGGCATTCGTGGGCCCGGATTATCAGGAAGCCTGAATGCCTGGGAAACCGGTGTTCTATCAAAAGAACACCGGCTTCACTTCCCTCGCAAAACTGTAAGGCAGCCTGGCTTCCTGATCAATCAGGAAGTTGGGCGGCGAGTCATGACGTGCCGCCCAGTTTCCTGATTGGTCAGGAAGCCAGGATGCCTAGCAACAAGTGAAGCCAGCTCCCTAGCCAATCAGGAAGCTGGGATATCTCTCTCTCTGACCAGAAGTTCTGGTATCGGGGGTAAGTATCAGAGTATTTGCGCCAGTACGAGTACTCACCCAAATACTCGGTATCAGAACCGATACAGATACTAGTATTGGTGCATCCCTACTAATTTGTATAGAGATTGTAGTCCATTACAGGAGTAAGCTTGGAGCCACTGGCATTCCGCCTGTTGCGGGGGCCCAGAGAGGAAGCAGAGGGCCCGAAAGCTTCCTCATGATAGCGCCGCTCTATCCAGATAGCGCCGCTCCATCCCTCGCCGCTCTGCATGTACAAGCGGCTGTGCGGGGATAGAGAGGCGCCTCTGTGTCTCACTTGTCTGCCTGGCGGGGCCGCTACCGACACAGCAGGCACCGCCAGCCACACATTCTTCAGCTGGGACTGGGAGAGGACGGACCCTCTTCACTCAGCCCCGCCCCCTGGCCGCCAAAGACAACGAGGAAGCTGAGCGGCTGTAGGAGTCAGGTAAGTGTCCGGTGTGGGGGGGAGGGGTTGCGGGTAAGAAGCTGCTGCTGATTTTATTGATTTTTTTCCAAAATATATTTTTATTAATGGTTATAATTTCCACAAATTACAATAAACACACAAAAGACAAACTGATTTTATATTTATTCACATTATAATGTATTGCTGGCACTTGTAGTCGTGCATAGTTGGAGCTATTCTGCGTTACTGTATATTCATTATACAGCAATGCAGAATAGCACCAACTATGCAGGACTACAAGTCCCAGCAATACATTATATTATTAAGTAGGGATGCACGTGTGTGTGTGGGGGGTGGGGGGAGAGGGGGTTAAAAAGCTGTTATTATTTACATTATAATGCATTGCTGGGACTTGTAGTCCTGCATAGTTGGTGCTATTCTGCATTGCTGTATAACCATTATACAGCAATGCAGAATACCACCAGCTATGCAGGAGTACAAATCCCAGCAATACATTATATTAGTAAGTTGGGATGCACCAGTGCCAATACTGTTTTTTTTCACACGCACTTGTGAAAATGCCCCATACTAAGCGCAGGCAAAATTATCAGGGTCACATCGGTCGCATTTGCGACCGGCCCCTGGTGTTCGGCCAGTTGGAGGGAGCCCAGGGAGAAAGAAGAGGGCCCGCCACACGCAGTGTTTTTGACACTTGCAGACTGCAGTTCAGACAGAGGGATGGGGAAGACACTGTAGTGGGGGGGTGGCCAGTCAGGGAACTCCATTTGCATGCACTTTTTTTTCTGACTGCAACGAAACACAGGCATTGATTTGCCATGCGTTCCGGTGCAGGCGATCGCACCGCGGTGCCATTAATTATAATGCCCTCCACGCCCCCTCCAACCCCAGAACGCAGTGAGCTGGCCGGGTTGCAATCCAGTGTGTTCCAGCACTAAATCGGCCGGAACACACTGGAGCTGATGTTAACTAGCCCTGAAAGTTAAAAAAAAACATACTTTTTAATTTTTTGTTAAGAGTTAAGGTACTTGAATAAATTTTAAAGATTTAACTCCTGAGTTTAGTGTCACTTTAAATACAATATGTATTAGCTGCAATAGTGTATTGTTTGTTGATATCCCTCATGTAGATTGCTAGCATATTATGGGGGTTATTCACAAAAGGGTGAAGAGTTTGGAGAAGGCAGGAGAAGTGAACAATCTAGGACAACATAGCTAAATTGGAAAGAGAGCTGAATTGGAGAATTTTTCCAAATCAGCTATTTTGGCCTAGATTGTTCACTTCTCCTGGCTTCTCCAAACTCTTCACCCTTTTTTGAATAGCATGGTACATATTGGAAATCTTGCTGTATAGCTTTTTTATTTTCATACTACAGCTCTATAGCCAATTACATTTTACCTAAATGCCTGGGCAGCACATTGTGTATAAGATAATGCTCCTGCTCAACATAAGACGTCAATCACCCAAGTTGAGATTTTGAGTTAGAAAACAGCCACAAATGGCCTGTAGGCTGTAGCTATGACCAAAACAGATCTTTCAGATTGTGCATTTGTAAATTATATAGGGATTGGAAAATATATTTCTCTGCAGGCCTACTGTACCTGTGTTATAATGCCTGTGTAATGATGACCAAACTACAAGTATGTTTGAGTTGCCTAAATATGTTAATGCAGATTTATCCAGTTTGAGAAAAATCATACAACTGATGAATCACAATAGTCTAAGCTCCTAAATTGTATGATATTCCACAGATCAGACAGACCTGCTTAGAAATAAATAAGCAGAACATTTTTTACAATGTATGATAGAGAGGGAAAAATATGAATCTCAAAGGACCTCTAATTATGCTTGCAATTAGAATACATTTTCTTATATTTAGATACATTAGATAAATGTTTGAATTGTATGTTATACTTCTCTTTTCCCATGCTTTGCTTCTCGGTTCTCTTCTAGAATATAAGAAATGGAATGATGTGGCGTGTGGAGGAAAGAAGAACTATGTCTGTAAATTTAAGCCGTGAAGTGTCTTCATAAGAAATACTACATTTCTCTATACTAGCCTAATAAAACAGCATGATTATGTTTGTATTTTATATTGTGTGTTGGTGAAAACCTAATTTAAATAAATATCCTCATACAGCATATTGTATGTGTGGACAGTGGAAAGACTAGTGCAATGGCTTGGCAAATTGAAAACGATGGTAATTAACAGAAAGGAAGCATATTTATATATATTATAACATAAGTGCTTTTGTTACAGGTCATTTGCATTATTCCACTGAATAAACACAAACAAGTGGTAGCTAAAAAAGAAATCACTGATTGACAAGTGTAAATATAATTTTAAAAAGAAAAAAATAAACACTAGGGAGGAATATTAATGAAAGCAAAAGGAAACTCTTCCCGCACAAAGTGGGATGTCTGCAGTATTCCACAGCAAATCTGGTAAAATTAGAAGCTACCCAAAGCATGGTACTTCAAACAGGTCATCTTTATAATCACATTTAAACTGAAGGGCAAAGTCCACCTTTTAGAAAAAAGAGTAAATGCACATGTATTAGATAAAAAACAAATGTTTCAAAATTAATTATTTTTTGTATTGCATCCAGGAAAGCATTGTAACCACGATCAGTGGGTCACAGGTGCAATGCTCTTGCTCCTGCAGGTTATCCTTCCCATCCATGCCCGTACCGAGGTATAGACATTCACTGACATGAACAGGAGGAAGAATGAATGGACTACAAGTGTGCTAATGCCATCACACTTGTATTCCATTGGGAATACTAGTCCCTCTGCTGCAGTGGCTGATGGATCTTGTAGTTTCTCCATTCATAGATCCTATCAAAGGATCTGTGAATGGATGGTGCAGCTGTGTGGGTGGAGCTCCTTGAATATTGGTGTAGCATGAAACATGGTCAGAAAAGTAAACTTAGCCTTATACAGAGATCTGAACTGCTAAACACTGAGTTCCTGTGTACACTGTGGGCTTTTCTGTGTACTCTGAGTGTATGCTGGTGTTGTGACATGCATTTTGGGTCCACTAGGTAAGCGGTATATACAAGTCCTTGCAATTAGATGGCACTGCATATAAGACCATTGCAAAATGAAAGTAGGGGACAGTTAACTGCAGATTGACAGCAGGTGCCAGAGTGCTGCATGTTTGAGAATCCCAATATAACTAATGCACACTTAGTGATCACTGATGGTGCCTGTATGGTATTAACTGTGACTTTGCTCTCAGGAGCAGGGTGGGACATGGAGCCTACCAGGTAAGTGCCACTAGACACCGATGATGGGCTTACATTTCTACCACTGACCACCAATAATGGGGTACTATATTCTGGCTAATGACCACATTGTGGTCAACCGCAAACATACTGATGCATAGTGAACTGGCCCTTTGTTTTAACCTCTTGCCGTCCGCCCGTAGTAGAAAAACGGACGGACGGCACTGCTGCATCTGCTCGCGCGCGCCCCCTAGCGGGCACGCACGGGCAGAAAAGACCCGACAATGCAATGAGGCAAAATTCAGTGTGGCCTTCTGTCTGACCCCAAGCTGCACTGCTGCAAATCACTGGACCCTGTAAAAGTGAGTTATTTGATACATATTACAGGCCAAATCCAGGTCCCTGTGTGTTTAACTACCTCCCGGCCAGCCGCTGTGTATACACGGCCTGCCGGGAGCTTCTTGGATGTAACTGGGCGTAAGCAATACCCTCTTCATTGGAGTGCTATGAATCTGATTGCTGTCACCTATCATTATCCCAACATGAGGTGAAGCTCTGGTACAGTTTGGTTCAAAGTGCCAGTGTGAGGCCTGGATATCTAGATATCTAGAAACCAGAAGCCCAGACTCAATGTATGGCATTTCATTAGTAAAGCCAATAAACCAAAACAAACTCCAGGCATGCAAACACCAAGCAACATAACACTTACACATACACTAAAATGCAAAATACACCAATAGTCAACAGCATACACTATATAAAAAATACTGCATGTAAACAATGGGGTGCAATGCTTGTACTGATGTCATTGACCTAATAAGGCCACATAGCCATATTAGGTAAATGTAATTTACCAAATATGGGCATGCAGCCATATAAGGTCAGTGATGTCACTGCATCCTGTCCCTTTGTTTAGGTCAAGCTGGGGGCAGGGAATTCTCCACCAGCAGCTGACTGGGTGTCATAGAAGAAGTTTGGAAGGGGCTCCTTTTGAGTTTGGAGGAGCTCCGGTTTGGGCCGGGTTCTCTACTCCTGAGCCTCGCACATGCAGAGCGTGCTGTTCTGTTGCCATGGATGAGCTCTAGTTTATGGACTGAAGAGAGTATGAAGAGGTAATGTGAACTAACCCTACAATGGCTCTTTGGCCATTGGGTGGCACTGATAATGTAGCTCATTCACATGCGCACAGGAGTTACATCCTCCCCGACACACGGTCCATCCATGGAATCTTAGAGATGCGCAAGTGTGTACACTGCACATGCGCCATACAGTGTACACAGAAAAAAAAATTGCTGGGGAAAAGGAGAATTTTTTGGGCAGAAGAGACTTAGCATGTCGCTTCTGCCAAAAATCCAGGGGACTTTTTTTTCTCATTACTTGGCTTTAATACTAATTGTTTAATATAAAAAAAAAATGGCCGGGCACCAAAATATACTTAGTATTTGTAAGGTTGGAGCTGTTGTTTCAGTAATGCTGTTTGTGCAAGAATTCAACTGGGAAAACTAAGAAATTCAACTGGGAAAACTAGCAAACATAAAAAGCAATAATTTTTTCCGTTCTTCTGTTTCTGCCAATTCAATGCCTGAGCAGTTTTCTTTAGCACCGAGATCAGTCCTGATAGACTGATACAACAATATTGGTGTATAGTTTATAAAAGTAACCTTGTTCAATCAATATTGCTGAGTGAATGGTGAATGGTTCAACAGAATTATTTGGAAATCTGTTGGTAGCTGAAGCAATTCAGCTATGTATTCAGGGCCGGGTTCCCCACAAGCCCACGAGGCCCGGCCTCGGGGCGGCAGGGAGCAGAGAGGAGGCAGGGGTGTGGAATCCCCCGACGCCCAGGACATGCAGTTCCGGGCGCCAAGTGGTAACTTGTTTTCAGCGCAACTACCTCTCCCGTCGCTGGCTCCGTCCTCCGGGCTCCGCCGCCGAGTCGGTGAGCAGAGCGTTAAAACTAACCCTGCCGCTCCGTGTAAACAGTGAGTGGGGAGAGCAGTCTTCCCATCTCAGCTGTCACAGGAGTTCCAGCACAGTATTGGAGGTGACCGGGTCAATAAAGAGAACCTAGAAAAAATGGTACATGCATGAATCTATAACCGGCCTTTATAGCAGGGCGCACATTGGGAAGGCTTACAACAATACAAAACACAGAAAATCCCCAGCTCACCTGCCAGCTGGCCTGCAACCAAACAAGTAGCCCTGTCAACAGTATGCGTTAAAATCAGAGGTGGCTACCTCCAGGTACACCTGCATGTAATTTATCAACTTCATTAATATATAATATATATTTCCAGAGCAACAAGTATTTACCACACATAGCTGTATCTCACCAGAAGCATCAACAATGCACTGTTTATCAATGGTGTAGTGATAAACTTATTTTAACATTTATGATCTGGGTGGATGGTGAAATCCATATAATTAGGTGAACTAACCATATCCTTATTACTTGTTCCTGTCTCCATTTCCTGCTCTCCATATGGCATGATTATCTCTCTTTCTGTGAGATATAAATTCACAATTTGTGCTCATATAGCACCAACAACTCTGACAAACCTACTCCTACAGCCTGTTCAAGATTCTGTAGCAGGTAAGCAACAAATCTATAAATGTCAACTGGAAAATGATTGTCATCTTGATATATTTACTAGCCCCATAGACCACGTGGAAAATAATATACTACTTAGAAACTACAGGTTATAAAGTTACTCGAGATGATATATAGATTTTCTTACTTTATGTGCATTTTAAATCCATTTTCGTTCAAAAGGTTTTTATTAGTTTTAGGTAGATAAACAAATAAGCTTGTGCACACTTCAAGTATCGGTCTCAGAAAACAACACGTGTTGTGCATAATAAAATGAAATTACAATAGTAACACTAGTCCAGAGAAGTCCTAGGAGACTTAAAGTACTCAATATCAATACAATCAACACATTAACACGGACTTCGATTCAAGGTTGCAGAAAACTAGTCTGAGTTATCTGGTTCTTGGGGAGGGGGTATGCCATAGCAGAAAGGAGAGAGGGTTAGCAAGTAAAGAGGAAAGAGAGATAGGGAGAGAGAGGAGAGAGAGATGGAGGGGAAAGACAAAATGAGGAAAGGAGGACTAAAGGAGAAATGGAGTGAAGATAGTTGGTCACTATATCCGGCGGTAGGTCATCACAGTCAAGGAATCCACATTGAAAGAGGGAGGAAGGTACGACTCAATCCATGGCTCCCACAGCTTCCTAAATGGCACCATGGGATCTCTTTGTATTGCAGTAAGCTTCTCAAAGAACATCACACGTGATACTCTACGTTTGACTTCAGCAAAGGGTAGATCAGGGGACTTTCAAGCTATCGCAATGACCCGCTTGGCTTCTGTGATTTAAATCCCTTTTCAATCTCTCGGCACAGAACAGCTTTCAGCATCAATCTGAGCACAAGATGGTTAGGGAGCAAAACAACGTAGATATAGGTCAGGGTTAAGTTAGTGTTAGGATTAGGCCAGGGGTTAGGTTAAGGTTAGCATTAATGCCAGGGTTTGGAGTTCGAGTGTGTGTAAACCATAATACAATGAACTTCTCTTATTGGCTCCCTTTTGGTCTGATAAATATACTGTTCCATCGAAGCCGTTTTGCCATACCGCTTTGATAAGTGCAAAGAAAACTTGCTAATCTTGCCAGAAATCCAGTGCTGTCCTGGGCACTTTGCAATGTCTAGGCTACCTATGTAAACTACACCTCTCTCCTATGCTCTGGAGATGAGGGGAGATGGAGGTGTTCTGATGTCCTAACACACTCATTCACTAGGGTGACAACACTGCTCCTCCACAGATACAGTACAGTGACTGAGCGTTGTCATCCAAGGACAGGAGGTGTGTTACTGCAGGATCACCAGATGAACATAAAGAAAAAACTGTGAGAAAGAACAGAAAACCACATACATATACTGAATGCCAAAATAATGTTCTTGGGTTCAGATACACTTTGACATTAGACTCAGGGGTTAAATCTTAAAAATGCATTCAAGTACCATATTAACAAAAATGTTAAAACAATCTCAATACAAACTAGTAAAGTAAATGTAACATTGTAGTCCATAACGGGAGTGAGCTTGGAGCGGTGGCTACTTTACAACACACACAAGGACCATGGGGAACAAAGTAGCCCCCCTCCAGAAGGAAGGACAGTGTCGGCATGAATCCAGAGATGATTTGAGGATCTACAGCCAAGTGATACACAAAAAAGATACATTTTTCTTAATAGTTAAGGTACTTGAGTGCATTTTTAAGATTTTAAGAGTTTAGTGTCACTTTAATGGTATGTATTAGTTGAAGTTTAAGGGTTTAGGTTAAGCCTCCTTGGTGAAAGCAAATCTCCCCAATGAGACAACAAAATCCTAATTGGGTGTTCTAACTACTCCCTACACTACCTAAACCTTTGGGTCTTTGTCAACATTGCTTTTCCACCCACACTGGTCTATGGGAAAGCAAAAGCAGCTGTATGCAGCTTACAAGGAGTTCAGATACAGATCAGAAGTAGGTCAACTGCAGGTCCATTGTACATGTGAAGGAACTCAAATGGAAATGAGAAGCTTGAACTTATACTGATCTCAAATGCAGGTTGAAAGTACTTGAAAGCAAGCTACATTTGCCCATCTACACAAGTACTTTAAGTTAAAGACTCAGAGTTACCAAGAAATAAGTGTCAACACTGAAGACTAATGTACAAAAAGAGAACATTTAACTCAACGATTAAAAAAGGTAATATATTGCAGTCTACCAGCTTTTGGTCTTTAAACAATAGACTTTAAATGGTGACAGAGAGATGAGCTCATCACTGTGCTGCTTGTCTTTTCACGGTCCAGTCACAGGCTGGGGGCGGGTCCAGGATGGCTTGGGTTTAGAGGAAATTGTTTGAATGATGCTGGCCATCATGCTGAGAACATCTAATAGCAGAAAAGCACTGCTGGGGAAATCTCTGGATGGAAGGTGAATTACAATATACAGTATTTATTATAAAATACCGTATTGGCCAGCGTATAAGACGGGTTTTGAAACCTTGAAACATCCCCCAAAAATCGGGGGTCATCTTATACGCCGGGTACATACAGAAGGATATGGTAACGACGAGTATAGCCCAAAACCTATATTTTAACACAAAAAGTAGAGGGTAGTCTTATACGCCGAGTCGTCTTATATGCCGGCAAATACGGTACTGGTTTGTGTTTTAGGTCCAAGTCAATTTATTATAAAATGCCTGTAATAATATTTGATGTGGTTTCTCATATGTTTCTTGCTGTCCTTAGGATGAAACCCTCCAATTATCTTACTCTTTTGGGGTATCTGGTTATTACTGTGTCTGTGTCAGAAGGTGAGAATAGGTCATTTCATTAGTTATTTTATACATTGATCTACATGTAACAATGCTTTATATACAAAGTCATAAAAGGCAAAATCCATCATAGTGTGGGAGGTTGCACTTGGCGTTACTTCTAAAGAATCCATCATCATTCTCATCATTCTCATGTCATGCAAATGAGAATTGTGCAATACATCTGAAAGGAAACAAAGCTAAATAGTATCAGTATGTGTTTCAGATGAAAAATGCAAGTCTCTCCATACACATTAAAGTATCATCAAAAGTCACTGGGTTTGATTTAAAAAGGAAAATAGGCTGTTGCAGGGGAATATTCCCTTAGTGATGGTGGTGAATTCTTACTCTGCAAAGAGTACCCAATCATGTGCTAGGAAAAAAAGTAAAATGCATTTTTGCCAACACGTGATTGGATGATGGATGTCAGCAGAGCTTCACCTCATTCACTAAGCTGTGGGAAAAATCCCCTGCAAAGCATCTATTTGCCTTTAGTGAAACAATCCCATTCCAATCACTGTATGTTTTGAATCTGTTCTCAGTCTTCTTGCTATGCTGCAGTTTATGTAGCAGTTGTACACTTGCAGTTTTGGCAGTTCTCAGAAGGGCGTTTGTGCACAAGAGAACCAGTTGTCTGTTTAGCCTGAATAAACATCTCTTATAAAACATTAATACACCACAACATTATACCCTTCAGAAGTCAGAAGTGATGCCATCTTGTAAACATTATTGCCACTATGCATTTGCCGGTCCAGAGATATAAATGTTTGGTAGTGTATTTAAAACAACAGGGCCCTTTGTAGTCCCACTTTGTGCTAATAGTCATGTAGTATATGGTTATACTAAACTAGCAGCATTAGCTAAATTTACTTATTAACTCAGATTTAATTTTCTTAGTACAATTCTCACATTTATTTGCTTTTCAAAAATGTAAAGTTTGATATTGACCGATACAACTTAATATTTAAAAGGCCAGTTAACCCAAGCTATTTATTTAGATTTGGGTATATATTGTGGGATTTAATTATCTGGCTTCTGATATTTCTTAGGGACTTTGGAGGCAAGATCTTTGCAACTGAAATACCCAGGTCTGTTCAACTGCCTAAGTCACTATTAGGTTGAATGACTTTTCCAGTTGGATTATTTTCAGTATAGGGAGTCAAGGAGGGGGAATGAGACACAGAATGGCTTTATCTGTGGATAGTCAAGTGATTGCCCCTAGCACTGCCTTATTAGGTGTGTTTCTCTTAATGTACTGATGCAGCAACTCAAACTTTAGTGAGGATCTGTAAAATTGTACATATCATATAAATACAATAATCAGAGCTAAGGACCATAATATTTTCAGGCTATAGTTTAGCTTTTTTAGGCTATTTTACCAATAAGACATGTGCACAAATTTTATACAAGTCTTTTCCACACAGCTGTTCCTCGTTACTCGTGTCCACCTGGGTGGTTCTTTTACAAGGCATACTGCTATGGCTTCTTTAGATTCCATCTAACCTGGTCTGAAGCTGAGGTAACAGGCATATAATAAGGGCAATGAAATGGGGTTTAAGACTCTCAGCTGTCTATTATGTCAATGGTTTAATAAAACCTTCCTTTTTTGCAGTATGAATGTGTCAGTTATGGTCATGATGCACACTTAGCCTCCATCTTAGATGATTTAGAAGCATCCATTATTGCAAGCCACGTGGCTGCTTACCTATCAACTGCAGATGTCTGGATTGGAATTCATGACCCAAAGCAGGTATGCTCAATGCATTTAAAACATTTTTGGAGAATGCCAGAGTGGTTTATGCTAATAGTAATGCTCTCAGACTCTACAAAATAGATAATCTAATGCAATGTCATTACTATATACTTCTACCCTTGGTTACCTAGTAACTTACATTGTAGATTTTATTTTAAAATACATGCAATTTAATGTGTATTTGCATATTTATATATTATAGGATGAAGTTATGTTTTCCCTAGCTTAGAAATTAGATTCTGTTCCGATTTATTGCTGACGGTTCATATTTTTTCTGGAATGGCGCCATATCTATTTCAGCCCCACATAAAAAGGGGGAAAAATTAAGCCAAATAAGCAAAAAATGTAAACAATCTTAATTTGCTGTATTACAGCAGCTCTGGAGTGAGTGTGTCTGAATGGTGGGGCTGAGAATGGGAGCTTACAAGCATTGTTTGATTATTTAGATCTATCAATAGATATGTAGATGATAAATATATGAGTAAGTAAAAATATTTATTGTTTAAAGCACATGTAGACAATTCCATAACATCATTTCCAAAAATCTCCTAATAGCACCACAGATAAACTAGAGTACATTGAATAAACACAATTTTGGAAGCACCTGGAAACCTAGAAAATATGACTTGTATGTGGTCTTTGAGAACCAGAGTTGGCAAACAATGTCATAACAAAAGAGTATATTAACAGGAAAACGTGGCCATCATCTGTCACAACCGAACTGCTGAACCCCTGCTTGAGGCTGCCAGTTCAGGATTCCAAGTAGAGACCAGGCAGGACACACAAGGGTAGTGTCACACATCTCAGAATTAGAGCCACCTCTAGATGTCAGGAAATGGCAGGCTCCAGCACTGCTTGGAAAATTCAGTTGTGACAGGTAACATAACAGTATTATATAAGATTCATGTTTTCAGCAATACAAGATCTTTATGAGAACCTAGGAAAATGTACTTTGTTGTAAAAATATCTCTGTAAAATTACTGTGTGAGACATAATGTGTGGTGTCAAAATCTACTTTGAGGAAACCAATAATTTCAACAAAAATAATATTTATTCAGTCGGTAAGAATTTTTTTTGTTCACAAAATCCACAATGTAACTTGATTTTTTATATTCAGAAGTAATAGTTTTGGATGTTTTTGAGACATACAATGCATTTATATACATGTTTATACTTTATTATGTGGACAGAATTAATGACAATAGTTGATACTGTTCTTTTAGCATACAAGTGTAGTGTGTAATGCTATTCTATCATGGACAGCCTATATCCTGAAACAGATAATTCATGTTTTACATTTTTCTTTTAATAACTAGTGACATTGGAAAGATGATAGATGATACATTGTATACGGACCTCTCATTGTAATCAATTAATATTTCTATAATAATTTATTTTCATATACCATTTACCACACAATCTAATTCCTACTGCTCCTATGTTTATCAAAGTTAAAATGTAATCCCACCACCCATATAAAAGTGAAATTAACTATTCAAATATTTTAATTAAACTAGAGGTTTGTGTTCCCTGTCAATAACAACTCCACTTGTGCTTGTCTTCTAGACATTCACCATGTACAACAGATCCTATTTATTTGCATTAGGGAAGTCAATGTATCACTGGGCTGTAGTTCCTCAAATCATCTCTGAATTCATACTGACACTGTCCTTCCTTCTGGAGGGTGGCTACTTTTGTTCCCCATGGTCCCTGTGTGTGTTGTATAGTAGCCACCACTACAAGCTCGCTCCCATGATGGACTACAATCTCATGTTTAATTTACTGATTTCTATTGAGATTGTAGTCTATCACAGGAGTGAGCTTGGAGCGGTGACTACTTTACAACACACACCGGGACCATGGGGAACAAAAGTAGCCACCCTCCAGGAGGAAGGACAGTGTCAGCACCAATTCAGAGATGATTGAAGGATCTATAGCCCAGTGATATACAAATAAGATACATTTTGGTTAATAGTTAAGGTACTTGAATGTATTTCAAGGTTTAACTCCTGAGTTTAGTGTCACTTTAATAATTGTGCATGTAACCTAGAACTTCACAATTCAAGTATTTGCAGCCAACTTACACACTTCTAAATATGAAATATACAACATCAATTTTTAACACTAAAGCCATTGGGGTTGACTCAGTAAAAGAGTAAAGCCTATTTCCTTGGGAAAGAGAATGTTCACTTGGCTTATTTTATAGGGTGAAGCTGCGTTCACTACAATCCTCCAATCATGTGCAAGGGAAATAAGTAAAACAGGATTTGTACTTTATTAGATCATTAAAGTGAACACAAGTACAAAGTGCTGAATTAACAGTGTTTACTACTTTAGTAAATTAATTATATTACCGTAAAATGCCAATATGTGATATTATATTATTTCAATATATACTTTAGAGGAGTACAGTAGATTGATATGTACATTTAAACCAAAAGTTTATGGTGAATGTGTTACTGCAATGTTGCTTTTTGTAATATTTGTCATATATGTGGTGCCAGAATCGCAGATGGAAGTGGAATGATGGCTCCATGTATAATTATCGTGCTTGGCAGAGTGGAGAGCCAAATAATATGCACAATTCTGAATACTGTGGAAAGCTGACCACAGAAACACGTGAGTGTTGGTGAAGATGGTGTTGGTGCACTATACAGAATATTATTGTAATATTTAAATATTTTTTATATTTAAAACTGATCTACCCAATCAAAAAAAAACTGCAATTCATACAATAGCTTTTATACTTTATCTATCATTCTACAATAACCTGTAGTGGAAACATAATTAATTTCAAATGTCTGTGCGCAATATTATTGTTTGGGCTCCCTTCTTATAATTTAGGGAAGATAGTGGGGGTGTAAAAATAATCAGAATTTAACGTTGTGCTTTTACATTCAAGATAGTGCAAACTGTAGGACAAACTGTAGGAAAATCCAAGTAGAAAAAAAACCCATTAATAGCTTCTTAAGGATTATTATTGTTGATAGGACTAAGGTCTGTTTTTTCAGCAGTATGGGGTTTGGTGTATTATTGTGGATAGGGCTTTGGTTTTGTCAGCCGTAGTGGTTTGCCGTATTAATATTGAATTGATAGGACTTTGATTTTGTCAATAGTAGGAGTTTGCCCTATTATTGTTGATAGGACTGTGGTATTTCAGCAATAAAGGTTTGCCATATTAATGTTGATAGGACTTTGTTGTTGTCAGCAGCAAGGGCTTTCCGTATTATTTTTGATAGGACTTTGGTTTTGTCAGCAGTAGGGGTTTGCCGTAATATTGTTGACAGGACTTTGGTTTTGTCAGCAGTAGCCATTTCCCGTATTATTGTCAATAGGACTATGGTTTTGTCAGAAGCAGGAGTTTACTGTACTATTGTTGCTAGGACTGTAGTTTTGTCAGCAGTAGGGATTTGCCATATCATTGTGGATAGGACTATGGTTTTGTCAGCAGTAGGAGTTTACTGTATTATTGTTGATAGGACTGTGGTTTTATCAGCAGTATGGATTTGCCTTATTCATGTTGATAGGATTTTGGTTTAGTCAGCAGTAGGGATTTGCCATATTATTATTGATAGGACCATGGTTTTGTCAGTAGTAGGGTTATGCAGTTGTTTTCCTAACACTGATATGCAGTAGTGCAGAGGAGAGAAAAGACTGTGCCATGTAAATAGAGACTGAAACCTACTGCAGACATACAAGCAAAACAGAAATCTTGAGTTAGCTTGTTTTAATGATCTGTTCACCCATTTAATCTGAATAACTTCTCTTCTCCTTCCTCTGTCAGAATTCCTTCAGTGGAAAGACTCTCAATGTCAAGAAGAAAGCTACTTTGTGTGCAAATATAAACGGTAAGAACATGGTCCTGCCCGGGGGATATATTGGAGCTAGGGTACATCACATTCTTTTTAATGCATTCTGGTAACCTAAATAGATGTATTTCTCCAAATCAGTGATGTGTACTGATCAGTGCATCATACAGAGTTTGCTGAAATATGGATGAGGTGAAATGACAGATGACTGAAAGAAGCAGTACACTGGTGTTGTGGGTTTGTGTGTGCAGATAGGTTAGCATGACATTATTTACATACATTCAAATGTAATTTTTGTTCAGTACGGTATTAATATATATTGTGTTTCTAACTAACAGTTAGATTGGCTTGTATTGTCACTGACAAATAACAACAATGTTTATGAAAACGCATTTATTTCCTGCCAAAGTTCATGAATGGAACTTCAGCGATGGTGAAATGCATTCTGCAGTGCACTCCTAATCTCCTTCATGCAGTAGTCTTGGTGCGCTTTGCACAGTGTGCAGTGAGAGGCATTCTCCTAGAACACCTTATCACTGCACTTTGAACACAGCATACACATCTGAATAAAGCCTAATAAGCAGATAACATTTTCAAGTGAGTAGAAAGTATAACAAATCATGTGACGTGTATTGTGATCCCACAGCGGCGGCAGTGGTTTACCGTTCACCACGAGGAGGTACAGTAAGAAGCTGAGCCAGATCCCGCATAGACTGACAGATCTTTTGTCCAAAACGGTGAGAATTCTGTGGAGAAGTAATACGATTAGATAAACTTTCATTGAGAGGGGGCCTGTTCACACTGTGTGGTTCCATGACCCTACCATAGGACACTGGTAAAATCAACTGAATCCAGTGTAGGCAGCTCATTCTACTACGCTGCTCTACAGTGCATGATTTTACAATTGTATATGCTGCAGCCTGCTTTTCTGTACATATTTTAATGCATCTAAATCAAGATGAGAGGAAAATGTATGTGAGATTTGCTTCATATTAAAACACACTATAATGTGCTACAAAAATATGTACAAGCACAAAACCACACTGGAATCACATGGAGCATGAACAGGCCCTCACAGTGACTTTACATTGCGAACAATGTGATATAGAACATAATCACACCAACAATGCAACTATAAATAACATAGCCACATAGATTGCTTTTAACTGATATAGGTCATAGTCGTTATACAGCAATTTTTAAAGTTAAACAATTAACTCCATATAGGTGAAGAAAAAGACGTAATCCCACCTTCTCCAAAACACATGTAGCCAATAACCATCCATGGTAGTAATTACAAGTGAAAGATGACCTGTAATACTGATGATGGTTTTACAAGGTTACTAAGCAAATAGCCAAAATTAAAAGAAATTGGAGCAGCATACCCTGGAACCAATGAAAATGCATATTTTACTGATTTGAGAGGACTGAATGGAAATACAATATATGATTTCTAATAATATTATTACTATGAAATACTATTCATTGAAGTATTATATCAATTGCTTTCCAGATAAAGAGTATCCAAACTCAAAAATGTAATATATTGCAGCTTTCCAGGCTTTTAACCTTTTTCCCCTGGTAACCCCTCATTAACTTCCTGTCCCTTCGCATTTACACTAATTTCTCCATTGCTAGCTATTGAGGGAACCATGGTTGCCACACAGGTTGGACTTCAAACATGTCTGCCTTAGTGCATCTATATTACATGGTAGTTGATGGGATTGGTAGCTTACAAAAGAATTATGGCATTGTTTTGGAAGTGGCAAGCACACTGCATTTATGGCAGGATCAACAGGTATTTTCTGTACTTGCTAAAAATATTTTTAGCCTGAAATATAGAAAACTAATGCAGCCACCACATCTAAGGTGGCTGCATTAGTTTTATATATTTAAAGCTTTAAAGTGGAAATTAACTCACCTCCCCTCACTCCCTCAATGTTCTGACATCTTCTCCTTGGCTTCTTCCTGGTGAAGGGTCTTCAGCCCCCCTGAATGGTAGGGATGCACCGATACCGGTATTTCTGTATACCGGTATTACACGCTGCCCGGATTCCTGATTGGCTGGGAAGCCAGCTGCATGCTCTCTCGTCACAAGTCAGGAAGGTGGGCAGCGTGTAATAACGCGCTGCCTAGCTTCCTGATACCGGAAGTATCGGGCTAGGCATCGGAGCATTTGGGCGAGTACAAGTACTCGCCCAAATACTCTGCATCTGCACCGATACTAATATTGGTATCGGTGCAACCCTACTGAATGGTATACATGCGTACCATTCAGTTCATTCATCCTAGCACAGAGGTGTGCAGAGAATGTACAGTGAGTTGTTCAGTGTATATTCTAAAGTAGATTGCAAACAGGCAGACATAACATGTCACTTGTGCAATAAAGAGCCTTGCCCACTCGCATTTTTTTTAAAGTTTAAATGCTGTTTGTGTTGCCACTGAAGATGTCTGTTACCCCATAGAGGATATTTCTCTGCTCATTCTGTCTAAAACCTGTTATTAGGACAGGAAATAAAGGGAAATCTCCCTCATGGGGACATAGACAGCAATAAAGTCCTAATAGAGGACTAGTCCTTCCAAACCCATTTAGTAAATTATTTTGAGGAAGATACTTTTCATTTGGATTGTAGGAAAAGTAAAAGAATAAAACATCTACTTTAACATTACAGACAGGGTTATAAGCAAAGCATTTGTGTGTTTTTCCCAAAAGAAATGAACTTTGACTGTCTATAATTAGGAAGATTTCGCTATAAAATGTTTTGAGACCAGTTTTCACAAATTGTTTATTGCAGATCTTTAATTCTACAAAATACTAGATACAGTATTTAGTAAGAAGATGTTTTATGTAATCCATCTCTGCCTGCACTAGACGAATGCAACCAGTCCATGGTTGGAAATACATTTCACACAACAAAATGAAACAGAAGCTTAGTTCAAGATGCATAAACAGGACAGCTGCCATTTAAGTAATTCATTAATTTACGGTACAGTGCTTTACAGGAACTACTTGCTTATTTAATGGTCTAGATGTAATTTAAAACTAAATGGTGTCTCTATTAGGAGATAACTAATTTATATGCACTTTTAAAATGATAAGGCTTTTGCCAGCTGCTATTATTATCACGAGTATATAATAAAACTGACTGTGACAGCATTAAACTTTGTTCTCCATTTTTATTGATATCTACGAAATGAGAAACGTTGACAACAAACATGATGTCTAATACAAATAAGGAAAGAAGCAATGTATTAACATTGCTCAGTAATTACCAATTTTTAAATTAGACTTCAACTCCTGTTTTAGACATGAGATCAGGTCCTGATCAGGTCCTGATCAGCAGACGTGGAGCTGCTGATGCATTGCGTTTTTGGCCGCGTTTTGGATGCGTTCCAGCAAAAAAAAAAAAAAACAGCCCCACTTTGCTGGAGTGGGGCTGTTAGTATGTTAGCTGCAGCGCAGTCCGTTTTTGATGCGTTTTTGACGCGTTTGCGTATCCTGACCGTTTCCGGACCTGACAAAATGTGACATGCAGTATTTTTTCTGTCGTAAGCTGAAAGGACTGCGCACGTGAGAACTGTAGCCCATAAAACACATAGGGATACATTGGGATGCATTTTGAGTGCAGCAGCGTACGGAGCCGGTCAGCACACAAAACGGACGTCGTGTGAACAGGCCCTAAGTGTCAGTTTTACACAGGCTACTAGTCACGGATAATGTACAGTAGAGTATATAAATTCCTTTGTTATTTCATGCCTTAAAATGACATTAAGGGCCTGTTCACACGACGTCCGTTTTGTGTGCTGACCGTCTCCGTATGCTGCTGCACTCAAAATGCATCCCAATGTATCCCTATGTGTTTTATGGGCTCCAGTTCTCACGTGCGCAGTCCGTTCAGGTTACGACAGAAAAAATACTGCATGTCACATTTTGTCAGGTCCGGAAACGGTCCGGATACGCAAACGCGTCAAAAACGCACTACGCTGTAGCTAACATTCTACAGGCCCACTCCAACTTTTTTTTGCTGGAACGCATCAAAAACGCGGCCAAAACGCGGCCAAAAACGCACTGCATCAGCAGTCTGCTGATCAGGACCTGATCTAATGTGAACAGGCCTTAAAGGATAAAATACCCCCCCCCCCTCCCCACGCTGTCTGTCTGATATGCACGCTCCTGGCTGCGTGCATTCACCTCCACTGTGTCTCTCCTCTTCTCCCCACCGAAGATCTCTACTGCGCATGCGCCCGCCCCATCATCCTGCACAGCCCCTCGAGAAGCTTCAGATCTTCAGACCGGAGGGAGTGGCGGAGACACAGGTAAGTAATTATCTTTTTGGTAAGTTTTTACATTTTTTAAAATGTTTTTGCATATATCGACTGCTTGCTAGCAGTCAATATATGCAAAAACCCTCCCAAAAAACGAGTTTAATTCTACTTTAAGGCATTTCCAAGTTAATAATCATAACAACTGTACCGTATAAGAAGAGAAAATAATAAAAACAAGACTTTGGTTAGTTCGCTATAAACATTGGGAATAAAGGTGATCATTTATACGCACCCCTGGCAGAGATATAGTTTGTCCCAAGCCCCGTAACAGTCAATTTTGCTGGACATCTTGTAAATATGGAGGAAAATATAAATATACTCTATAATTTAAAAAAAAAGTCAGAAAAGTAAGTTTTCTAAATTAATCCTTGCAGCGGGGCTACCCCCAGACTGCACGGGTTAAGTGCTTATTTTGGCCTAGGGATGAAAATAAAGAAAATACCTGATCTTCGGTCCTGTGGCAGTGACCACTCACCTATCCCCCTCCGCTCTAGCTGTGGTATGTCCCTCTGTGTTCTCACGTCTACTGGACCTGCATTAAATGCAATGAAGTTACGGGTCCTTAGACCGCCAGAGCCCAGGGAAGAAGAGGCTGCAGGGACCATTCTAACAGCCAAGCGGGGCCACAGTTTAGGTGAGTATATTTTCTTTATTTTCATCCCTAGGCTAAAACAAGCACTTAATCCTTGCAGTGTAGGGGTAACCCCACTGCAAGAGTTAATTTGAAAAAAACCATGAAGATCTTTTTTAAAGTTAGCAACGGCAGCACAGTTTTTTTTTTAATAACGGTTCTTTTATGTCAGTTTTCTTTTAATAAAAACAAACCATCCAGGAGTAAACTAAAATAAGCCTTATATAGGTAATTAATAAATCAACAAGAATGCAAAGATTGCTAATAATAAAACATGTAGTAGGTGTTTAGGACCTACCGTCTCAGGGCTGGACAGTTTACTGGAAATATGTAGGGTGATGACATTTTCACCAGCAAAGATGTAAGACACACCATAGCCATCATCAGCCACCTACAAGATAATAAAGAAGGAAAGTCATTTTATGTCCAGGAACAATTAAATACAGAATATATATATATTATTATTATTTTTTGCAGTGATGTGTCCACAGTCTATTTCTCCATGAGTTTTGCATGATGAATGGGACCCTGTGTGGCCCCAAAACGTCGTTATTATGTGAAAATATGAACATACGCCATTAAAGGAGTATTTGTTAGGATTTTAGAGCGACCTTTGTTCTTTTTGCATTGAGCGGCGCCACCGCAGCACCCACCAATCCATAGAAACTTATCGGTCAGGTGTGTGATGGGCTTTGGACACTGACTGCCTGGTCCAGGACTTAAGGCATCATGCTAGCCATACCCAGCTCTAAATTCGAGCTGCGTGTGGCCCCTTTTGGCACCACTTAGTTCAACAAAAGTTGATTTCAAAATCGAAGGAGTTGGGTAACAACTGTTGGCCAAACAGTGACTGCATCCTATCAGATTAGTGTATTCAGACAGGAGGGTGCCAGCAGCTTCCTGAATATGTAGTACTAGCCACCATTGTAGATTCCGAATATGCATAAAGCAAGTGATTTCTCTAGTTTAGTCTGCAGGGATGACCAAACAAAATCTACATGTGCATGGCTAGTCTTAGAAGCCCATTCTGCACTTTCCTTCTGCTGTAGGCAGAGAGTAGACAATGAATGACTCTTCTGGTCCTGCCTCCAAGACTTCAGAATTTGCAAGTCCGAAAACACTGCTTCCTGTAATCCTACTGCGAGAGTGCACATGGCCGAGTGACAACACTTCACCTGCATTAGAAGGCAATGGGTAAGCATTGTCTCCCTACAACTGGAAGCGCTATTGTAAGGAGCGACAGATATATATATATATATATATAAAGATTTAGAAGCTGAAGCAGGTGTATGGTATATATTTTTTAGCCGTATAGGTTTAGAAGAGGCAGCAATTATAAAGAGAAAAGACCAGTCCACAAGGCAAAGGATTTTACTCCTAATGGAGGACGAACTGATGCTGGTGGCTCTCTTTTACCCTGATAAGCTGAATACTTGCTTAGCCCACAGTGCAGTAATTATACCATATGATTGAAGGGATAAGGGTGTGAAACAGCTTTCTGGCTATGTGCGAGTGGTCTTTAATGCTTTTCTAGGTGTGTTAAAACAACATGTTAGATATCAGTGATAGCCATGCACTGCTAACAGGGGAGCTGCTAGTCAGCTGTTTCATTCTGGTCACCTCCACCATGGTACATAGAAAAAATGATCACTAAGTGCTGCTACTTTACCCCTACTACTGAACTATTTCCCAAAATTATCATCCTCCTCAAAGACAGCTTCTGATGGTCCTGTTTAGACTTTAAGTTTACAGCAGCTTGTACAACCATCTAGACGACATTAGTATTTAGCCAGAAGAAGTTGAGCTACATAAAGGCCCACCCTAGTTTATACAGGGCTTTCCATTCCTGTGCAAATGCTGCAGTACCTGCATATTTACCTGTGCCACATGCTAAGATATTCCTACTAGTAGGGATGCACCAATACCGATACTAGTACTCACCCAAATGCTCCGATACCTTTCCCGATACCAGAACTTCCAGTCAGAGGAAGATTTCCTCTGACCGGCAGTGTCACAGGGGAACATGGAGCTGGCTTCTCGGGCAATCAGGAAAGTGGGAGGCGACTAATGACCCACCTCCCAGCTTCCTGATTGGCCAGGAAACTGGCTCCATGCTGATTGGCTGGGAAGCCGGATTCCTGGCCAATCAGCATGGAGCCAGCTGAACAGCCAGCTCCTTGCTGATTGGCCGGGAAGTCGGCTTCCCAGCAAATCAGCATCGAGCCGGCTTGCCGGCCAATAAGGAAGCCGGGGAGGCAGGTCATTACTCGCCACCCGGCTTCCTGATTGGACGGGAAGCCAGCTCGATGCTGATTGGCTGGGAAGCTGGTATTCCAGCCAATCGCAATCGAGCTGGCCAAACAACATGGAGCTGGCTTGCCGGGCAATCAGGAAGCCGGGCAGCTTGTCTTTACACACCGCCCGGCTTCCTGAATTCTTGGGAAGCTGGCTCCATGCCAGCGGATGCACTCGATACCGAAAAACCCATATCTGTGCATCCCTACTTACTAGGGGTTCGCCAAAATTTCGGGCACCGAAACATATCGGCTGAAAATGGTACTTTTGTCAAAGTGGGAAATTACAGTGCATGGCTGGTTTCTCTATTGACACAGAGCAGCGTCCAGAGGGGAGGAGAAAAACTTTCTGGAGTCCGAGCAGGCAGGAAGGAGAGCGCTGTCACCAGTCTGTGTCACAGGAGACCGAGCTCTCCTCCTCCAAACTACCCTGCTCGGCCTCCTGTGACAACAAATCAGGATGGAGAGCGGTGCAGGGAGGAGACACCTGTTAGCTTTCACAAGAGGCACCGCTGGCTCACCCTCCTGTGACAGCCAAAGGAGTCAGGAAGGAGAGTGGTTACATGCACTCAGTGATCAGCTGATCGCTGAGTGCTTGTAAATAATAGAGGTCACAGTATGTTTACTGTGTCCCCAATTATGAATGAACAGGAAGTGCTCTACATCCCTTCCTGTTCATTGTTGACATAGTAACTCATACTAGATCCACAGTTTAAGAATGGACAGGAGCACTCAGTATGGAGGCTTCCTGTTCATTTATAACAGAGGCTGCAGAAAAACAAAATTGAGAACTTTGTCCTCAATCTTTTTTCTATTTCAAAAGGGAAATATCCGGGGTCTGTTTAGACCCCAGATATTTACTCAGAGCCCCTGAAAGTAATGTAAAAAATACATAAATAAATAAAAATGTAAAAAATTCTAAAAAATATTTTTTAAAAGGTTAGAAAAAAAATATTTTTGGTTTCGGCCTGAAAATCCATTTCGATGCACCTGTTATACTTACCGGTCCAAATCCTCCACCAGCAGATATATGTTCTGGAAATTTCTCCATATCAAACATTTTTAGTTGCTGTTGAGGAGTCTGGGATGTAGAGAGACGCCAGGGTTCAGACAGCACCTAGGAAAGTCAGAGTATACTCTCAGAGTCAAGAGATCAACACGCAGGAATAAGCAATAAGCATTATTCGAAGGTCAGGGAGTCCAAGTCACAACTAAACTTTGGGCCTTGTTTTTAAACATCACATCACAGAATGCAGGCACTGAAACAAACGGCAGAACACACATGAGTGTGTAGATCATTCCTGTTTGTGAAAAAAATTGGATCTGGTGCTGAAAAAAACAAGAGAATAAAAATGAAAAATGAAAAAGTGAAGGCACTGTCCACAGCCAGCCAATATGGTATTTCTTTTCAATTCTTATTCATTTTCTAAATCTGATGGGTTGCTATGGGCTTTAACTGACTCAAAGTTTTTTATCATGAGTGCCACAGTTTTCTAGTCAGAGACAGTTGTTTTAACAGCATAAATATACAGCAGTTATGAAAGACTTTCTATGCTAATATAACAAACAAGTTTACCTTTAGTTCTCCTTTGTGGAAAGCCACATTAAAAAGAAATAAAACACAAATTATGGGACAGATCACATATTCACACAAATAACAATAAACTTGATAACATTTTCAATGATCGAGATTCTCACCTGCTGAAGGAAGGGGGACTCAGTTCCCAGATACTTAGACACAAGATAGAGGCAGAAAAGGTGGCGGTCAATGCCTTTTCCTGTCATTGCTAAACGATACATGAGCTGGTGACGTTCAGCAGCTGCCCGGTACAGAGCCAGACGGTTTTCTCTCTGTGTAATGATAGATTGGAGTCAAACTCAAACCATTATTTTATAGGAAAATTATATTTAATTCCAAAAAGGGCCTGGTACCCACAGTTTCATTGGGATCCTCCATGGCCCTCACAAAATCACATGATTCCTTGGTACAGGATCTCACGGTCTCTGTTCGACCTTCACGGAACAAACGGGTCATAGAGGCTTCATAGGTCAGGCAGAAGTGCCCCTTATCCTGTGATTTCAATAAAGCAAACAAGAAAGTAAGTTTGCCTCATCACCCTACAAAATTAATTATAAGATGATACAATTAGTTTAACCTCGTTTTTATTATTGATCTTCTTAGTCAACTTCTTTCATAGATCCCAAAAGTCGCTAAAGCAAAGGCTTCTTAAAACAGAAGGTACATACTACCATCCATATTTCCATCACACATCCCAAAAATAACGGGTTTATTCTTCAATGTAGTTAGATCTACACAAATCATTGCCTTCCACTCTGGGGCAACTGTGCATCCAGAACCACAGGTTTATAGTATCGATACAGCCTAATATTACAGACCCCCTATTATTTCAAACTGCATACAGTTGTTCCATGGTTGTCAGCTATCATCTGTGCAGTAAGTGGAAACCATGGCTAAAACAAGGCTTAGAAACCAACAAGAAAGTATAACCAGATATGTTATGTTGAGCTGTGCCAAAAGGAACAAAACCTAAACCAAATTGAAGCACAGCCGAGCCTTCCTAAAATCAAAGGCACCTGTATGTTTCACTTCTATCACACATCCATAAAAACAAGGAGTTTATTCCTCACTTAGGATAGTGTTCAGAACCATGCAAATCATTCCCTTTCATCCCTGGCCCAATATGCATCCAGTATCTAACACAATGGTCAAACACTCCTACTCACTCTGATGGTAACATACTAGATCTGGTTTTCTCCCACCTATGCACTCCTTGCAACCTTTCCAACACCCCTTTTCCCCTCTCAGACCACAACCTTGTCAGTTTCACCCTCACCCTAACCCCAACCCTGAATCCACCAACACGGCACCCTGTCACCCGGAGAAACCTTCGCCACCTTGACCCTTCTCTTCTCTGCTACTGACTACCTCTATGACAAAATCTCACCCCTGTCCTGCCCTGATCTGGCTATTTCTGTCTTCAACAGCTCACTTTCATCCTCCCTAGACACCTTGGCTCCCCTCACTACACGCAGACTTAGACCACGTCCACTACAACCGTGGCAAACAAAAGAAACCAGACATCTAAAAAGACATAGTCGCGCTCTTGAACGACTGTGGCAAAAAACTAGGCTTCTGCAAGATTTCACCTTGTATAAAGCTGCCCTCCTAAAATATAATTCCTTCCTCCGTGCTGCCAAAAAGACTTATTTTGTTACTCTCATTAACACACTCTCCTCCAAACCTCGTCAACTCTTTTCCACTTTTAACTCTCTACTATGTCCCCCACAGCCACCACCCACTAACTCACTGCCCAGGACATTGCCACTCATTTCAAAAACAAAATAGATACAATTTGGGATTAGATCACCACTGTACATTCACATTCCCCTATTCATGTTCCAGACCCACCATCACACTTGTTACTCTCCTCTTTTGACCCAGTCACCATAGAGGAGGTTACAAAGCTTCTCTCTGACACCCACCTCACCACTTGCCCCCTGCACCCCTCCCCTCACCACTACTTCAGTCACCCTCTTACTCTATCCTACACTCTCTTACTCACATTTTCAATCTCTCACTCTCTACTGGAATCTTTCCCTCCCCTCTAAAGCATGCCCTGGTCACCCCAATACCCAAAAAAACATCAGTGGACCCTACCGACCTTAACAATCTCAGACCAATCTCCTTACTCCCATTCACCTCCCAACTCATAGAACGCCTTATCTACAGCCGCCTGAGCCGCCACCTCGCTGATAACAACCTTCTCGATCCCTTACAATCTGGTTTTCGCCTCCTACACTCCACTGAAACCGCCCTCCTAAAACTCACTAATGATTTACTAACAGCTAAACACAATGGCCACTATTCCTTACTCTTGCTATTAGACCTTTCTGCTGCTTTTGACACTGTGGACCACCTGCTCCTCCTCAAAAAACTCCACTCACTTGGCCTACAAGACTCTGCTCTCTCATGGTTCTCCTCTTACCAATCTAAGCGCTCCTTTAGTGTCACCTACAAATCTAACTCCTCCCCTCCTCTTCCTCTTTCTGTAGGGGTCCCCCAAGGCTCTGTCCTTGGAACACTTCTCTTCTCTATCTACACCTCCTCCCTTGGTCAGTTAATAACCTCACATGAAAAATTGGGAGAGTTGTCCCTGGATGCAGTGCTGACACTAGGGTGGGGGTGTCTGGGTGTGGGTTGGAATGATGGGTGTGCTGCTTCTTATAGATGCGGACCGGGGTGTCCGTCGTTTGCCAAGAGGATCAAAAAAAAAAGGGGGGGGGTATAGAAGCGCTACTACCATATATTGACTAAATAAAACAGGCCAACTTACCAATGGATGGATGGTGGAGCGTAATCATCGGCGAGGGGACGATGGGTGTAGGTCCATGAATGGTGAGGGTGGTGGGCACTCAGGGGGATGTGTGAGCAAATAGGGGGTATGTGGGTTTAATCACTGCCGTGGTGGCTGAGGGGGGCACAGTGTAAATGATAGCCTGGGTATGTGTGGCAGAAAGGCTGGTTGCCGAGTGGATCGGGGGTGGGGACTGTGACACTTGCTGACAGGCGGCAGGTATGTCAGGGAGAAAGGAGATGGTTTGTGTCCCTCCTGGCCACAAACTCCATCGACAGGTCACCACCTCCACTACCATCTCCTTTCTCCTCGACCCCTCGCCGATGATTACGCTCCACCATCCATCCATTGGTAAGTTGGCCTGTCTTATTTAGTCAATATATGGTAGTAGCGTTTCTGTACCCCCCCCTTTTTTTAATCCTCTTAATAACCTCACATGGCTTCCAATACCATCTCTATGCCGATGACACTCAAATCTATCTCTCTACTCCTTAACTTTCCCCCTCAGTGTCCTTGCGTGTCACTAATCTACTAACTGACATATCCGGCTAGATGTCTCAACACTTCTTAAAACTTAACCTTTCAAAAACTGAGCTCATGATATTTCCTCCTGCCCGTGCACCCTCCCCCAACATTTCCCTTGAGATTGTTAACACAACTATCCATCCCTCCCCCCATGCCAAGGTCCTAGGTATCATCCTTGACTTATCCAAATCCTGCCGCCTTCACCTTCATAACATCTCCAAAATACGCCCCTACCTCACCAATGAAACCACAAAATGACTCATCCACTCCCTTGTTATCTCTCGTCTGGACTATTGCAACTCCCTCCTCATTGGCCTTCCACTACACAGGATATCCCCCCTTCAGTCTATCATGAATGCAGCTGCTAGACTCATTCACCTAACCAACCGCTCAGTGTCTGCATCCCCCCTCTGCCAATCCCTAACCCGGCTTCCTATAGCCCAAAGGATAACATTCAAAATATTAACAACCGCTTACAAAGCCATCCACAACTCTGGCCCCTGCTATATCTCCAACCTTGTCTCAAAGTATTACCCTAACCGTCCCCTCCGCTCTTCACAAGACCTCCTGCTTTCCAGCTCCCTCATCAACTCCTGCCATCCTCGCCTCCAGGACTTCACTAGAGTCTCTCCCATCCTATGGAACTCTCTACCCCAACCTGTCCGTCTATCTCCCACACTGACTGCCTTTAGGCGATCCCTCAAGACTAATCTCTTCAGGGAAGCCTATGCCACCTCAACCTAACCACTGAACAATCACTTTCTCAAACAATCATCCCCACACAGCTACCTCCTCATGTATCACTTGCCCCTCCCTTTTAGATTGTAAGCCCTCACGGGCAGGGCCCTCACCATCTTGTCTTGAATTGTATTGTGATTGTAATGTCTTCCTTATATCGTAAAGCGCTGTGCAAACTATAAATCCTGTATAATAATAATAATAAAAAAGTACAGATGTAGCCCAATGTTTCCTCACATTTCAGTCTACTGTGGAAGGATAAACGAAAAATTGTTTTATTATTGGTTACTACATTTTGCCCATTCTCTTTGACTTACAGAAGAAGCTAACAGTGTTTAAAGCAAAAACAATCATAAAAAAAGAAACAGCTGTCATAGGCTGAACAAAGGGTGAATGATATGTACTATGTCTGTAAATCACCTGAACCATTACAATAAATTTATGGTAACTATAACCTGTACTAGGAAATGTATAATTCTGCTCATCCATACATGCATACATTATCATGGCCTTGCACAAAATACACAAAGATTGATGGCTACATTCAGACATAGGAATTCTTATGTTTCTCAAGTAAGCAAGGTGGGTGATTATGCTATGTGTTTGTACTGTTCACACTCATGAAAACTCTGGAGTATTTATATTTTTTTAGACCCTTTAAAATAACTTATAGCTGGTGGTGGATGGCAATGTACCAGAGGAGCATTCTCTGATATGCATGGAGGGGCAAGGAAGGAAATAACCCGAGGAATAAAGATAATACCTAGACATTTTTCAATGACACAGTGACATAGAATTTTAGAAACTCTTTACCCGGTAGTGAGCCAGCTGTAGTGATATTTGTAGGAAAGCATCAGGGCTGCTCCGACACTTTTTGATCAGTCCTTTCCCAAAATCTGTGAAACGGAGGCAGTTAAAGTCCACATCATCTGCTAGTGTCTTAGCTGTGAAGTAGGAGCGTTCAATTACCTCACGACACTAGAGAAAAGTGAAATTCACAGCTGAAGTTATTTTTGGATGACAAAGACCTTATAAAAGCATAAACTGTTCTTCTTGCTGGAGTGATAGCTGTTTCTGAGGACCTGAAGTACAAGGAGCTTGATATTTCTGCATAATTCATTCTGTGGGTCTGTACTTTCAGAATGTCTTCTGCTGCTTCTTAAACATAACCGCATGAGTTATCAAAGGCACAATTCACAAAGCAGGCAGTTCTAATTTGAGGAAGCAAAGCACTGCCTCTACCAAGGTGGTCTAAAAGGAATACGAAGAGTAGGTTCCACCTTAAGGTATGCAATTACCGAAAGGGGAGGGGCTTTTAAGAAATACTATAAACTCTCTAAATGCATACAAATATGAATTAATTTATTACATAATTAGAAATAAATAAAGTTAAAAAGTAGTTGGTCTATTTTACATGCAGTATAAATGTCACATCAAGTCAACAATTGTTATTAAAATAGGACATAAAGATGACTCATTCAGATAAAACCCGACATGTTTCGCCCCACTGGGCTTCTTCAGGGGAAATTATATATCCTAAATGAGAGAGAACCCATGTGAGGCAAATTAGAGACGGCATTCTTACATAAAACGAACATATATATACACACATTGTGATATCATGGGTATTGGCAAGCTTACATGGAGGAGTCAAAAAGGACCGTCAGTCGACATCACTACATGAGAAATGGAGGGAGCCGAGTGTTTCAGGTAGGTTTTCCCTCTATTCAAATAAAAGTAGTCACGCATGGGAGTCGTGTCAGGAGAGCAAAGCAGCAACAACAATCGAGGGCAACAGAAAGGGAGGTTTGTATTGAACAGGCACAATTAGGCATTCATGAGTTAGTGATTTAATGGAAATGATAAGTGACTAAATTGTGCATAGTGATAAAAGTAGCATATTAATTGTATTTATATAATATTCAAAGTAATGAGTAGTGACAATTAAATTTATCAAGGCTGGTGAGGCATAATAATCAATATATGCGAGATTGTGATGCAATTACCGAAAGGGGAGGGGCTTTTAAGAAATACTATAAACTCTCTAAATGCATACAAATATGAATTAATTTATTACATAATTAGAAATATATAAAGTTAAAAAGTAGTTGGTCTATTTTACATGCAGTATAAATGTCACATCAAGTCAACAATTGTTATTAAAATAGGACATAAAGATGACTCATTCAGATAAAACCCGACATGTTTCGCCCCACTGGGCTTCTTCAGGGGAAATTATATATCCTAAATGGGAGAGAACCCCACCTACCAAGGTGGTGACGGTGCAGTGGTAAATCAGTAATAGAAAAAGATCAGCTGCAGGGAGACCACAGGCAATACTGTTTGCCTTTTCTGAGTACAACTTCCAAAGTTCAGTTCCTTTTTAACCACTCACCTTTGTTGGAATATCCCACTGTAGTCTGTATGGGGGAGGCAATGAGAGGCCATGATCTCCATTGCAATTCCCATTCTCTGCGTAACCCAGTTCAAAGCAATCAGTGGCCAGCATAAACTATGGCAGAAACAGACACAACATAATATGTATGATATGCATGTTGAAACTGAATACAGAGTAAATTACTATATAATGAGTAATATAAAAATATTAAATAATGAAGCAATATATAACAGATCTGAAGGGCCTTCGCTGCTCTGCATTTCTATGTTCTGTTTTTCTCCAAAATATTCTTAAAACGTTGAAAAAAAATTATTAAAAAAAATAAAAAATTGCAGTGAGAAGGTGAAAAAAGAATAGTGAGATCAAATTTGACAAACTGGTTGACAAAACTGAAGCAGATATGGTGTGAAACACTAAAATCAATGTGATAATCTACAGTCATATTAACATGACACACATGTCCAACAAAAATACTGAGGGGTGGGCAACAGGGGTGGGCACCAGCCACTGATAGGACAAATACAATTTAAAGAATTATGATATGACTCTGACAGGCAAGGTATCTGAAGCAACCAACTTCTGAACCAAGGACAGATGGGGATAAACCCTCTACAAGACAGAGGTACTGTCAGCCTGATGTTCCAGAGCAGGACAAAGAAAACGACAGTAAACTCCTGATGAAAGGAGTAATGGAACCCTGTCTGTGAGAACTTGAAAACCAACCAGCAATCCACCAAATAACAGGTGGAAAAGACACAAAACAAAAACAGGAGACCAACAACTGAAAAGGTCAATGGTGGAAAACAATATGCCTGGACCAGATCCTGGAACAATCAAAACTCTACAGGACGTTTTGGCAACATAACAAATAAAAAAAAAACAACCAGCATCATAATAAGAGAGAGACGACTCTTGTTATAAGTGCTTCCATAATGAGGAAAGGGTTAGCTGGTCAGACAATCAACCTTGTAGCAAGATCACAAAGTTATAAAAGAGCCCTTACAACATAACATTCCAGGGGATACAGCTCTGGAGTCATCCTGAAGGGGAAGTAGAGCGAGTGAGTGGAAGCCTTATAAAAAAAAAAATCGGGATAGGCAGAACCAAGGGTACCGCACAACCCAACCCAACCCAATTGTTAAGATAAACAGAAAAAAAAAAATTCTGACAATGGGACAGTGCCTTCTATTGTGAGAAGCTAGCATTCTCACAATGGGATATACAGGTGTTTTTTGTTTATCGATGCTGGCTTTTGTTTTGGGGTAAACACTCCCAAGCCGGTCAACAGTGGTCTGGCCTTTTAACTCAGTGAACCCCAACCCCCGGTCCGTGGACCGGTACCGGTCCGCGGATCAAATGGTACCGGGCCGCACAGTCTCAGTGCGGTCCGGTCATGCAATATATGGCAGTGCACGGTCCCGGTGTTCGAACACCAGGGCCCCGCACTGCCGACGGGCTTCACACGTGAGGGGGCAGGTCCTGTGACTCACCTCCCCTCCCGGCCGCGTCCATAGTAGCAGGAGGCGGGAGGGGAGGTGAGTCACAGGAGACCCCCTGCAGTGCACACATTCCATGCTATCCTGGAAGGGTGAGTCCGAGCGGGGGTGGGGATCTCTTACTTGCCATGCACTGCCACAGAGGGGATATCTCTTTGCAAAGATCTTGCTGTCGCTCTGAGACAGGAGGTAGAAATCTCCCCGATGAGACAAGGAGAGTGAAAAGAAAAAAAAACTGACATGGGTCTTAACAGTTCTTTATTCTATCTGTTGTGTTAAACCTAGTGTCAGGCTGCATCAAATCTGCACCCCCCAATTAACAATCCATTGTCCACTGGGGCTTCCTCGGGGCCTGTAAAGGCAATTTCTTTGGACAGTATTCGGTACACCTATGCCAAAAAGTTAGGGCTAAGTCCAGTCCCCAAAAAGTGAAACCAAACCAGAGAGGGGCAAAGCAGAGGTTTTGTTGGCTCCCCAATGTCAGAGCAGACATCCTGTGATCTCTACTGGGCTTTAATACATTTAAAATGGAGTACCGGTTCACTTTAAGCTCAGAAGCCGGCCATTATCACAGCGTCTCTCTCTCGCTCTCTCACTCATTCGCCTAAAGGAATTAATGACTAATAAGCTTCTGGACCGCAGTCTGAAATGAGCGAATAATAGCAGCGCGTTTGTATTAATCACACATCTGAGAAGGGAAGATGAGAAGAGCCCACACAGTAAAATTATGATGACTTTTTTTGTTATCTTTATTGATTCAGAGTCTCTCCAGCCATTTATCGCTGCCTCACTTAATTGTCCTTTAATATGGACGCTTCATATATTTTGACATGTGGATTATAATGGGGAATACTACACCACTGTCATGTTCCCTATTATAATCTATTTCTCTGTTGTGTACTGCTATTTAATGTAATTAGACATGTGGATTATAATGGGGAATATTACACTGTAATGTTCCCTATTATAATCTATTTCTCTGATTAAATGATTACAGACAGTCCTCTGTTCTATCACAGTTTGAGACTACGTTAGAATGTGTGACCAGTGACGTGGTCACACATTTTAACGTAATCTCGCCCAGTTTTTCGGTGGTGGAATAGGTGAAGAATTCCAACGCTTTCATTTTTTGGTGTAACTGTATTTTATTTTGAAGGCATGTTTAGATACAATTAAATTAAAATTATAAAATCAAAACAATCAAAAATATGAACAATCAACGTCCCCCCCTCAGCGGGCCACGGTAAAATTATCAATTGTTGACCGGTCCGCGGCGATAAAAAGGTTGGGGAGCACTGTTTTAACTGACTTTGGATGGCATTAAATGATGCTCTGCTGCCATCTACAGTTTGAAAAAGAGATATACCGGCAATAGAAATCTGATGTCACAGATAAGGGCAACACCCACAGATGGGCTTCCAACTTTTCTGAATAAATGCCAGCAGCCCAAGTTGAATAGGGGGGACTTTATGATGGAACTTTGACCAAGGGGGACGTCAATGGAACAAAGGACAACTAAAGGCCTCACTTTGAGAGAGACTGCAACCAGAAGCTATTTTTCCGAGAACACTTAATCGCCAGAAGTCCTGTTCAATGCAGAATTTGTAGACCATCATCATCTAATCTAAGTGTCTTTAGTGTATCCTCTTATAGAAACCATTGCACATGCTATAGAAGGATAGTGGGTGCATGTGTATGTATGATTGTAGCAGCCTGTATGTTTATGTATTGTTTTACCTTGAACCAGTTTACGTACGTAGCAAATTTGTATAGTAAAGTACGTTAAATATTACTGGGGTCAGTTTCCTTGGTCTTACTACAGGAATTAGACACACAAATAGCTGTTAAAAGGTAACCTAGAAACGCAGTCTCCTGTGTGTTCTGCACAGGGGATGTCAGTGGAAAGCACTAGGATGTATGCAAAGTCCACTGCTTAGAGCAGGTATTTCCGGGAAATGCTAAATGGACAGAACCATATCAGCAAAAGCACCAGCCAGAGCTGATTCATTGTCGAGCTTGTAGGTCAGGAGAGCCCACTGATCGCTGAGTGTTTGTACTCACTCTCCTCTCTGACACGCTGTCACAGCGCAGCCTATCTCCGCCCACACACCGCTCTGCCGGACTGTGATAGGAGGCTGAGCTGTGTGAGAGGAGACGCCGGCCGCTCACTGCGCTCTCCTCCAGCAGCGCTCGGCCGGCTGTCACTTTCTCTCCTCCCCAATGGGACACAGAGCAGCGCCCAGCGGGGAGGAAAGAAACCTGGGATGCGCCGATCGGCAGGAAAATTGCACTTTCGGCATTATGCCAAAAGTACCATTTTCGGCCGATATGTTTCGGCGGCCGATATATCCGTGCATTCCTAAGTATAACCATACTGTAATAGAATTCCTGTGTTCATTAATGGACAAATCAGGAAAAAAGTTTTAACACCAATTTTACTGAAATACAATACCCTACAGCAGGGCTCAAAATGTCAAGTCCTGAGCTACTAGCCAGGCCTTAAGAGTTACAAGCCACCAGTTGCCCCACCTAACCCTTACCCTGCCCCGGCCTTAACTCCGCCCCTAAACACACCCTCTTAAATAATCTTATGATAATTCTTGTCTTATGATAGTTGCCGCTTGTAAAAGGCAGATTAGGGATTCCTGCTGCAGAAAAACGCACCTTCCTGACACAGGAATCTCTAAATCACACCTGAAATATACTGTAGGTGTGAATATACACATACACTAAAGGTGTCCATACACCTTTAGTGCGATAATCGGCAGGTGTATGGGCAGCGTGCGACCGCTTCTACTGTAAGGTCGTACGACTTTCGTCTTCCTAGCATGCTGGAAAACCTGCCGAAAATCGTACGATTTTTTGTGTGGCGTGGTCGGAAGACGAATGCCGCACGGGCCGTTGTGCGCAAACGCACACTGCCCGCTCAGCACTGCAATCATCGGAAGCCCTCAGCGGGGAGGGCTTGCGATGATTGCAAGTACGATCTGCCTGCCCAAGATGGGTAGATCGTACGAGATTTTAATGACCTTACAACCATCGTATAACGAAAGTCGTGCGATGGTTGTAAGGTGTATGGGCAACTTAAAACACAATAATACATTTATTTTTGGCCGGAGCTCAGAACTGTCAGATGCACACAGAAGCAGATCGTGGAGCTGCTCTCGCAAGTCAGGTACGCGGGTCTGCGACCGTGTGCCTGACATGTGAGCAGGCTGCGGGAAACATAGTACTGGCTCGCGGGCCGGAGTTGGCCTGCGGACCGGTACTTGGAGACCCTGCCCTACAGCAACCAGTCAAATATTAATGTACATCATAAAAAGTAAAAAATACAAAGTGTTTATATAGACCTGAGTACATCACCAATTATAGTATATTAATACCTCCCACAGGTGTCCAACGACTGGAGCGTCTGCCCAGGAATGCTCAGCATTAAGGCCCAACTTTCCATTACTGAACACAACCAGACTAAAGGATTTATCAAACCACCTGCAACAAAGTAGAGGGAAAAGTAACTGAGAAGTGGAAACCAGCATCAAGCACACAAATTTAGCTTAGAGTCAGTGACTTATCTCATGGTCACATGCATATACAGTATGTGCACATAGGCACATCACATTTAGCACAGTATATGTAATTACAACTTTTGTGTAAATTATCCAGCTGTCCTGCTTAGTTATCCATAGAAATAAAATGGCTTACATAATTAGATAACATAGATCCATAAAATATTTTACTCTAAAAGCACTCAAGGTAATGGCTTTCAAAAGACTACTAGTTCAGTTATTAAGGAAGTATCAGCATTACTAAAAGCTATGCAGCACCTATTAATGATAATTTTTCTATATCAGTAGACTAAAATGTAAGCATTAACAAAAGAAAAGCATAGAATGTAAAAATAAGTTTAGTAATATGTTGTAGTGTACATACTATGAATAGATAATACTAATAAATATTGTTGAAAGATACAGTATGTAAGGCAATGGTTGGGCAGCAATAGAATAATAAAGGATTAGGCATGTGCTAATGAGTTTATAACTACAAATAAACCAGAAATGATATGCCATATATGTGATATTCTATCTAAGTTACCTGTTGTAGCAATTTCCATGAAGCAAAGATTTAGAATATACACTGAGAGAGTTCTTATCCTCCTCTTGATACCCTAAGGCTTCAGGGTCCAGACAAACAAAGAAGACTCCCTTTTCAATGCAGCTCAGTGAAACCCGATTTACACCGTGACTGAAGAACTCTGAGCGAGCCTGAGCCCAAGAGACTCTGTTAAGTCATTTGAAAGTAAAAAGGGAAAAGGGCCAAAAAGTGGTAAGTGTATAAAGAAATGAGAAAGAAAGTAGGAGACAAACAGAAAGGGAGACATTATTTTTATAATATATTTCCATGTTCTGTCCATGTCTATGGATCTTCCTAGTCTACTCCCCTTTCCCCTGTTCTTACCGATCCCCAGCTGTGAGTGCCGCCAGTTTCTCCTCGCCTGGTTGTGGTGGGCTTGGGTCATCAAGAATGCGTTGAATTTGTGTTTGCAACTGACGTGGGCTAAGCAGGGTTCTGTCATCATATAGGCACAGCCTGTAGAAGCGGCCCTTGTGGTACACACATACATGTCGACTCTCTACCAGATGCTGGAGGACATCTGCACAAAAAATATACATTGGGTGGTATGTATGCTTATCAATAGGACATATGTATTTCATTGGTACTGTCTAATAACACACCCACCTGTCTCCACTCCTGGAATTCGTGTAGTATTAAACATCCTCTCCATCTGATAGGAGCACATGGGGACAATGCCAAGAGCCATGACCTGGTCACAAAGGAAACTTCACTATATCAGTTTCACCATATAGTTATTGGCAGAATATCAAGAACATTTCCACTATCTTAAACATTAGCATGGTAGTTTGTTCTTTAATGCTTCTTTCTATATCCTTCATCTGGGTTACTCTATCTTCCATAACTCTACTATCTACTGAACATAGCTAGGTTCTATGTATAATGAATATAATCTACACCCCCTTGTAAGGACCATGCCTCAGTACCAATACTGTACAAGCTACAAATCTTGCTTTCTATTTTCTATGGAAACGTTTAGCTGGCTACAAAGCTTCTGCTTTGTGGTTACAATACACATCTAATGTGGAATGATCGCAATAATGAGATGATTGTTTTGTTAAATGCTTCAACTTCTGATAAAGGTCAAACACTATGCATGGCAGCAACAAAACTGCTGATAGTGCAACTAAAAAACATAACTAATAGCTGCAGTTTTTTATTTGTAGCAAAAACACTGACAAAAGATATTGCAGCTGCTGCTACATATTTCCACAAAATTGCTTGTGTGACATGGCTTAACATTACAGTCCATGTACCCATTGCACTCCTGACCGCACGTCCAACAAAGTATCCTGGATGCTCAGTAGTCGACGGATGGCCACCGTCAAAGTAATGCAGAAAAGAAATGGACACCGGCACTCCAATAGTAAATCGATTACGTCTATTTATTGACGTACATCAAAAGCAAAATAGCACACTTACTGTGTTATTTTGCTTTTGATGTACGTCAATAAATAGACGTAATTGATTTACTATTGGAGTGTCGGTGTCTATTTCTTTTCTATGGCTTAACATTATACACCTGACAGCAAATATCTAATATATTATAAGGTACATTATTACACTTTACATATTGTACTGCTAACTAGTGCATCACTCACTGGAGGGATCAGACCCCTTTCAAGCTTTCTTCGATATAGTAGCATTGCATGTATGGCATTTCCTGCCCTTGCTGCTTGGTTAGTGGTTGGACACACGGTTAGAAAATCCTACAATGAAAATATAATCATGTCAGAAGTTCAGATGATGATGTAAAAACACTGTACTGCTACAATGAAATACAAATACAATGAAAAACAAAATAATGATGGTCTAGTTCTCATATACAATGAAAAACAAAATAATGATGGTCTAGTTCTCATATACACATACATTAAACTATACAGCCAAATCTTTTTTTTTTTTTGTGTGTGTGAAGAGCAGGGAAGGATAAAATACCCTGTGCTGCAGCACTCTGGAGAGTCAGACCACGGCTTTCTCATATAAAGCAGCAGCCCAGCTCCTCTGCAGTCCAAAATTCCCCTCCGAACAGTGCAGCAATCAATAATGATAGTGCTGTTGATTGGGACAGTTTCTGGGGTGGGGAAACATGTAATTCCCCGGGCCACTGCTTTTGTGTAAGAGAGCTGCGGTCCAACTCTCCAGGGTGCTGCAGCACAGGGTATTTTAGCCCTTGCAGAAGCACTTAGCAGTGCTAGCTACATTCATGCACATTAAAAAACTTATTTACATTAAGCTTTTACATTAAGCTCCTGTCCAAAAATTTTAAAATTCTCGGGTGGCCGCAAAGCATCTTGGGGCGGGCGCATGCGCAGTTCACATTTTCGGCCGGGACGCGAGGAAAGACACAAGGTAAGTCTATGGACGCGTGCACCCGCATGCAGACACCGTGGGACAGGAAGAGGACTCAGCGATGGATCGGAGACCCGCCACATCGCTGGAGGGACAGATGAAAAGGACAGGAAAGAAGATCGGATTAAGAAACATGATTTAAGGTAATTGCTTTATTAATATTGGGGGGAGGGAAAAAGATTTTTGACTTTAATGTCACTTTAAGGCATGAATGCCTTTTCCAAGCCATAACTAGAAAAATGTCTTCACATAGAAATAAAACACCTGATAAAATAAAGTCATTTGAAAAGGATTAAAGGAGAACTATGGGGATAATGATTTTCCCCATAGTTCTCCCCAAGGTCACGGGAGGGCACAAACTAGCGTCCTCCCATGACCAAAATCTCAGTATACCGCGAGCTACATCTCGCGGTATACTGAGACCGCCGCAGCCGGGACGGATCCCGACATTACTGTTGAGATCCACCCAGCTGCGTGATTGACAGCTGGCTCTGCCTGTCTAGAGGCAGAGCCAGCTGTACTCACCCCTGCAGGGGTGAGAGTGAAACAATTAAAATGTTGTGCTCACCATAGCATAATAGTTGCTGTTCACCATAATTGGTCCTCGGCCTCGCAAGTATATATACTCTTCCCACCAGTCACTGACCTGAAAATAGTAATGAAAAATAAATAAAGGACAAATGTTTTCAACATTTCCTATAATATATAGAAACAGACAAATGTGTTGGTACCCTTCCATGAAAAAAGAAGAACCCACTATGTCTCTGAAATAACTTGAAACTAGCCAAAGTAATTTCCATTCGTCATTATATATTCCATATTTAATAAAAATCAAACTTTGCTTTCAGTTTTTGATTCAACAGAATATTTTAAATAATAAAACAAATAAAAAAGGCATGGACAAAAAAAAAATGGGTCCCATTACCTAATATGCTGTTGCACAACCTTTAAAGGCTAACACTGCAAACAAGCAATTTCACTAGGTCTCTATGAGACTTCTGCACCTGCAGCATGTAGTTTGGCCCACTTTTCTCAAGCAAACTGTTCCATCTAAGGCAGGTTTGAAGGGTGCCTTTTGCAGACAGCATGATTCAGCTCTTTCCATAGCTGTTTAATAAAGTTTAGATCAGGGCTCTAGATAAGAAGGCCACATCGGAATAGTCCAAAGTTTTGTTTTTAAGCATTGGGTCCTTTTAGCTGTGTGTTTTGGGCTATCAACCTATTGGTGGACTCATGATCTGCAACTGAGACAGAGGTTCCTGATACTGGGCATGCCATTTTACTCCAGAGTTTCTTGATAGTCTTGTACCCCATGCCAGACACACAAAAACGCCCCAAATGATAACCAAGCTTCCTCCATGTTTCACAGTAGGTACAGTGGTTTTTGTTTTAACACGTTTTTTATGCTTTGAACATAGAGCTGATGTGGCTTGACAAATGCTCCAGTTTTGTCTCATCTGTTTAAAGGACATTCCAAAAGCATTGTTGCTTTTCAAAATGCATTTTAGAAAATTTCAATCTGGCTTTTTAATGTTTTTTTTTTTTTCTAACAGTGGAGTTTTCTTTTAAATCCAGAGCGACAGATGCTGCATTCCAAAGGTTACAGAGCATCACCAGCACACAAGATGCAGCTTCAATTCTTCTTTTTGTGTTTATTGAAACGTCACGTTGTGTCATAAATGCTAACGTTTCCTGACCACGCAGGGACCCTTCATCAGAGCGACAGTGACTTTTTTGACACATAATGCACCTGTAAGTGTTTTATAAATGATGGCATGTGGCCAAACAGTATGTTCAATAAATGAAAAAAATATTTTATGATACATTTTTAACCAATGTGTCCATGAAGGTTCTCATTCATCCAGGTCATGGTATATCTGTAAAAAATAAGTCAAGGCAACTGGACTTGCTGTATTGTTCTTGAAGACGTTTCACTGATCATCCAACTAGCTTTCTCAACTCATTCTGAATTGAGAATGCCGGTTGGATGACCAGTGAAACGTCTTCAACAAAAATACAGCAAGTCCAGTTGCCTTGGCTTATTTTTTACAGATATTTTTAACCAATGGTTAAAAATGGTTAAAAATAAACGTAATTTAAAAAAATACAGGTAGAAATACAAAAAAAGTAGCAATATTCTAAATACAAATGCAAAAAGCATGACAGTGGGGCATCTTTATATAACAAGTAAAAATAGTATTACACAGGCTTAGCACTTAACCATTTTTTTTTTCTTAAGAAAGATTTACTGTACACACAGTATAAACTATATTGAAGCCATTTTGTATGATCTAAAATATATAGGCCACCTACATAATTTGATGCCCACCAAGACTTGAGATGCAGGTATTTCTGTAACTTTCGGCCAAGGTCTTTCTGGAAGTCATGAGCCAAGCTTTTCATTTGACTGAACTTTTCCTCATCCATCAATTGTTGGACGGACTGTAAGTACTGCAAAAGCACAAGTCAGTAATTAGTAGCAAGGTCATAGAAAGGTACAGAACTAAACAAAATAGGAAATAGTGAAATATCAAATTAAACAGCATGCACATAATTGTTAATTGAAATCCAATGAGCATGAAAGAAAGGGAGGAAAAAATATCAAACTACACAGAGGCACCACTGGCATATTACACGAAAAATGGTTAGAAACCTGATTTGACAATTTGTTAATAAAACAAATCCTTTGTACTAATTAGGTCCCTGGATTTTGTTTTTTTTTAATTACTAAAAGTTTAAGTTACACATATATATGTATATATATATATATATATATATATATATATATAAAAGTGAATGTGACATTTGCCAATTGTTCACTGCAGATGAATAAATCAGTCATTTAAAACTCAAGCACCAATTAGATTCACCTGCATTGAATATTTGCCTATTACCACATTCACTGCTTTATAAATATACACCTAGGTTTTGCTGTAACAAACTATGTTTTATGAAAGTAATCTTACAACAACCTCACAGTTTTTAACCAACTCTGTGCTAATAGTTCTTGATGTATCCAAGACCTCATGGCATAAAACTTTCTTGTCCATCAGCGTATGGGTTTAAATCACCACACCAGAAAAACCTAAATATGGTATCTCCACTGCTCTAATAGAAAGGATAAAACTATGCCCCCAGAATGCAGACACTAACTGGGTTATTCACAAAAGGGTGAAGAGTTTGGAGAAGGCATCAGAATAGCCGATCGCTATTAGCTGGAAATAGCTGATCTGGAAAAATTCTCCAATTCAGCTCACTTTCCAGTTCAGCTATGTTGTCCTAGATTGTTCCCTTCTCCTGCCTTCTCCAAACTCTTCACCCTTTTGTGAATAACCCAGTCAGTGTCTGCACTCTGGGGGCATAGTTTTATCCTTTCTATTGGAGCAGTGGAGATATTTAAGTTTTCTGGTGTGGTGATTTAAACCCGTACTATGATGAACAAGAAAGTTTTATGCCATGAGGTCTTAGAACTTGTGAAAAACCCTGTAAGTTACTTACATCCACTATTCTACCGAACATAAGCAAAATTGCAGTGCACCTGCCTACCTTAGAGCTGGCTGCAGAGGGTTCTCCCAGATCATTGGGTGCAGCAACATTCGCAGAGTCTGCTGGCATGGTCGCCGACCAATGCGAAGCTCCACGCTCTACGCCCCCGCTCCGATTGCTCCCACCTCGTTTGGTGCCACAAGGTGCTCCGCTGGGTAGCTGGCCCTCTCCCCAGCTACCCGGTCAGTGCCATGGCCGAGCAGGACACATCCCTCTTATGGCCGGACCGGAAATGCGTCATTTGACGCCATCCCCTGCCTCCACCCGCAGTACCGCCCCCGGCCTGTGACCTCCGACAGCGCTCCACGTCTGACGTCACTGCTGTGCGCCTCCGCCCCACGAGTCTCTGCTCGAGGCGGCCGAGAGAGAAAATAGGCAAGACAGCTGCCGAGTCAACCCCCTGCCACGGCACGAGGCTTCCCTGCCGCCACCACACAACTGTGAATAACGAACAGAAATGCGGAAAAAGACCTCAACAGCCCGGTGGCTCCTGCGGGTACACACCTCAGACCGCCAGAGTCCCCCAGGAAGGCAGCTATAACCCCCGCTAGCTGGGAAAAAACTCCACTGGAGTCGTCACAAAGGGAGGATGGTTGCCCTCTTGAAAGAGAGAAACCTCAGGGCCATTCACCCCTAAGGGTAGGACAGGATGGGGACTGCCCTAGGGATCTTGCCCCGGTATCTCCAAGACCACTGGCCGCAAAGGGAGGAGATACCAGAGCAGCAGGCCCCCTGCCACGTGCACGCAGGCCTCAGAAACAAATAAAAAAACATCCATTTCTGCAGTGCTCCCATGCTCCTGTTAGGCCGAGGAAACACAAAAAACTGAGGTATGCTGGGGGCAAGTGCCCTTTTATTTGGTGTATGTGATGTGTTTCCTGTTTTAGGTGGGAGGAGACTATCTCTCAGATGCTGTCCTGGAAGATTACTTGGGAAATTTTACTTTTGGGTTTCGCTACTTCCATTGGGGAATCACTAGCAATATATCCTTATTCAAAATATAATGCAAACCATATACCAGCTTCTATAAATAAAACCAACATTTTATTTATAAAACCATTTTAACAGAACGTCCACACATAATACCATGCTTAACAACCCCCTTTCTTTGTCTTTTGGTAAACAGTAACAAGAACAAATGGACAAGCGCACTGACCAGGGAATACAAATTAGTTGGAGAAAGGTATAGGGGCAGAGGATACAGTGTGCAAGCTCTATGAGAAACAGAGAGAGGAGCCCTGTGGTAAACAATTAAAAAACTGTGTATTGAGAGAGCTACTACTGTACAAAGCAATTGAAAAAACTCACATTTGGGATGTCATCAGAGGGAGGAGTTCCAGTGGAGCCCCTGGAAGAGTACAGACAGGCAGAGCCCGGTGACCTGGTAGATTAGATGCCTGTAAGGACGATGGCTGCGGTGGAGGGACAGCTGTCTTCTGCAAGGGCTCAGCTGGCCAGGCTGAGTCGTTGCGGCCGAGAACACTATGTGTCCGAAGTGCTGTCTGCAATCAGCTATGTGTCTCGGGAGGCAAAGCAGCGATGTGGAAAGGAACGAACGCCGACAGGTGTAGTGAGATGGTGATGGGGCAGTAGAAAGCGATGTGTGCGGGGTTGGTAGCTACGCGTTTCGAGGCGGGCCTCTTTGTCAAGCTCAGTACAAACGGGGAGAACACGGGAGAGTTTTTCAATTGCTTTTGGTAAACAGTGTCACTTTGAACATATACTTTATGGTCCACCAGACCCTTTATTCCAGTACACTATTAATGTAGGTGGCCACCTTAAATTTTCTTTATGTTTGGTACAAACAGGGCTCTACAGTACATAGCGCTAAGTCCTCATTATGTTGATGGCACCATAAACACCTTTTTTTGTAACAACATTCATGGTTTTCTTACCCTCTCTATTGTGTCCTCTAGACTTGGCACTGGTAACCTTGGAAGAGACATCTGGAAACTATATAGCATGGGTTGCCGTCTGGCCATGACCTTCATACAGCCCTGTAACAGTCACAAAGTCATTTTAAAAATGAAATCATATTATTGGGAAAGTAAAAAGTGGTAAACAGTTTCATGGATGGAAGAAAAGGGAGTCAGTTAGCTGAATGAACATTTTGTTTTAAAGGATATATTACAATAATGGTGATAGGCAAACTATGTCATGATATATATATTTTAACAACATTTTCAGGTAGAGGGGAGATAAAATTAAAATCTTTCTTTAAAGGAATGGAAAATGTATGCCTGAATAATACAACAATGTGGGCTACAGGTGGGTTGAAGTTATTTAAAGTGTTAATTGATGACCAGTTCTTTAAACAATCATAGAGCACCATATAGAAACTACAGGGATGATTTACGGAATGTAAATAGGCTGTTCACTGTGCAGAGGAAATTTCCTGTAGCCTAGTAAATTAGGTGAAGATTCACTTTGCAAAGAATATCCAATCACATGAAAATTTAATTAAAAAAACAATATTTCTTGCTTGCACATGATTAGATGATGGAAGTCAGCAGAGCTTTACCTCATCCACTAAGCTAAGGGAAAATTCCCTTGAAAAGTGAACAGCCCTTTTGCCTTTAGTAAATCAATCCCATTATGTGTTTCTACAAGCTCCAATTATTTTTTTTACACACGCTTTATCAAATAATCCACTCCAGATATCTTTACAAAGAAGATGAGGAGCATTCAGTGCCTACAAGATGGTGATATAACACTAAGATGTTAGAATTGTTATTCTGCGATAGCCATTACTGGTGGATCTAATTAACATTGCTTGCTCCTAACAATTATTGGGTGGGCCTTATGGGGTAAGAACCTGGCACGTGACGATATGGGTCGGAGCTAAGCTGTAGTGTGACTCTTAGTGTACAGGAGAGATGAGACCAGTTATAACCACCATTAGGGCGCTATGGCTGCACCGTGATTGCAACAAAGATGTTTTATATTTGTGTAAATGATGATGTGGCCTCATATATTCGTTATGTTTGTTCTGTTTGTTTCTTTTGTTCCTTTTCTCATGAAAACATGGAAAATTGGTGGAATGCATAAATAAAGAATTTACAAAAAAAAGATGTTAGATTTGGCAAATCCTAGGAGTGAAATACAGGACTTACTCCCCAAAGTTTTGTTTTCAAACTTCTTTTTCCATGCGGCTCAAACATCCAGCCATGGTATGAAAGAAGCATGCGCAGAACCTGACGATACAGAAGGATTCCAGAGACCCAAACTCCAGAAGAGAAGATAACAGCACTCGCTACAGTGCGAGATACAGGCGTGAGGACAGACCTAGAACCAGAAAATTAAAGAAACAGACAAATTTAAGGTAAATAATGCACAAAAGAGTCACCAGAGTGAGATGCAGAATTATAATAAAGACATTCATGCAAGTGACCCTAAGCTCAGAAGTTAAATCTTAAAAATGCATTCAAGAACCCCAACATATAACAAAAATGTATCTTATTTGTGTATCACTCAGCTGTAGATCCTCAAATCATCTCTGAATTGGTGCTGACACTGTCCTTCCTTCTGGAGGGTGGCTCCTTTTTTTCCCCATGGTCCCTGTATGTGTTGCAAAGTAGCCACTGCTACAAGCCCGCCTTTGTGATAGACTACAATCTCATGTTTACTCATTTGTATTGAGATTGTGGTCTATCATGGAAGTGAGCTTGGAGCGGTGGCTACTTTACAACATACGCAGAGAACATAGGGAACAAAAGTAGTCACCCTCCAAAAGGAAGGACAGTGTTAGCACAAATTCAGAGATAATTTGAGGACCTACTTGAATGCATTTTAAAAATGTAACTCCTGAGTTAAGTGTCACTTTAAAGGAGAACTATGGGGTCAGTGTTTTTCCCCATAGTTCTCCTTAGGGTAACGGGAGGACACAAACTAGCGTCCTCCCGTCACCCTAGGCTCAGTATACCGAAGCCATCTGCATGCTGACCCTCAAACAAAACAACAAACAAAAGGTGATTTTGTTTAAGAGTCAGGCAAAGATAGTGATGTTTCAGGTTCTGATGAAAGAGGTTTGTCCTCAGAAATGCGTCAACTGAAGGAGGGTCAGCGTGTAGATGGCTTTGGCTTAGTACCAGCACTTCCTTTCCCTCACCCCATTTTCGTGTATTCATCTTGATGGTCTCTTAAGAATATATCGCTTTTTGCTCGTTTATACAAGCTGGTTTATAAGTACCTTTTCAACTGTGTGTTTTACACTTTGGAGGCGCTCCTTTTGCTTTTTCCTCATCAGATTTTTGGTTTCCCTTGACTGTGAGGAGCTGCCCCCCTGTATATACTTTTGGAAGACCATTTTCAGGAGCAGTTACTGTGTTTTGGCGCCTGTGATTTTCACACAGCTTTATAATGAACTGCTATGCAAAGGCAACATCATTAAGTGCTAAGTGTAAACATTTTATTTAAGTGAGCAGCCTGAAAAGTGTTTCTTGATGACAGCGTCACATATAACACATATACACAACTCATCTCCCACTGCTGACCAATTCGCTCATTCTTTGAAAAATCCAGATTCACAATAACTACACTTGTTAGCTGATATTTCCACTTTAGAACCATGTCTACTGTGTCCTGCAAACCTGTAAGGTTAACACATGAGTCATGTTTCCAGATATTACAGAAATGCCAATGCATATGCATCCTTCTGCTAGAAAAAAAGCCAGCCAGCTTATGCTTTGGTCAAATAGCAAGCTCTTATAGCGCAATGTACAGTAAATCACTCCAAATAAGTAACATCCATGACTGTATAGGTAGGTTCTACAAATAACTTTTTTTTTTTTGGTGGACCCTCTGTTAGATGACTGGAAAACACTCAAACTTTTACATTTTCTGAATTCAAGAATACCTAAAGAATGGTCCCCGACCCCACTAACTTGGTTCGATAAACTGTGTATCCAAAAAGATCCAGTGCGCCATTCTTTATCTATGATTTATAAATCCCTGACCTAACGAGAGGAGGGATTTATCCCACAGTTTCTAATGAAATGGAAACAAGACTTAAATATTTCTCTTACATCGAAACAAAAAAGTGATGCATTATATTTTACCCATTATGCTTCTATTTCTAGCAAGATACAAGAAAATAACTATAACTATTTTATTTAGCTGATATAGGGTACCCTCAAAATTACATAAAATGTTGCTGAAACTTTTCAGAAATGTTGGAGATGTGGAGAGGAAAAAGGGGACATGGTACATACACTGAGTGGCCAGATTATTATGACCACCTGACGTTTGTAGGCAAATTAGCTATAATTTCGGGCTGAAGTTGCTAGAGGGCCAGACCATTATAAATAGGGAAGCATGTTGTTTACCACGACAGTAGAAGTGATTTTTTTCCTGAAGATATGGGTAAACAACGCGATTTAACAGCCTTTGAACATAAGATGATTGTTGGCGCTCAGAGCCATGGAGCGAGTATCAGCAAAACAGCAGAATTCGTTAAATGTTCAAGAGCAGCTGTTGTTAAAGTGTTTAAAGACTGGACTGTCAGACAAAAATCTGGGTCTGAACGTGCGAATTGTGGCCATCATCGACTAGTCAATGTTAGGGCAGAACGGAGAGTGGCAAGACTGGTACAAGACAACAGAAGGGCAACAGTGCAGTGTCAGATTCCTCGCATCACCTTTCAACATCTCGTGGAGTCACGAGGCGGCCCAACGAAGTCATCTCGTGGAGTCATCTCGTGGCCTGGTCATAATAATCTGGCCACTCAGTGTATATTCTGGTCCTGCTCGAAACGTCGTCATTTCTGGACAGAAATATGGAATCTTATGCGAAAACTTACAGGGAATAATATTCAAGAAAATCCAGTGGCCTGTCTCCTACACGTTTCAAATCTTTCCAGAAAAAGATATAAGAGATCACTTACTCTTCATTTACTTAATGCGGCTAAGTTATACATGCCAACCCTCTGGAAACAGCCTACTACCCCACTAAGATAGCAGAAATAAAACGCATGGAAAACCTATTCCCTTCCCTTTACTGGGAGTAGCATGACACAAAATATCAAGATTAGGAACTTGCATGACAAAGGGAACACTACCCCAAAAATGCTGTGTGTTGTTACGCTGTAATCAAATAAAAAAAGGGAAGACCTTAGTTCTATCTTCTTTTGTGGATTAAGAACCAACCACATTCCACTATTAGAGCTCTTGTGAATTTGCTTATAAAGGAAGTACTTGTTTTTGGGTATCATGATAATTTTGACAATTTATTTCAGTCACATTCACAATAAAGAGCAAACAGTATAATTCTACTATTACTCACTGTCCAGGTAAAAGGCTGCTGATCTTCGTTATGAGTCCAAATGACACATCCACCTTTCCATAAAGGGAGCTAAGAGTTACAGCTACCACAGCAAACCATGTAGAAGGGCTGGCAGGGTACACTCCACTCAGCACTGAACTCTAAAAGGGAAATAAAGACAGAAGAGACAAACAGCTGTAGGATTTAGGGGGTTATTCACTAAGGTGCCGAAGTATTTAGCCGAAGGTTCGGCTAATCCTGCGGCTCGCTTTGGCTGCAGAAAGCATTTGGTTCAGCCAAACCAAATGGCTGCAGTACGTGCTATCCTCCAAAGCCAAAGTAAACACCCAAACGCAGTCGAGCTGAACGAACATGCTTCGGCTCAACAAAGCCAAACAAAGAGCCAAAGCAGGCACAATGGTCCGCTGAATCCCTGAAAGCTGTTAGATAGATAGAGTATCTGAGAAGTGGGATTGCACAATTTTCTCACGATACCCATAAACTGTGATATCAAAAAGAAAAAGCAAAAACAGTACTAGTGTTTATTATTTTCCTTCCTTTCCATCTGACCACCTTGACCTCACATTCCCCACCTTTATCCTATCCTATATATCCACCTTCCAACCATATAGGCAATTCCCCTCTAAAGTCATACCAGACCCTTTAGGTCTGGAAGGAATTTTAAGGACGACCCCAAAACCAAAAAAACTTATTCCAGACCCTTAATCTGAGCAGCGGCCTGGCAGAGCAGAAAAGAGGGGGGCAGGGAGATGAGTGTGCCCCCCCTCCTGCATAATACCAGGGCACATGCCCTCAACATGGGAAAGGTGCTTTGCCAAGGGGAAACCCCTTGGCAAAGCACCCTATCCCCATAAGAGCCTTTTCCCCCATAACCCTGGGCTGAGCAAGTCCAGTGATGTCACGACTAGCTCCGCTCATTTGTTTACATGCCATTTGAGGACAGAGAGCTGGCATGGAATGAAAACAAATGGGCGGAACAAGTCCCGTGACGCCACAACTCGTTCCGCCCATTGGTTCACATTCAGGCCAGAGATGTCATTAGGTGGGGGGAGTTTGACGGCATCGAAAGGTGCATCAATTGACTTTTTTTTTCTGCTAAATAAAGGAATTGTCAAAAACTGGCTTGTGTAAATTAAAGTTTTGAAGCAAAAGGGCAAAAGGGTCAAAAGGGTCAGAAATTTGTACAGATTTTCTTTATTATATGGTTGCCAGATTACAAAAAAGAAAAAAGTCAGGGGACCACACCCACTTTGACTACACCACTAAACCCCACTCCCATTTTAGCAGGACCCACAAAATGACACCCCATTTTTAGCCCTGAAACAACTATTCACAGACTTTTGGAACAAAAGACAGACATTAAGGTATAGGGGAAAGGGCTAGGCTGGAGGAGGTGCAGCCAATAAATGCAAGAGGAGGGAAAGTGATCAAACCAGGTCCCCTCCTGAGGAATTTTATATCCAGTTCATCTGCTCAGTCTGATCAGCGCAGAAACAAGAACTGGACTGGAGCTGGAATGAAACCCAGATACCCAGCCAAGGACAGCTCTGGAGGCAGACCCCTCAAAATGGAAACTGTCCCCAGGAAACAGGGTAGAACAGTAAACTTACTTTATTATAGTGAAGACTAAATATTATAAATGTTTTCTTTTGGTCTAAAAAATATGAAATATTGCATATTAATGTTTTGTATAGGTTTCTTTTCACATGTTTCCAC